ACAAACATATGAATCCTGTATGAAGAGATTTTTTTTCCCAATGTGTTTCTTTTATGATTTGCTTCAAAGTAATGAATAGAGAGAATGGGAATAGCTGAAAAATAACTGACCATTAAGCTGACAATTAACTGAAGTGGGATGATGAATAGACAGGGAATGACTATTAAAAGAAGTAAAACTAAATAGAAGTATCATGAACACAGCATTTTAAATTCTGTCCTACCAGTTCTTCAGAATATTGTTATTTCAATACAAAGAGGGGACTTCAATGATCTTTGGTTTATTTTAGCTTTTTGAGACAAGGTCTCACTATGTGGTTTAGGCAGGCCCTGAACTCAAAATGTAGCCCAGACTGTCTTCAAACTTGTGGCAACCTTCCTGCCTCAGTCTCTCATGTGCTAGTGTTACAGGTATGTGCCACCAAAGCCAGCTCAATTGATCTTACACTGATTATGGTTGTAATTTCCACCTATGTCAAAAATAAAGTTTTGTTGTAATTGTTCTGAATACTCAGGATCTGTACCATAGTCATAAGAAATAATCTGAGGGGCCAGGGATTTAGCTCAGTGGCATAAGCGCCTAGCTGGCAAGCGCAAGGTCATGAGTTTGATCCCTGGTACACTCCCCCGAAGAAAAGAAAAGAAGAGAAGAGAAGAGAAGAGAAGAGAAGAGAAGAGAAGAGAAGAGAAGAGAAGAGAAAAAAAATTTAAGGGCCAAGGATTTAGCTCAGCGGCATAAGCATCTGCCTGGCAAGCAAGTGCAAGGTTGTGAGTTCGATTCTTGTACCACCAAAAAAAAAAAGAAAGAAAGAAAGAATTTGAGGGCCAGGATTTAGCTCAGTATATAAGTACCTGCTATCATCTATTTGCTAGCTCCTATGCTAAAATGCACTACCTTTTTAAATTTAGATTGCTCTAAATCCTCTAAGTGATCGTGACTATCTACTTACAGATGAAAAATTAACTCACATTAATTAAGTAATGGAGTTAAGATCTAAATCTAGGTCTAGTTCTAAAGTCCGTATTTTTTTACTTTTCCACACTACTTCTCATTTTACATAATAATGGGAGAGAAAACTTAAGAATAAACATGTAAATCTGGTCAAATTTTACATCAAACCCACTTAAGATAACCATTCCTGTAATACTTTCTTCTAAATTATAAATGATTCCATCTGATAAACAAAAACAATTCTCCAAGTTTTTGATGAACTATTTCACAACATTATTTGGCAAATATTTACTAATTGCTTACTGTATGCTAGGCATTTTTCTAATTGCTTCAGGTTACAATAGCAAACAAAAAAGCCTTATCAGCTCATGTTATATACTTCCCTTTGTATAACTTAGCTAGTTCATAATAATGCCTTTATTTTTTTGTTTGTTTTTTAGTACCAGGGATTGAACTCACAACCTCGCGCTTGCCAGGCAGGCGCATACGCCACTATAAAGGAAAATAAACATAACAAGTAAGATAATTTCATGGATGGAAAACAGAACGATGTGACAGCAATGATGTGACAGGTAAACAGAGAAGCTTCCTGTGAGGCAAACAAAGCAGACAGCATACACTCTTGTACACTGGAGTGAAAGTTCTGAACTTAACTCTGTTGTATTAGATACCATTGAAGAATTTTAAAGAAAGAAAGCACAGCTAGGGGCAGGGGATTTAGCTCAGTGGCATAAGTGCCTGCCTGGCAAATGTGAAGTCATGAGTTCGATCCCGAATACCAAAACAAAGAGAAAGCACAGCTAGACATGGTAGCACAAGCCTGTAATCCCAGCAATTGGGAGGCTGAGGCATAGCAGTGCTACAAGTTCAAGGCTAGCCTAGGCTACACAGTATATAGTTAGATACTGCTCAAAAAACCAAAATAAACAAATAGGTGGAACTGTAAAAACACTATAAAAATAAAAGAAAATGAGACTCAATAGATATGCTATTTTTTTAGATACGCTATTTTTCATTCTACCCTTCATTCAGCTGAGTATTTCTCTCAAAAGGTTTTTACTTACAAGATAATGTTCATTAAATGAAAGCAAAAAATGACTATAAAGTATTCTTAACCATCTTAGAAAGTTAAATTCCATTTTATGATAGAAAACAGAATCATATTTTAAAAAGTAAAAAAATTTTACTATATGAACTATGTAGAACATACTTCAAATGAAGCATTGCCCTCCTGGAACAGTACCCTTTCACTCTTTTAATATCAACTGAGGAAATAAGTTCAGGCACTGTATCAACAACAACAAGAGGCAGAAAAGTCTGGCTCTAGCATAATTCATTATTGCTAACTACAAAAAAATATGGCAATTATCATTTATAATCCCAGAAGGCATGGATGGGGAGCAATGTCTTCTTGCAAATGATGTAACCAGAGTTAAAGCCTGAAAGCCCAAGTCAAACACAGTGGCACACACCTGTAATCTCAGAAGACGGAGGCAGGAGGACTATGAGTTCAAGAATAGCCATGGCACATGGCCAGTCTGAGTCAAGCCTAGGTAACTTTTTTTTTTTTTTTTGGTCTTTTTCCTTTTTATCAGTACCGGGGATCGAACTCACGACTGCCTGCTTCCAAGGCAGGTGCTTATGCTGCTAAGCTAAACCTCTAGCCCCAAGCCTAGATAATTTAACAAGACCTTGTCTCTCAGTACAGTGAACTGAAAAAGGGGTAACATACAGCTCAGTGGAGGAGCACTTGCTAGCATGTACAAGAACTTGGGTTCAATTTCCCAACTGGGATTGGAAGCGAAAGACACCAGAGCCCAAATGTAGGAAATGTAAAATGTCTGCACAGGGCTGGGGATTTAGCTCAGCAGCATAAGCGTCTGCCTTGCAAGCATACAGTCGTGAGTTCAATCCCCAGTACCCCCCCAAAAAGATGTCTGCATAATTTAGTAAGAATCTTTTAAGACACGGTGGAAAATACATTCTCATGCTCTCATTTAGCACCCCCTTGCTACCAATGGTATACCAAATACATTAACCATTACTTTACAAAGTTAATGGTAAAGCCAAATCCTAACTGTACCATTTTACTGAGTAACCTTTAGCAACTTGACGTTTCTATTTTTTTCCTTTTCTTTTGGTAGTACTGGAGATGGAACCCAGCACTTTTACACTAAACTACATCCAAAGCCCTTTATTTTGATACAGGGTCTCAGTTACTGTATTGCCCAGGCTTGGGCTGATCTTGTGATCCTCCTGCCTCAGCCTCTCAGAATGCTGAGATTATAGATGTGTGCCACCAAACTGGGCTGAAACTTTGGCATTTGTGAACCTAATTTCCTCGTTTATAAGCCAATGACATTTTAAAAATTCAGTGGATTACAATATATTATAAAATATAATGAATTGGGTGGACAGTTAGTAGATAATGAGTCTTTGATAGTGACTGTTGGCATAGTCATCACAAATTCTGATTTTCCTTTATGGCAAGAAATTTATCTGATTTGCCCCTAGTAAATAAATTACCTAATCTTATGTCTTTTCTACTAACTTTTTAGCCTTACTATTCAAAAAAGAACAAAATATCTTTTCAATAGTAAGTTTAAACAAATGGTTTGAAGCTTTGGACCTACAATCTTGCAGACTTCATCAATGTTTCCTAAAAGGTAAGCACAAATCTAAACACTGAGGGGTTGGGGATTTTTAGCTCAGTGGCATAAGCACCTGCCTTGTAAGCAGGCAGTCGTGAGTTCGATCCCTGGTACCGATATAAAGGAAAAAGACCAAAAAAAAAAAAAATCTAAGCACTGAGAGAGGCAATGACAGAACTGGAATAAGAATAACTGCACGTTTAGTTTCACTGGAGACATGGTAGATAGAAGCAAACCAAAATTCAAATAGATAGATATACAGTATGTGTTAGGATTAACCTTTGTCTGCTTCACCACGAACAAGTGTGGAGTGACTTCTCCACATTTCCTCCTGTAACATTTTAAATCTTAGCTGAGCATGATGGTGCATGACTATGATCCCAGCCCTGAGGAAGCTGAAGCAGGAGGATTGCCCGGAGTTCGAGGCCAAAGCAGACTACATAGATACTGAGTTCAAAGCCAGCCTGGCCCATATAACAAGACCCTAACCCCCTCCCCCCCAAAAAACACAAAAATACCTAAGTAATAAAAAGATTTCAAATCTTTTGCAACAATCCATGTTTTAGTAGACTTCTGTAATAAGGCAACAAAGGGGGGGAGGCATGGGATTAAAGAAAAAAGTATTACATAGCTTTAAAAAGCACATTTTCTGTTTTGGCTACCTATGAAATCCAACTTAATTCTGTAAAAACGTACCTCTGTCGATTAAAAAGTAGCCAGATATGTTTTATGTGCTAAGGTATTAATGATGATCAGAGTACAACATTTCAGGTATTAATGATGTTTCTGGTCAGGATCAAAAGTCTGCACTTTACTGCAGCAAGCATAAGAAAAGGGAAACTAAGATCTATGTAGTGTTCATGCTGCTTTATATGGCTAATCCTGGCAAATCCTGCTTCACAACACATCACAAGTTTTAGAAACATTTCTCCAGACCTGGGTCTCCTAATACCACACCGCAAGTTTCAGGTCAGTGAAAACTACAACAGCCCAACCTTTGCCAATGAGGCAGGCGGACTTAACCACTGCTTTACCCACAGCTTGTCCACCATCAGGTAAAGCAGGATCATTAACACGTCCAGGCCTGTAGGAAATCAACGGACGCCGCAATCGCCGTGAAGGGTCAGTACGATCAGGAACACACCTTAGAGGGCTGTGAAGTGAAACACGGAAATCCAGACGGACTCGGGCCCAACGGCCCAAGGTCAGCGCCAGGCACCGGCTAAAACCCCAAGAACCGAGCAATCTGGGACCACCGGGCTGGGAATGAAGTCTGGCTGGGGGCCTCGGGCCCAGCTCCAGCGGGAACCACCCGCGCCGAGAGCTGGCCCCCGCGCGTAGGGCCCGACTGTCCTCCCGCGTCCCCAGCCTTCCCCGACCTGGACGCCCAACACTCACATCTCCGCAGCCACTTCATCCAGTGGTACACGATGGTGCTGTGGTGTTTCTTGTTCTCTATACACCAGGACGACAGGCCTTGAATGGATTCCATCGTGTTGGTTACAGACTGGAACTTTCGATCCAGCGAGGACTCCAGAGCCCCTGCCGAAGAGGCCGACGAGGAGGAGGCCTTGCTGCTGCCTCCGCCGCCGCCGGCCGCCATCTTCCCGGTTTGCACAAGCGCTGCTGCTCCTCGGCGGCGGCGGCGGCGGCGGCGGCGGCGGCGGCGGCGCGGACAAAACAATCCCTGCGAGTGCGGGGCGCCGGGCGGGAGGGCGCGGGTGGGGCGCGCCACGCGCTGGGCTCTCCCGAAGGCGCGGGGAAGACCCGCTGCTAGGCGTGCTGGCGGCTCCTACGCGCTGCGAGGAGGGGCTGCGGGTTTATCAATACTGTTCAGGGGTCGTGTTTAAACCAGTCAGTAGTAAGGGTAGAATTACGCACAAAGTAGGACCTGCAAATGCCTGCCGCCGAAACGAATGGTTTTTATACTCTTAAGCTATCAGCGCTAAAGCCCATCAACCCAATACCCACATTCCTGTAAGCCACGGCGGGTGTTAATATCTTAAATTTAATACTACCCGACTGCCCCTTCAGTTGCAGAGATCTTTCTCTGTCCTTTAGAGTCTACCACAGAAAAGGTCCAAGGCGACCTACTCAAGGCTTTTTTTTCTTTTTTTTTGCAACGCAACAGCAGTAAGAGAACTGCAACAGCATCGCGCATGCGCGGTTTGGCCCCGCCTGCCCACTTCCTTCTCAACCTTGCAGTATTAAGGGAGGAGTGATGGCGGGGCAATCTGACCAATCAAGAGCTGTATCCGAGAAGCGCGCGCAGGAGCCGGCAAACCCAGAGGGCCAAGCAGGCCTTGCGATTCTTTGTGCGCCTGCGCAGCTATTTAGCGAGAGGAGGGCTGAGAGGCAGGATCTGTGAAGGCGAAAGAGTTGAAGGGAGGGGATCAAGGTTCCTCCGGCGCTGTGCCCCGCGTCATGTTTTGCTGGCAGTGAGGCATCTCTTAGAGTTGTTAAACTCACAAAACAAGATGGTGGAAATTCCCACCATTCATGGGCCAATGTTTCCGGCGGCTAAAGCCGCTGCCACGGGTAACGAGTACGGACGCACGACAAAATGGCTGACAGCCATTTTACAGCGCCACAAAAAGTGCGCGTGCGCCTGGTCCGGTAGCTGTTTACTACACAGGTTTCCCCGTCACACGACTGCGCGCTCACTTTGGCAGCTAGCCAACCAGTTGGATTATAGGAGAAGGAAAAAAAGTTTTCACGTAAAATTTTCGAGGCGAGAGGAAAGTAATTGGCAAAACATGACCTCACTTTCGCAAGTTATAATGAAATCTCACAAAGATGTAACACATAGTTAATAAAAGCCATACATAGATATCTATTACGTTGATTAGCATAACCCCAGAATAGCCATTACATCACATCTGCTTATGTAATCCTTTGGGCAAAGTTGGTGGTTTCTGTGTTCCCACTAAAAGACATAGAATTTTAAAAAAAATTTTATTAGTGCATGTTTGCAGTATATAGTGATAATATCATGGATGGTTGGTACAGGTACATACCCTTGAATTTTTTTTTCTGCCACTCTCCTTTTCCCTCCATCACTGCTCCTTTCATCTCGATTCCCTTCCCATTTCCAAAAATTCTATCTCAGGTTTTTATTTGTCTGTTTAATCCCCCTTTTCTTCCATTTGTTTGCCTTTATTTATTCATACATTCATTTTTGACACAAGGTCTCGCCATACAGTTTATTTGGTGTTGTTTCTTTGTTTTTTGCCATGTAGTTTGGGCTGTCCATTAACTTGTTATGTAGTATAGGCTGGCCTCCAATTTGTGGCAATCTTCCTGCCTCGACTGCTCTGCCAAATGCTGGGATTACAAGTATGAGCCACCATACAGACCACCTTTCATCTTTTGTTCCACTTCCCAATTAAAAAAGATCTCATTCTGTTATCTTTTATTTTGTTTTTTATGTTTTGGGGTAGGCCATGTGATATTTAAACTTACGTCTCACTTATTTCACTTAACATTATGTTCTCCAAGTGCATCCATTTACCTACAAATTGAGCCTTTATGGGACAGTAATATTCCACAGTGTATAAATACCACACTTTGTCCATTCATATGTTGATGGGCATATAGACTGCTTCCAAGACATAACGATTATTAATTGTGCTGTTATAAACATGGGTATGAATGAAGCCCTACAACCTGATCTTTGGCCAGGCATGGTGGTACATCCCTCTAATCCTAACACTGGATAGGCTAAGGCAGAGTTTTATTTATTTATTTATTTACTTTGTCTTTTTCATTTTTACCGGTACCGGAGATCGAACTCACGACCACCTGCTTGCAAGGCAGGTGCTTATGCCGCTGAGCTAAATCCCCAGCCCCAAGTGCTACAAGTTTGAGGCCAGCCTAAACTACATAGTGAGTTCAAGGCCATCTGAACTGCCATAGCAAGGCAGTGTCTCAAAAAAAAAAAAGGAAAAAAAAAAAAAAAAAACAGAAATGAGAAGCCCTCTGGAGGCTGAAGCAGGAAAATCACTACTGTGACCTCATCCTGGGAAACAATGATATGGCAAGACCCTATAACTTAATGATTTAGAGATTTTTTTTTTTTGTCTTTTTCCTTTTTATCAGTACTAGGGATCGAACTCACGACTGCCTGCTTGCAAGGCAGGCGCTTATGCCACTGAGCTAAATCCCCAGCCCCGATTTAGAGATTTTTTAAAATAAAAAATTAAAAAAGAGGTGGGGAAGATGTTAGTTTGAAAGTCCAGGGTTCAAATTCCAGGATCACAAAAAATGAAAGGGAAGACCTTGAGAACCAAATATAGCATTAATTTTGTTTTTTCTTTTTGTAGGCAGGCGCTTATGCCACTGAGCTAAATCTTCAGCCCCCCCCCCAATTTTTTTTTTTTTTTTTTTTTTTTTTTTTTTGTGGTGGTAGTGGTACAATTGAACCCGGGCCCCTGTGCATGCAAGGCAAGAGCTCTACCACTGAACAACATGCCCAGCTCTAATTTTTTTTTTTTTTAGCAGTAGGAAAATTTATTGAAAAAAAGGAATGAACAGGAATAGCTCCTAAAAGACGGGGTTAACCTCATGGGTTGACCAACATAACATTGATTAAAGCAGCAAATTATAGGCAAATGCACCAGGCCAATTCCTGTAATATGCTTTCAAGACAGAGCAGTCAAATGTGTCTTCTAAATGTAGGCTCAGCATTTACTAGCATGAAACTTATATGTCTTCTATAAGCTCAGTGTCATTGTGAGTTACATCATACCCAAGAAAATGAAATGAAATAATGAGCTTTGACAGGAAACCAAACATTTTTAATATCTAAGGCTTTTTTTCTTTTAAAAGAAATTTTTTTTTTTTAATCGTTACTGGGGATCGATCTCACGACTGCCTGCTTGCAAGGCAGGCGCTTATGCCACTGAGCTAAATCCCCAGCCCCCATTTTTCTGTCTTTTTGAGACAGGGTTTTGCTATGCTGTTCAAGCTGGCCTTGAACTATGTAGCTTAGGCTACAGGGCATCATCCATGTTTTGGTGATTATAAGTCAAACTGCTATAAACATACATGTGAAGCCAGGTAAGGTGATGCATATGTGTAGTCCCAGCTACTCATGAGGCAGGCAGTCACCCTGGGTAACTTGAGCAACACTGCCTCAAAATGAACAAATGAACAAAAAACTGAACATGGTAATGCATGCCTATAATCCCAGCACTTGGGAGGCTGAGGCAGGAGGATCACCAAGCATTCAATGCCAGTCTAAGCTACCTAGCAAGACTCTGTCTCAAAAAGGAGGTGGGTTGCTCAGCACTAGAGCACTTGCCAAGCACCCACAAGGGACTGGGTTCAATCTCTGGGATACTATCTGCCTGAGAAAATGTCTGTGCTTTTTGGTTATATAAACTTTCAGTACCTCTGGGTAAATACCAAGGACACATAACTGGATCGTATATGTGGATGTGGGTTAAATGCTTTAATAGACATTGTAAATATTTCTCCCATCCTGGTTTTGGTTTATTTCATTCTCTTCACAGTGTCCAGAGTAGAAACTTTTAGTAAACTTAACCCATCATTTTTCTTTCATATATCATGCTTTTGGTGGTACAGCCACATCCTCAACAAATTCAAGGTCATCTAGATTTTCTCTCATGTCATTTTCTAGTTTTAGTTATTTACATTTAGGTCTGTGATAATTTTAATTTCTCATGAACGCTATGTTTTTTGTTGTTTTGCCTGTACATCTCATGTTCAGTTGTTCAGTTTTTTTTTTTTTTTTGAGTTAGGATCTCATTATATAGTTGAAGCTAGCTTTGAACTCACTAGAGCCCAATATGGTGTCAAACCCAGAGATCTTCCTTCCTGAGTGCTGGGTTTACAGATCTGCGCCACCAGGCTTTGCCCATCCTTGGTATTTTTGTTGTTGTTGATTTGTTTGTTTTAGAGACAGGGTCTCACTTTGCAGTTCAGTCTGGTCTGGCCTTGAATTCATATGGATCTTCCTGCCTTAGCCTCCTAAGTGCTGGGATTACAAGCTTGCACTGTCATGGTCAGTGTGTGTGTGTGTGTGTGTGTGTGTGTGTGTGTGGGTTTTTTTTTTTTTTTGGACTGGGGATTGAATCCAAGAACCTGTGAGCACTAGGTAAATACTACTGAATTGTATGTTCAGCTGAACATCCGTTTTTGTTTTGAGGCTGGTTTACAATCCTGCCTCAGCCTCCTGAACATACACATTACAATTCTGTATCACCACTCCCAACACTTTTTTTTTTTGGTCTTCTTGAGACAAGGTTTAACTATGCAGTTTAAGCTGTGTTGGGAGTCACTGAACCTGGAAATTGAATACACATGTAGGGCTACTACATGGCTGGGGCAAAATAAAATCACTGCTGAGGACACCTGACTCCATGTCCAATTAATACTATAGCCACAAGCATTTCACCCCTGTAATGAAATACAACATGGAGATCTCCTAAGACACTTGTCCTTGTTAACATAATTTACTTACAGTCCTTAAACCACAAGGTCTATTCGATTTCCTTTGTTTCCCACTCTAACACCCTAAATAAATATGGGCTAAGACATTCCCTGTGTTAGCTAGCAAGAGTCCCCAAACTCTGTAAAGGGTTTTAATCCTCCAGAAGCCCTAGAATCATACCACTTACCTCATTTATTTAAGCCTTTGCCGCATATCCAAGAGATTAAAAACCTAGGCCAAGTCCCTGATAAGGCTACACTCGAGCTCTCAGCTATCCTCCTGCCTCAGCCTCCTGAGTGCTGGGATCACAGAAATGCACCACCATGCCTGGCTCCCAACACTTTCTTTTTTTGGTGGTACTGGGATCAAACTCACACCTCACACTTGCCATGTGGTTGCTTATGCCAGAGCTAAATCCCCATCCCATCCCAACACTTTTTGAAAGTCTGTGTACACCAGATTGGCCTCTAACTCACAATCCTTCTGCTATAGCTTCCTCAGTACAAATTATACATGTGTACCACCACTTGCAACATGAAGTTCCAGCACATATTTGAAGTCTTTCCTTGGTCTTTCATCAAAGAGGAATTGACTGTTATGTAGTTAGGGTTATTTGTAGGCTCTCTATTCTTGTGTTCTCTTCCATCAATCTATTGGCTGTACTGTCTTTTCTTCTTCATGTGTGTATGTAATTTATATACTTTATCCAGGGTCTTTGCACTGAAATCATATCCCCAGTCTTTCTAAAAATACTTTATGAGACAGAACCTTGATAAACAGCTGATCTGCCCAGGCTGGGCTCCTTTTGTCAGGCTCTCAGTGCTGAGATCAGAGCCCTGCAACACCACACCCAGCTTTCCTCTTCAGTATTTTCTTCCCCAGTAGAAGGAAATGAATACAGGGCCTTTGCACCTTATTCTACTCACAACCCTTTTTCACTTTGAGATGTCTCATCAAATTGCTAATTTTCTCAAACTGGGCTCAAACTTGCAGTCTTTCCAGTGTCACCTTCCCAAAGAGATTACAGGTATGTGCCAACACAGGGCTTATTCTGGGTGTGATTCTTCATATAAATTTACAATTAATCTATCAATATCTACTAATATAAAGTAATTTTGTATTAGTAAAAGAGACAAAAAAATCCACCCAGCCTTTTTTCTTTTTTGGTACTGGGAATCAAACTCGGGGCCATACTTGCTAGCCAAGTGCTTTACCACTCACTGAGCTACATCTTCAGCCCAACTGAGTTCTTGAATACCATTCTACTTTACAATTGACCCATAATATCCTCCTTGGCTCTATTTGCCTACTTTGGCCAGAACACATTTTCATATATGTTTTCACCTGATGAATTATTTCTTAAAATGATCATTTGGTCAAAACTTGAGATGAATTTTTAACTTGAAATTCTTATAGATTGGTTAGAAAGGAATTTTCCCTTGTTTCTCATCCCTTGACCACTAATTCCTCTTCCTGATTCATTCTGCTCCTGAAAACTGTGTGTGTTTGGTACTCTTCCTTTTGGATGAACTTGGACATTTCCATTTATCCATCCATCATCCATTTTATACATACATAAATATCATGACAATTTTTATTTTTGCACAGCAATTGCTGGATATTTTGGAAAAGATTACCTGAAAACCATATGAGCATGTAAGAAATACCACACCAAGCTGAGTGTGGTGGTGCATGCCTGTAACCCTAGCACTCTGAGGCAGGAAGATTGGTGCAAATTCAAGACCAGCCTGGGCTACATAGTGAACTCAAGGCCAGCCTAAACTGCCTAAACTGCATAGTGAGACCCTGTCTCAAAAAGACTAAAAAAAAAAAAAATCTTAAAAATAACTCTTTAATCATATGCACATAGGGGAATAAAGGAAAGCACCAAGCTGACTGGGGGTGAGAGCAAGGTTTTCTCCCTTTGTCCCAACATCTGCTTGGCACAGGTCTGAGATTACACATGAGTTCAAGTGGATTGTAAAGTACAGTAGGGAGAGGACCGACGAGAGAAGTAAAGGGGAGAGGCAAGGGCTTGCAGTAGTCTGTCTCAGTCAGTGGACTCCAACACAGATTCACTCAGTGCGAGGTCCCAGTAGTGTTCAGCCCCATGCTTTTTGAAATGCTCACGAGCCATGTTCTCTGTAGGGCACTGTTTAAACTTCATCTCTCCAAAGCTCCGGTCTTTGGCTGTACCCTAAGAAACAAATAATGAAAACAACTTACATTTCTTTTTTTCTTTGTATTTGCAGTGTTGGAAACCAAACCCAGGAACTCATATATGCTAAACACTCTCCACTGAGCTATACTCCCAGCCCTATGATTTCTTACCTAAACCAGAAACAAGGTCTCAATATGCAGTTCAGGTTGGCCTTAAATCCACTAGGTAGTCCAGGATGACCTTGAACTCAATGCAATCTTCCTCCCTAATCCTGCAAATACTGGATTACAAGAGTATGCCACCATGCCCAGCTCAAGTATGACTTTATGTTGAAATCAATGATAACTTCTGTCCCTCATACATATGCACGAATTTTTTATTTTTTTTTTTTTAAGACACAGTTTTGCTATGCAGTTCAAGCAGGCCTTGAACTTATGTAGCCCAGGCTGGCCTCAAACTCATGATTATCTTCCTGCCTCAGCCTCCAGAGTGCTAGAATTACAGGTGTGTGCCACCAAGCCCATCTATTTTTTTGTTTGAGACAGGATATTGCTATGTAGTTCAGGCTGGCTTCCAGCTTGCAGCAATTCTCTTGCCTTAGTTTGCTGAGTACTGAGATTTCAGGCACGTGCCACCGTATCTGATGACGCATGAATTTTCATAAATTCATATGCCTAAGAGTTTTAGTGTTTTGACTACAAAGCAAAGGATGAGGAATTCTGTGCTCTAATGCCTGATTAGGACAGCAAATCAGGAAAACCTATGTGAGACAGGATAAGAAGAACTTGGCCCCCACCAGGCCCTGAGAACTACATTTAGGTTTTCAAGGAAAAAGAAGATGGAGTGAGAGGCAAAAAAGAATCTTTTTAAAAGATTTAAGTCTAGGGGCTGGGGATTTAGCTCAATGGCATAAGCGCCTGCCTTGCAAGTGTGTGGTCGTGAGTTCGATACCCAGTACTGATAAAAAAAGAAAAAGACAAAAAAAAAACCAAAAAGATTTAAGTCTAACTGCATGTAAGCTAGAGGCTGCAGCATCAAGTGATAAAGGACAATAGTAGGAGAGAAAACAGAAGGAAATCTACAGAAAATGCTAAGAAAAAAAGATACAGTACTGAGTGAAACAGCATTCTCACCAGAGGTACGGCAGTAATGGCAGTTACAAAGTGCCTTTTTGGGGGGGTCTTTTTGAGACAGGGTCTCGCTATGTGGGTCAGACTGGCCTTGGGTTCACTTTGTAGGCTAGGCTGGTCTTGAACTTGCAATGATCCTCCTACCTCAGACTCTGAGTGCTGGGTTTACAGGGGTGCACAACCACACCCAGCCCATAAAGTGCCATTTTTTTTTTTGTCTTTTTCCTTTTTATCGGTACCAGGGATCGAACTCACAACTGCCTGCTTGCAAGGCAGGCGCTTATGCCGCTGAGCTAAATCCCCAGCCCCTCATAAAGTGCCATTTTAAGAGGCTTTCAGGGAGCAGACTCCTATAAGGGAGACAACTTGGGTTGTTTCTAAGGCTGAGAAACAATTCCTGAGACCTCTCAGATAAATGAGAGAGAATGTGCAAGACCTGGATGGTCTAAGACAGTAAATATTCAAGTGAGGACATAGGAAACAGAACCAGATATAATGGATAACATTACCTAATTTGCATCAATTGAGAAGTCTGGGATAAAACAGAAGACTGCATGAATAATTCTTATTAAGAAGGGACTTATTTTTTTCTGCATGGTACTATAGATTAAATCCAAGGCATTATCACTGAGTTACATTCTCAGCCCATATTTTTTATTTCAAGACAAAATTACCTTTGAAATTTCTCTTTTAAAAAATGTTTGGCACTAAATTACTCTAGAAATTATTTATTCTTTAGTACTTTCCTATTTCAATGATCTGCTTGGATAATATAAGCAATCAAGAGGTGATGAAAGTTGTACTTTAGTGTTTTACAAAGTATCACCTACCTCCCAGACTAGTACACATTTGTTAGTTTTCTTCACAGCTTCCTCATCAGATTCCTCATCATCTGGAAAAGATAATATAGCTAAATCTTAAGACAAAAAGACTACAGATTTAGGTTCTAAACAAACAGTAAGCAAGTCTACCCAAATTTTTTTTTTTTTTGGTACCAGGGATCAAACTCGACCATGCGCTTACAAGACAGGCGCTTATGCCGCTGAGCTAAATCCCCGGCTTTCAAATTCTTATAAATATTACTATCTTTTTCTATGTGTTGGATTGTGGGTTTTTTTTTTTTTTTTCCCCTGTTAATCTTTAGTGTCCCAATGTTAGACTGGAAGCTCCAAATAGGCAGGAACATAAATTTAACAAACATTTACTGAGCACCTACTATCTGGCAGAAGCTATGCCAGATACTGAGAATAGGGAAATAAAAGATAAGTAGTCAATAATAAAAACTTTATCTTAAGCACCTTGGGAGGCAGGCTTAACATGCTAATAAAAGAGGATTTTCAAGAACTTTTTAACTTAATGGAGGAGGAGAGAGTGAACTGGAAAAAAAGAAAATTTTTTTCTTTGCTGTTGTGGATTGAACTCAGACCCTCATTCACATTAGGCAAGCAAGCTTCCTCTGAGCTACAATCTTTTCTTTTGAGACAGGGCCCTTAAACTTGCAATATGCCTATATGATCCTCTACTTGAACCTTCCAAGTAGCTGGGATTACAGTAGCATGGTGGCACATACCCTACTAGAAAAGTTTTTACACTTGCAAAACAGTATAGGGCTGGGGATTTAGCTCAGCAGCCTAAGTGCCTGCTTTGCAAGCACATGGTGGTGAGTTTGATCCCTGGTACCAAAAAAGAAAAAAAGAAAGAAAGAAAGCATAGGTTAATTACAGGGCAAAATATATGTTAAGGGCTGGGGGTTTAGTTTAGCTCAGCAGCACAGGAACAAGTGCCTTCCTGGCAAGCATGAAGTTGTGAGTTCCATTCCTAGTACAAAAAAAAAAGTATGTTAAGTATCCCAAGAACAAAAAGTATGACAAAAGGATAATTACATTTTTAAAGAGTAAGGCTCCTGGCCAGGTACAGTGGTACATTTGTACAGTCCCAAGTAATTACTATTTTGAGGGAGGAGATTTTTTGGAACAGGATTTTGCCAGGGATTTAGCTCAGTGGCACCTGCCTGGCAAGCTCCAGGTCATGAGTTTGATCACTGATACAAAAACAAAAAAATAGGATCTTGCTACATAGTCCAGGTTGGCCATTAATTCTCAGCAATCCTCCTGCCTCAGTCTCCTAAGTGCTAGAATTACAGGTCTGCACTACCACACCTGGCTAGCCCTCTGGGTATTAGAATTATAGGCCTGTGTCAACAGTCCCAGCTGATGGATTAAGGCAGGGCTTCTTGAACCCAAGAGTTGGAGATCAGCCTGGGCAACACATTAAGATCCTACCTCAAAAACAAAAAAATCTACAAGGAAAAAGCAATGCTTTCTGCAGATGTGAAATGCAAATCTAATCTTCAAAGACAGGAATAATAAATACCAATAAAAGTATGATGGCCAGAACAATGTGAAATATATATATGACAGCTCAAGAGGCTGAAGCTGGAAGTTATCAAGTTTAAGCTCAGCTTGGACAACCTAGCAAGATCTTGTCTCAAGGAGCTGGGGATTTAGCTCAGCGGCATAAGCACCTCTGCCTTGCAAGCAGGCGGTCATGAGTTCAATCTCTGGTACCGATAAAAAGTTAAAAAAAAAAAAAAAAAGAGAGAAAAAAAAGATCTTGTCTCAAAATAAAAAGGACTGGGGCTGGGGATTTAGTTTAGTGGCTCAAGAGCTTGCCTGGTAAGTGCAAGGTCATGAGTTCGATCCTCAGTACCAAAAAAAAAAAAAAAAAAAAAAAAAAAGGACTAGAGATATAGTTCAATAGTAGAGTGTTCACCTAACATGAAACTCTGGGTTTGATCCTTAACACCGCCCCCACACACACACACACACGCGAGCTAAACAACTTTTTGTAGTGCTAGGGATTAAACCCAGAGTCTTTCACAATGCTAGGAAGTACTCTACAGGAGTCATAACCAAAAAGCCAAAAGCTTTTTGATGGAAAATTCTTTTTTGTCTTTAATCCTTAAAAAAATTTTTAAACAAATATGATATAGACACTGTACATATAAATGTAGTGTGCTCAATTTTTTTTTTTTTTTTTTGTCTTGAGACAGGGTCTCACACTATGCAGTTCAGGCTGGCTTTGAGCTCACTTTGTAGCCAAGGCTGATTTCTGACTTGCAACGATCCTCCTGCCTCAGCCTTCCGAGTGCTGGATTACAAGCATGAGCCATCATGCCCGGCTAGTGTACTCAATTTCTACAAATTAATATACTCTGTAACTAGCACTGAGACCCAGGACAAAGAAACCAACTAGTGGAAAAATAATTTTTGTGAGGCCCTTAGTTAGATTTCTGTCATCCACTCCTCAAAAAAAAAAAAACAGAAAAGAAAAAAAAAAATTTTGTTTTTGTCTTTTTTAAGACAGGGTCTTGCTAGCAGTTTAGGCTGGCCTTGGGCTTACTTTGTAACCCAGGCTGATCTCTAACTTGCAAATGATTCTCCTGCCTTAGCCTTCCAAGTGCTGGGATTACAGGAGTATGCCAACGTGTCCAGGTGAAAAATAATTTTTTTGAGACAAGGACTCATTATGTAGTTTAGGTTGGGCTTGAACTCACTATGTAGTGTAGGCTGCCCTCGAACTCACAGTGATCCTCCTGCCTCAGCATCCCGAGTGCTGTGATTACAGGTATGGCTCACCAAGGCCTGGCTCAGAAAAATAATTTTAACACTGATGCATACGATCATGTAATACTACATAAATACCTAGCAGGTTGCAGTCTGACTGGGTCTTCCTAAAGTTCCTAAACTCTATCTCATGTTAGCAGAAGTGTTACAAGAAGGGAGTAAAATGAATGACAGAGGCACTGTCCCCACCTCCCACAGCCCTCCCACTTCATCCCCTCTAACCCCCATTCACCATCTCCCTTCGTGTTAGAGGTCTGTTCATCCCACTTTATCCGATGCAGCATAAGACGCTTAAATTTCTTCTGGGCCTTGGGGCCTGGAAACAGAGGAGAATTTTGCCAGAAGTATGGAAGACATTGGGGTAGAAAGGACCTCTGAGCTTATCTAATGCTCAGACAGTAGTGTGCTAGTTGAAACAATCCCAGGAATCACATCTGTATTCTCCTATTGTAATAAACACACAAACAGAGCCCCAGAACATTATATCGCATCTAAGTATGGTCTAAAATATACTTTACTCTTTTCTCCACAATGCAAATCACTAGGCTTAGGGTTATAGTGAGGGGGCTAGTTTCCCTCAGCGTCTTCAGACTCACCCCCTTCCACTACTACCACGTTGACATCCTTGTGCAGTACCACCACCCCTGTCAGGTACAGCTGCCCAGCATTGGCCTCAATCTTGAACTTCTTGGCTGGGTTGCTCAAATTTCGAACTCTAGAGAAGGGAAAGTTTAGTTATGTCTTCAATGTTAGTATCAGTAACTGTCTGAAAAGAGTGGCAACTAAACAGATGAATCTAAAATGGTTTTCTCTTTAAAAACAAAGGCCTTACCTGGGGGTATAGCTCAGAGGCACAGGCAACTGCCTGGCAAGGTCAAGGACCTGTGTTTGATCCCCAGTACCAGATAAAATTAAACACCCCCCCCCACACACACAAAGGCTCTGTGGAGCAAACAAATCTATTTCCTATTTCTTCAAAGTGTAGCAGTACATCTTAAGTCAAAAGTAGGTAATCAAAATTTACAAAGAATGAGACAGGAATTCACTATCATCTAAAAGTACTTATAAGCTCACAGCTCCTGATAAGGACCTAGACATTCTTTGCTTCCTAGAAGTCCATAATGTCATTATTATGTATGCATGAAAATTTTCTAGAAAGATGAAAAACTATTACTAGGAATTATCCATAGTGTCCTAAAATATCAAACACTAGGAATGGGACTCTTGGTAAACGTCCTTCTACAGTGTTAGAATTTTTTTTCTTTTTCATTATAAGGAACTGAACTCAGGGCCTCAAGCTTGCCAGGCAGGCACTGTGCCACTGAGCTATATCACCAGCCCTTTTAAAATATTTAATTTTAATAAGCATTCGCTACTTTTGTAGTTATATACTACTTTTATGACAAACAACTAGTTAACAGAAATAAGCAATTTAAAAACAGACTACAAGGGGCTGGGGATTTAGCTCAACGGCATAAGCGCCTGTCTTGCAAGCATGCAGTCATGAGTTCGATCCCCGGTACCGATAAAAAGGAAAAAGACAAAAAAAAAAAAAAACCCAGACTACATACACATATTTAATCTAAAAGAATAAAAACAAAACCATAGGGGCTGGGGATTTAGCTCAGCGGCATAAGCACCTGCCTTGCAAGCAGGCGGTCGTGAGTTCGATCCCTGGTACCGATAAAATTGAAAAAGACAAAAAAAAAAAAAAAAAAAACCCAAAACAAAACCATTAAACAACACAAAGACTGAAAAGTAAAAAAAAAAGACAAAAATATTTGTAATGTATAAATTCATTTTGGAGCAAAAAAAAAAAAAAAAAAAGGATTATTGTAACACATTAGGATAAAGACTTGTTTACTGAAGAAAGAAATTTTTAATGCTTTCCAGAGAAATAGGATGACATTTTATACTTCACAATGGACAAGAAAGCCTTGATTACTAGGCTTGAACAAGTTTATTCATTTCTTTATTTTGTGATTTTTTTTTTTTGGTCTTTTTGAGATAGGGTCTCACTATGTAGTTCAGGCTGGCCTTGAGCTCACTTGAAAGCCCAGGCAGGTCTTGGACTGGCCAATGATCCTCCTGCCTGAGCCTCTGTAGTGCTGGGATTACAGGTGTGTGACACTACGCCCAATTTCAAATAGTATTTAATAAGATTTGAGATAAAGAAATCAGTTTACCATAAAAATAACTCTTTTTTTTTTTATCGGTACCAGGGATCGAACTCACGACTGCCTGCTGCAAGGCAGGCGCTTATGGCGCTGAGCTAAATCCCCAGCCCCTAAAAATAACTCTTTAATTTTTGCCATTATAAAAACTCACTTGCTCTCCATTCACACTAGGGTCACCAGGCAAGAATAAGGACTAGTGCTGAGCACTGTTTGGGCCACGATGATTCTGCTTTAAGCACTTGGGAAGTATTTTAGTAAGTCTATGGGAAAGGCTGGCCTGGTATGGACACCTACCTATATACAGAAATGTGTACCCCCTGTGAAATGTCTTCTTTAAGCTTTTTAATTTTCTTGACCTTTCTTTGTTCTGCTGTAAGTTTTCGGGCAGCGTTGGCCTCTTCATGAGCTCTGTCGTGACAGGAAGGACATCCACAAGTGAGAAAGGCATTGAAGATCAGAGGCAGGGCTAAGGGAAAGAGAGAGCAACGGAGGACTCTCCCCTCCTCTCCCAATATGGATCCCCCAGTTGGAAAAGGCACATGTCCTGGGTTTCCACCCAATCCCATGGCACTTACTTCTGTCTTTTAGCCATCTGAGCTCTGACATGGGCTTCTACCTTCGTGGGATCTTGAACAGCTTCTGTTCCTAATACTCGCATCAAATTCGAAATTCTCACTGCAACGGAAAGAACATAGTACTCAATCTCCTAAATTACTTCTCTGGGGGTAACCTGGTATCTCTTCTCTCCCAAATGATATTGTTTAGCATTTCAAATCTCTGCTCAATACTTATTTCCTCCAGAGAAGAGTAAAGTATATTTTAGACCATACTTAGATGTGATTTCCAAGATCCCACCCGATGAACTCAACTTTTTTTTTTTTGAGACAGTCTCACTATGTAGTCCAGGCTCGCACTGAACTCAAGGCAATCATCTTGCCTCAGCCTCCTTAGTGCCAAGATTATAAGAATGCACCAGCATAGCCAGCTAACTCAGCTTTTGTAGAAACTCACATAATCTGAAAAACTGGCATGTATTTATATTATGAATAACAGGAAACTTAATTTCTTTGGTACTTCCCACTCTTTTTTTTCTGACTTAAAAAAAAACATGATTTCACACTTATGTGCCTCAGGTAGGTGTGAACTTGCAAACATCCTGACCAGCCTTCTGAATGATGAGAGTACAGGTGTATACTATTCAACCCTGTAGTTTCATTTTAATGATTAAAAAAATTAAAACTACAACTACTATCTTCATGAATTTTAAAACTAGTGCATTTTTCCAGAAAAATCAAAATCTTAGGTAATCAATAATACTTAAAAATAAGCCAAGGGGCCAGGGATTTAGTTTAAGCATAAGCGACTGCCTGTGAAAGTGCTGATATGTCTTTATTTATAAGAAAAGATAAGGGCTGGGGATTTAGCTTAGTGGCATAAGTGCCTGCCTCCAAGCACAAGGTCAAGAGTTTGATTCCCAGTGCAAAAAAAAAAAAAAGGACAAACAAAAAGAAAAGATAGTATAGAATTCAGGGCAGGTGTGGTGCGGTGGTGCATGCCTGCAATCTCAGCACTTGGGAAGCTGAGGCAAGAAAAACTATTTGGAGTTCAAGGCAAGCCTGAGACCCTAGCTAAAAAACAAACAAGGAATTTAAGGGAAGAAGAACCCATGAATGATTCTGAGAAACAGAAAAGATAGGTGGGTATGGTGACACACACCTGTAATCCCAACACTTGGGAGGCTGAGGCAAGTGGATTGCTTCAAGTTCAAGGCCAGCCTGGGTTACAAACTGAGTTCAAGGCCAGCCTGAATTGCACAGTGAGAATCTGTCTCAAAAAATAAAAAAAAGAAGAAAAAGAAACAGAAAACACTGGAAGAGAGATGTTAAGGTTCTTCTAGAATTTATTAAAGGAAGCAAGCTACTATCTTTTTAGTAGCAGGGCCAACTAAGACATGTACCTTTGGGTTCTGGAGGAGGCATCAGTCCCAGCCTGACTTTCTCTTGTAGTTCCTTCTGTGCTTCCCTCCGCGTTTGCCTTCGAAGTTTCTTCTGTTCCTTCTTGGTAAGATAAACTCCCAGAGTAACTGGTGTGTCATTGTCAACTGTCATAAAGAGAAACAAATATCTCAAAAGAGGAAGACTATTGGAAAAACTTAGGTGAGCAGCATCACATTTAAAAGACCTGCAGCTGAATTTTTTTTTTTTTTTTCTCTTTGGTCTCTTTTGAGACAAAGTTTCACTATACAGTTCATGCTGGCCTTGAAGTCACTCTGTAGCCCAGGTTGGCTCTGAACTCAAAGTGATCTTCCTGCCAAAGCCTCCTAAGTGCTCAACAGTTATGTGCCACATCCAGCTGTTTTTTTTTTTTTTTTTTTGGTTTTTATAGCTGTTATTTTTAACTTGTAATAGGGGTCATATGATTACACTTTTTAAAAGCATTCATTAAGTGGTATTGTTATTTTTGTTCAACTAGTTAAATTCTTTCATCAAATGAAATATAGCAAATGCAGAAAACTAATTAGGCCCGTTCTAGTTGCTCTGTGTGAGAATGTAGTGTAGCATTAAAAGGATTGGGGGAACCTATTAAGAGCCTATCTTTTGTATGTAAATGTTTCTCTGGAATACACCTTCAAAAATCACTGGCCTAGACAATAATGTTTATAATTTTGGAGTCCCAGGGAATGGGAAAAATATTCTCGACAAGCAGAAGAGGTTTAATTAATAATTAAAACCAGCCAGAGTGTGAATTATGTGAATCAAGCCAGCATTTGGGAGGCTGAGGGCAAGAGGATTGCCCTGAGTTTGAGGCCAGCCTGGGTTATACAGTGAGTTCAAGGCCAGCCTGCACTACAGAGTAACACCTTGTCTCAAAAATAAAATAAAATCCTTTCATTCTTCAAATCACAATGATGATAGGTAGTACCCGGTTAAGTAAAATTCAGTATTGTTACAACTGTGTCACAGACTGAATGCCCCTAATTTGAAAATCCAAATGATATTATGGTCCAAAGTCCAAAACTTGGGCTGGGCATGGTGGTAGATGTGTGTAAGACTGAGGCAGGAGGAGGCATTCAGAATTCAAGGTTAGCTAGGATACATAGTGAGTCAAGGTTAGCCTGAACTGTATAATGAAACCCTTTCTCAGAAAAAAAAATAAACTAGCATATTTTGGGGTTTTGGATTAGTAACTCTCAACTGGCAGCAGAAGAGTGGTAGCCCACTCTTGTACACACTGGGAGGCTGAGATAGGAGGACTGGCAATTAGAGGCCAGCCTCGGCAACTTAGTGAATTAAAGAAACTCTCTCCCTAGTATCGCCAAAAAGGGAGAAGTGGGGAGCTTCATTACAAAGTCTACACAAATGTTTCAAAATCTGAAAAACCAGGAAACCTGAAATGCTCTGATCTCAGGCATTTCAATTATAAATGTTTAACCTGTATTTCAAGGTCATTATTTTTCTAAACTTACTAAAGAAAATGTCAAATGAATTTACCAATTAGGATATGATCTCTCCTTATTCATCCTAAATCTGGTATAAGAGATTAAAACATTCATGACTGACATAACTTTTGTTTAGTGGTACTAAGGATTGAATCCAGGTGCCTTGCATTGAGCTACATCCCCAGGCCTTTTACATTTTTGACACAGGATCTTACTAAACTGCTGAAGCTAGACTAGAACCTGTAATCTTCCTGCCTCGTCCTCCCTGATTGCTGGGATTACAGATATGCACCACCATTCTTGGCTTGATCTACGTAACTCTTGAAGAAGACATATCAGAGTTAAGCAACTCTACATATGAAGAAACTCTCAAATTCTAAATGACTTCCTGGAAGCATTCAACTGGTTGAAAGTACAGCCACAACTAAAACCTCTTTTTCAGTCAGGTATGATGGCACACATCTGTAATCCCAGCACACATGAGGCTGAGGCAAGAGAACTGCTAGAAGTTCAAGGCCAGCTAGGCTACAAAGCTAGTTTAAGAGCACAGTGAACTGCATAGCAAACCCTGTCTCAAAGACTAAATAAATAAATAAATAAAACAAAACCTCTTTTTTGACTGAACCCATATAGACTTTTGCTGCAAAATACAAAAGAGAAAAGAAAAGCCAGGCAAGGTAATACATACCTGTATTCTCAACACTCTGAGAAGCTGAGTCCAGAGAGTTGCAAATTTTTTTAGCCTGTGCAATTTAGAGACTTGGTGAGGCCCTGCCTCAAAATAAAATGGCTGGAGATGTAGCTCAGTGTGAGAGCTCTAGGTTCAATCCCTAGTACAGGAAAAAATAAATTTAAAAGAGCTGGCAGTATGTCTCAGTGGTAAAGTACTTGCTTGGCATGTGTGAACCCCTGGGTTCAATCCCTAGTATTACCACAAAACAAAACAACAACAACAAAAAAACATGGAAAACACTGCAGACAAAGATCAAAGATGACCAGGTATTATGAGATGTGCAAGACTGTAGCTGTAGTTAAGTTCTATTGGATAAGTTCTAATTGTCAGACTGGGGATGTGGCTCAGTGGTAGAACTCTTGCCTTACATGTACAAGGCCCTGGGTTTGATTCCACAGCACCAAAAAAAAAAAGAAAAAAAAAAAAAAGAAAAAGAAAAAAAGAAAGAAAGAAAAATTCTAACTATCTAAAGCCTTGAGTAATCTGTACATTACCTGGAGGATTGAGCTGAGCTGGATGTTCGACAAGATTTGTGATTCCGAAATAATCTTCTCTTTTAGGATTTTCCTCTGTACTAAAATTGGAGGAAGGAGAAACAACAGGATATGTGGGCTATGTGGGTAGAAATGATGCCAACAGAGAACTCGCAGAAAATCCCAACCATTCTCTATAATGTGTTTTAATGTTTTTAGCAGTTACTTATCTTTAATATCATTTTTAGGGTGAGAAAACTGTGTCCCACTAAAGCTGCATGCATTCTCCACATCAGTAATCCAATTTTTTTTCTAACCTAACACCATTGACAGATGGCATATTTCATCATTTTATCCTTTTATTAGTAGAATTAAGACCTAGGGATGGTAGTTGAAAAAGGAAGGGTAAGAGAAAGCTAAGACTACTAAATATGTTGGCAGATGCCTGTGACTCCAGAACTCAGGAAGGCTGATAAACTCAGGAACTCAGGAGAACTGCAAATTCAAGCCCAGCCTAGGTAACTTAGTGATTTAATGTGACCCTGTCTCAAAATAAAAACTACAAAAGGGCCATGGATGTAGATCAGTGTAAAGGCCCTAGCTTCAACTCTCAGTACTAACATAACCATACAAATGAAACAAATATAGCCACATTCAAAGCATATTAACTAACAAACTCACAGATCAAAGCCATTGGGTATGATGTAAGAGTCCCACCACTCAATTTCTGGAATATCTCCTTCCTTAAGCTCTTTCTTAGGAGCAATGAGAGCAAGCCTAGTTGAAGCATGAATGCCTGTTTTTCGAGCGGCCTGTGAAATCTCTGCCTGCAGCTTCTCCAGTTGAGCCTAAAGACAAACCAAGAGATACCTAATTGGTAGAACCCCAAATTTTATAATACCTCTTATTGAACTTTACATGTAATATAAGTTCAATTGATGAAAGTTTAGGAAAAAAGAGGCATTCTGCTTTATTTTATCCTTTACTTACATACATCTCACCCCTATCACTTCCACTTTACCCTGTGTCTGCCTATAGCAGATATGCAGAAATAAAATTCAATGAAATCCTACTTTGGAAGAACAAAAAGAAGGCAAAGGGCTGGGGATTTAGCTCAGCGGCATAAGCGCCTGCCTTGTAAGCAGGCAGTCATGAGTTCGATCCCTGGTACCGAAAAAACGAAAAAGACAAAAAAAAAAAAAAAAAAAAGAAGGCAAAACAAACTGTATATATACAATCAAGTCAACTATCCAGGTGCGTAGATGGCAGCAAATAACACCAGGCTAGTTTTTCTTAGTCACTCAAAAAGTTATAAATTGTTTCTCTCCACTGTCAGTGTAGGTGAAAAATTTCAAATTCAATTAGGAAGAGAAATCAGCAAAAATCAAGTATTTCAGGAATAAATATAGTGTTTAAAAATACCTGCTTTGAATTTCTGTTTAGCTAACTCCCCAAAATAGAACTAAATTCATAGTACTTTCCTGTCTGTCAGCCTCCTAATGTCTTCTAAATTCTGGGTTATATTCTAAGTCAGGTACCTTTGTCCGTAATCGTTGAGCAATCTTCTCAAATTTACCCTTGTCATGAAATTTAAAAGTGCGTCTCTGGCGCTGTGAAGGGGCAATCGAGACACGGGGATCAAAAAAAGTATTGGACTCCATGTCTTCTGATGGCTTTTCTTTGAGCTGCTGCTTGAACTGTTCCCTTTTCACAGCACGAATATTAGCCTTCAGTGTAGGCATGCGATGTGTCAGCTCAATCTCCTTGCCTGTTGCATCTACAGTACGACCTTGCTCATCTAGGATCAGGGGTGTAGGTTTCGTTTGATCTTTTAGTTCTACTTTCCTGAAAAATAGACCACAAAAAAGAATTTCTACAAGGAACAATAACGCAAGAAAACAACTAGAAAAAAAAAATGAAATAAATTTTTAAACTATACTGAAGAGATTTTTAAATTCTGTCAGTTTTGGGGCTGGGGATTTAGCTCAGCGGCATAAGCACCTGCCTTGCAAGCAGGCGGTCATGAGTTCGATCCCCGGTACCGATAAAAACGAAAAAGACAAAAAAAAAAAAAAAATTCTGTCAGTTTTTATTCCTGTTTTTTTTTGTTGTGGTTGTCATTTGTTTGTTTTTGTTTTATTTCCTTTCTTTTGCAGTGCTGGACATCTCATCGAGGGCTGCATAATTCTAGGCAAGCACTCTATCATTGAGCAATACACTCACCTTCTAGTCTTAAATTTGAGTCAGTCATATGCCAGACCAATCAGAAACACTAAAGCTAATATTTTTGTCCAGTTGTACAGTATCCTTAGATATGTTCTTTTATTTTATTTTATTTTTTTGGTACCGGGGATCGAACTCACAACTGCGCACTTGCAAGGCAGGCACTTATGCCGCGGAGCTAAATCCCACCCCCTTTAGATATGTTCTTACTCAAATGTTTAATGGGTAAAGCCCGGGATTAAAAATTCAGGGACTGGTTCTATTGCCAGGGCCAATATTAGATAAATAATGGTACTCTCAGGTCCATCAATCATAAACAGATAAACTCTAAAATAAGGAAGCCAAGAAATTCAATTAGCATTTATAGATCACATAAAATATGAAACTAAGAGATACTTTTGATGCTCTGAAAAAACAGAATCAGTAACATTCAAAGATACTTATTACTTCTCAAGCTTCAAATATGACAAAAGATAGCATGAATCTATACTTACGGGGGAGCAATGCCCATTGCATGGAGATTAGCTAGGCCTACCATATTGGCATTGCCAATGAGGCCTGGCTTCAGTGCCAGTTGGGCCTGGATACGGGCTTGTAGTTCAGCTGCTTTCCTTGCCTTTTCGATGGCATCATTCATAAAAGTAGCAGCTTGGGAAGGCTGAATAGTGTTGCCTATTGGAAGTCGCTCTGGCTGGGATGAAGAAGGAGTCTTTGGCTGTCAGATAAAGAAGTCAAAGGGATTGAAATAGGCAGATAGCTCTATGCAAACACATACACCCCATGCAGACTATGGTACACGACTGTGGAAGGGACCTTTTGAACTCTCATTTGAATGAATGGCAAGAGACATGCTAAAGAGTATTGTGACCACAGTACCTGAGGAGCTGGGGGGCTAATGAAGCTCAGCTGTTTTTTCCTCTCTTCTATTTGTCGGGTTGCTGCTTCCATCATCTGTTTAATCTATTTTCCAGGTAGGAAAAATTGAACAGGTGTTAATTTCTCCAACCCAGGTTGCTAAAGCAGAATGCTCTTAGGTCTAGAAACCTAAAACTTCCCATATGACTCCAACATACTCTTCCTGCACACAGACTAAAAAATATAGTAAAGACAAGCCTACAAAGCTGAGCACTAGAACCTTTCAACTTTCTTTTCTTTTTTTTTTTTTTTTTTTTTTTTTTTTGGCTTTTTCTTTTTTTATCAGTACCAGGGATCAAACTCACGACTGCCTGCTTGCAAGGCAGGCGCTTATGCCGCTGAGCTAAATCCCCAGCCCTCTCAACTTTCTTTTCAAGACAGGATTGGTATGTTAGTAACACAGCTGCTGATTTAAGACACAGACAAACTTGAATATGACTGTTTTCTTATAAAATTAATTTTACTGATATTCTTTTGATATAAATAATGATTCCCAACTCATCATAGGGAACTTGTACCTGTACAAATATATCTTTTTTTTTTTTTGGTCTTTTTCCTTTTTATCGGTACCGGGGATCGAACTCACGACTGCCTGCTTGCAAGGCAGGCACTTAAGCCGCTGAGCTAAATCCCCAGCCCCTCTTTTTTTGTTTTGTATCAAGGGTTGAACTCAGAACTTTGTACTTGCCAGGCAGGTGCTGTGCCACCAAGCTATATCCCAGGGCCCTCTGTCTAAATACATCTTGATTCTTATTTCTTCCGCAATTGCTCTTTTCTCCTTTCAACTCTTTCCCTGTTTTTCTGAGTATGATTTTTACCTCTATTACATCCTACTTGTGTTGAGTAGGTACTTAATCTCTAAGCCTCCCAATGTCTAAAAAGGAAGGAAAATAATACATACGGCCTACTTCACAGGACTATTTTGTTTTTCTTTTTCTTTTTTTTTTTTTTTTTGCCCCACCCTCCCACAGGGCTATTTTGAACATGTAAATAATTCATTCAAACCTCCCATCAAAACTCATACAAATTATTCCCTTTCAATGTCTTCTGTTTTCTTTTTTGTGGTACTCATTATCTAACCCTGAGCTCCACCTCTAGTCCGTTCCTTCCTTCCTTCATATAGAGTTACAATTTAGTAGTTGCACAGGTTTGGCTCAAACTTGCAATCCTCCAGCCACAACCTCTCACTGCTGGGATTACAGGCATGTGCCTCCACACTTGGTTTATTCAAAAGTTTTTAAATTAAAAAAGGGGATCTAGGTGTGGTGGTACATGTTTGTAATTCTAACACTTGGGAAGCTGAGACAGGAAGACCACCATGAGTTTGAGTCTGAGGCCAGCCTGGGCTATACAAGTGAGTTCAAGGCCAGCCTGTATTACATAGGGAGACCCTGTCTCAGAAAATAAATAAATTAAATAAATTAAAAGGGGATTGGATTCTTCCATCCTTATTCTCTATTAAAAAAACCCTTAATTCCTTTTCTTCCAAGAATATCATATATATAAAATCCATCTAGCCATATAAAATAGTATATATTCTATTCTTCCCTCAAACTTATATAGCTACTCTATCCTCCCTCAATATTTTTTCCAGTACTAGAGATTGAACTGAAGATCTTCACACTGAGCTTCATTCTCAGCCTCCACTTTTTTTTCTAATTTTGACTATGCTGCTAAAGTGCCCAGGTTGAGCTCAAATTTGTAATATTCCTGACTCACTCTCTCAAGAGTGTTGGGATTATAGGTGTGTGGCATTGCACCTGGCCCCAATTTTTAAAAGTGGTTAATGAAATATTTATTGCCTATGTAGTATCAAAATTATTCAGCACTATCCATCTAAAAAACACTTGTTACATTATTTTTTGTTAGGTACTGGGAATCTAACTCAGGACTTCATGCTTGTCAGGCAGGTGCTGTACCACTGAACTAAATCCCCAGTCCCAAAATACTTAAAATAGAAGTCAACTTGAAATTATTTATAAATTGGTTATATCTTCTTTGCACATCTGAAAAATTCTTTTCTGCATTCAAGATGAGTTTCTCAGTGTTTTTGTATTTTTTGAGACAGGGTCTATGTAGTTCAGACTGTCCTTGAACTCAACACAGACCAGGCTGGCCTCAAACTTAAGGCAATCCCCCTGCCTCAATCTCTCAAAATGGGATTACAGGTGTGTGCCACCGCCCATCCTGGGGATTGAAGCCAGTCTTTACAATGAGCTACATCTCATCTCGCTCACCTTTTTATTTTAAGACGGTCTTCTAATTTGTCCATGTGGGGCTAGTATTTATTATCCTTCTGACTCAGCCTCCTGAGTAGCTGGCATTACAGTAAATCCCTGATTTATTAATATTCAAATTTCTAATTTTCAGGCTGGAGGTATAGCTCAGCAGCACAATGCCTGTCTGGCAAGTGCAAGGTTGTGAGTTTGATTCCCAATACCAAAATATAAAAAATTAAAATAAAAAAAAGTTGCTAATTTGCACAGGCACAAATTAGATCTCACATTACAAACATGTAGATGTGAACAAACTGTGAAGTAGCTCATGTCTCTACCTTATCAGCATAAGGTAACTGTAAAAGTAGTTTATTTACACTATTTTTGAGTGTGTGTGTTTTATAATGTATATTTATGTTAAAGGTGTATAATACTCACTCTGTCAGACTTACAGAATCTGACTCTCCTGGAACAGAACTCATTCATAAATTGGGGACTTACTATATAGGCATGTGCCAGTAATCCAGTATCAAGCTGAATTCTGATCATTTCAGTTCATTTTCCCAATGACCCAATGAAGTAGATATTAGGTAAAAAATGTAATACACTTTGTTTGACACAAAGTAGGTACTCAGTAAACAAAATTCCAATAATCCTTAACTGGAATACTCCTCGTTAAATTAAGGAATGCTAAAATGTAAAGCAAGAAACTTCCCTAAATGTTAAACACTATTTCAAATCAATATCACGGTAAGAATGGACTCATGTTCTTCTCAATTCATCTCATGAAATCACTGTGCTTCTAGTCCCCAGTAACTAACCTGGAGCTTAGTCAGCATGCCTGGGCTCTCAGATGGAGGCCCAGGGATCACCTCTGGCTCCTCTTCTACCTCCTCAAAACGGGGTATTCGTCGCTTCTTTACTCCTGATGATTCCTTGGAAATTTCAGAGTCATCACCAAACACCTCCTAAGGGAACCCAAGATGAAAAAAAGTTGTATCCCTTTCCTTAGGGAGAAGGGAAGAATTATTCTAGCCCCTACCAGTATTCTGTGGTTTTCCCAGGGGAATAGGATGCAACCTTGCAAATAACTACTTGCCAGAAGTAGGGTCTTCTAGACTCTCCACCAAATGGACCATTTCACTTAACTTCATTGTTCTACTTGTCAAGCAAACTATATACTCATATTCTAAAATGTTCCTATCTCAAGGTCTTTGCAAGTGCTACTGCCTACATTTGTAAAGCTTTTCCTCAACTTTTCCATAACCCTTATTCCAAATTCTGTCTAAAACTCACCTCCTCAGGAAGTTTTCCTCATTATAACCTTAACAACTCAAATCAAACTTTTGTTTCACATCTTCTTAGCAATTAAGAGCTTGGTTCATATGAGCTTAAACTACATTGTTAATACTGGTTGCCGAGTGTTAGGTCTTTCAGTGGTGGTAGTTTCTCCCAACTAAGCTCTTCCAGGACAGGGCCTTTCTCTTTCTCAGTATTCCCCAATAATGCTTCATTCTTACCAATGGAAACTCAAATAGGCTGACTAACTTGCAAGGTGAATTTAACAGGATCAAGAGTGGCCAACTGGAAGGGACAATGGGAAAAAGCAAATGTACACACCGGTGGTAGGCTTTGGGTGACATCCCCTCTTCACTAGGAGGGCTCGTGTTTTGCAAGGACATATCCTCGGCCAGGGGCGAGCGCTTCCTGGAACTCCTACAGTTCAAGAAAAAGGACTCTCCCATAATATATTGTGTGGAGTGGGGACCTGAATGGACCAAAATGGGACCCATATCCCATGGCTATCTAGATACCTCCTTTGAGAAACCGTTTTACTAATCCCACCCACTGTAGTCACTTTACTCATAGAATTGTCTCAGAACTTACACAGTGGCACACCCTATCTTAATATAATCTTCATGTACAGATCCGTGTAAGCTATGGATTACTTCCTTTAAGTAACAAAACTCAGCAAAAGTTTGAAATTTTATAACTGCCCTAAAATTTACATGGAACAGCTATTCAGATTTCAAAATCTGTGACTATATTTTATTGTACCCTCCATCTTTTTTAAAATGTCAATTTTTTTAAAGGGAAAGATTATGTCTCATTCCTCTGATCACCCTATAATGCTCTAAAAATAAAAGACACAAGAATTTCTATTTTTACTGGTTCCAAAAAGCCAAACAGTCATTGCTTAGCCACTCTTTGTGTTTCTAGAAATCAATGGGGTAACCAAGGTACCAAAAAGCACTTTGGAAGGTTTGATATGAACCATAGATTTTTTTTTTTAAAAAGAGAGATAGAGGTAAATGTGATGAGAGAAACTGGCTACTTGAATGAAATGAGAAAGAGATCAACTAATTGACACTGCTAATACTGAAAAAGATCACAACCAATCAGTAAAACAGAATATAAAGTGTAGTGGGAAAGAGTACTGCTAGTTACTTTGTACCTCATGGGTCCAGATGATGTGCAATATGCTATACAGAAATTCATAAGCTCAAGAGTATATAATAACTGTTTTTAGGTATCCTATCTACAAGTGCAGTGCAGAGAAACCTATTGACAAGCAACAGTGACATCTACAATTAAGGAATCAATGGAATCACATTCTGAAGCAACTGGGTAACAAAAGATACAAATCTTAGAGCAATCAATATTTACACAGTAGTGGGGGCAGGGCATGGAGAAACATGAGAACCAAAACTCCTAACTATGAAAAACATGACAAAGCTACCTATTACTACCTACTAATTCTCGAAATATTTTAAATGAACTTATTGCATCATGCTAAGGTGGTGATAATACAAATTCACCTCCTCTATTTTAGTCTAAGAACCTCTCTTGAACAGTAGGTATTTTAATGGCAGATATAAACTGTATAAGCCAATTAAGATCAACAACTTTGTCATCCAAAACACTTCTGAGCTCATTAGATAGTAAACCAAAACCTACCTTTAGCTCTCGTTTTCTGCTCCTATCACTGCTAGACTTGGAATGTCTGGAGCTTCGGCCTTCCTCTACAGCTTCAAACAGTTTATCCACAAATCGGAGTGTAGACTCATCAAGAAAAGGTTTTAGATGGTCTGATATGAAAAAGGAGATGGTAAGATTGAAAAGGTTAGAGTACAGATTCCAGTACTAGAAATGTAATATACATTAGCATTGAAATTTAATTCACAGAAAAGAGTAAAGTTTTTAAAAATTCTTTGTAGCACAGATTTTGTTACATTAAATGACCCTACTGTGAGTAAAAATAGTTGTTTTTGCTTCTGAATAAGCAGTAGCATACTCAGCACAACCTGTTATAACTTTAGCATCAGTTTAAAATGAATAACCCACTCAAAATTTTCCCAAGTAGCAAGCTGTAGACTAGTACAATATTAGCAAAACCTATCTTCATAAACTTTTTTTGTTTTTCGTCTTTTTAAGACAGGGTTTCACTATGAGGTTCATGCTGGTCTAGACTCACTTTGTATCACAGGCTGTCCTTGAACTTGCATTGACCCTTCTGCCTCAACCTCCCAAGTGCTGTGATTACAGGTATGTGTTATCCTGTCCAGCTTTCTCAAAGTTTTTAAATGTATTCCTTATGCTGAAATGTCAAAGTGTATCTGAATATGTATCTCTGACTTTAGCATATTTCCTGAGTCTAACTTAGTGACTCAGTATGGTCATCAGAAAGTCAGTTTGAGATTCAAAATATTCCACAAGTAATACAAAAAGTAAGCAATAGGAGAAAGGTTAATTATTTAACTTATTTCCACGATAATGCAAGAAAAAATAAAACATGGGACCTTCTTTTCTTTTTTGCTTTTTTCCAGTACTGGGGATCAAACTCAAAACCTTGCACTTGGTGTTTATGCTGCTGAGCTAAATCCCCAGACCCAACATGGGCCCTTCATTAGGTGCTCCTAAAAAAGGAGAATTTAGGAATGTTCAAAGCAGTATTTGTGGCTGGGCATGGTGGTGCACCTGTAATTCCAGCACTCAAGAGGCTGAGGCAGGAGGATTGTTGCAAGTTTGAGACCAGCCCGGGTTACAAAGTGAGCCAAAGGCCAGCCGCAACCAGATGGCGAAACCTGGCCTCAAAAGGACAAAAAAAAAAAAAAAAAAAAAAAAAAAAGCAGTATTTGAGATGATCCTCTAAGTTATGTCAAAAGAGCTATACATACCAGCTGCCTTTTTCTTGTCCATCCCTTTCCCCACACAGTTCAATGCTGCTGTGACCACTGTGGGCTCTGAGAAACCCAGTACTCTCTTCACTGTCTTCTCTATCCATGGTTTCAGCTCATCCAGCTCCCTCTTGGACAGCGCCATTATCCCAGAAAAGGAGAATGACAGCTTAAATAGGACTCTACACCTAAAAAGAGACCAGGAAAGAGTTAAAGTAGAAAACAGGAGAAATTTTTTAAAATCCAGGACAATACTTAGTATGTCAGAGTGCCTATCCTACCTCTATTCTCAATGCCTATACAAGTTCCTCTACTTCATTTGAAGGGAAAATACTTTCCCTGAGAACTATACTTCAAAGCAAAAGAAATTCCATTTACTTTTTTTTTTTGGTAGCAGGATTGAACTCATGACCACACACTTGCAAGACATGCTGCTGAGCTAAAAACCCCCCCACCCTTCATTTACTTTTTTTTTTGGTGGAACCAGGGATTGAACTCACGACCTTGCACTTGTCAAGTAGGCGCTTATGCTGCTGAGCTTAATCCCCAGCCTCCCTTCATTTACTTTTTAACTCTAACTCAGTAAGCACCAATCAATGACATCTGTGGGAAAACAATCTTTGAGAATAACGTAGTCTGAGAAATGAGTTGTAGCTTCCTTTTTGATCCTGAAAAACATTATAATCTTTTTTTTTTTTTTTTGTCTTTTTCATTTTTATCAGTACTAGGGTCAAACTCACGACTGCCTGCTTGCAAGGCAGGCGCTTATGCCGCTGAGCTAAATCCCCAGCCCCGAAAAACCTTATATTAAAATGAGATAAAAAGTCCATCCAAGCTGGACATGGTGATATATGCCTGTAATGCCAGCTACTTGGGAGACTAATGCAAAAGAATCACAATTTTAAGGCCAGTCCGCAAACTTACGTCAGACTCTATCATAAGATAAAACAAAATAAAATAAAATGCTGGGGCTGGAGCTCAATAGTAGAGTTCTTGCAAGGCTCTGGGTTTAACTTCAAAAACTGAAGAAATCAAGATCATCCAAAGGAAAGCCCTTCTTTTCTTCCTGCTTCCAAGCAGGTATTCCCTAACCGAGTCCTGACCCTGGGTTTCTCTTCTAAAGAATACAAATAAGGAAGGTTTATGCAGGTCAGTTATCAGGTATAAAAATCTCATAATCCATAAGAATGTTCATACCAGTGGAAATTCTATACACAGATAATCCTGTATCATTCTCTATAGTTTGTCAGCTGACTTGAAAAGAGTAATCCCTCAGCTTTCAAGATTACCTCCATTTTGGATTCTCTTTTTTTATCAGGAACCTGGCCAAGAGTCCCAAATGTCAATATCAGGAGTGCAGTGAGAAAAATAAAAAACAGAAACAAGTACCGTATTGTTTAACAAAAAATGGCTGGGAAGTCAGTGTCTCTGGATCCAATCTTTTTTTTTTTTTTTTTTTTTTTTTTTGGTCTTTTTCATTTTTATCGGTACCAGGGATTGAACTCATGACTGCCTGCTTGCAAGGCAGGTGCTTATGCCACTGAGCTAAATCCCCAGCCCCCAATCTTTTTCACTCCCAAAACAGCCACTATTTATTTGGTCTATACAGTGATAGACGAGGGTAGCAAAGAATTACAATTTATCTAAAAAGACTCTGACTCCAGAGGGGGTAGATAATCTTATGTTTGAAGTATCCTGACCTGAGTATAATCCTGAGACGATTTAAGTAGGCGTAGATGATCTTATGCTTGAAAGAGCCCATGGAAAACCCCAGATGGGTGATACCAACAATCCCACTTCTTCCTTTCATCCCACAGGGAAATATACAAAACCAGTCACTCTGAATTTGTAGTCCCCAACATCTTTTTACCTTTATTCTTCTAGTTTCTTAGCTCAGCACAGAAACAGTATCATAAATGGGAAGCCATGACAGAACTTTATTTTTGAATGCAAGTTAGTATAAAATTTCAGTGTTACTCACATTTACATATGATCTCCCTAAATCTTCAAATAGCTGGCAGAGCACTGAGAAGATTTTATTTATTTATTAACTATACTTTGCAACAGTCAATAAACTGCACTAACTTCAACTTCCAAGATAACCTATTAGGACAGTCACTCATCACAATATGATCTGGGAATTAATCTTTCAAGATGTTTAAAGATAGCCCTTCTTCTAAAAGCTAGTCTGATTAATTTTCTTTTTTTTAAAACAAGATCTCACTCTATAATTCAGGCTGGCCTCAAACTCATGGTGATCTTCCTGGCTCAGCCTCCTGGGATTACAAATGTGCATCACCACACCCAGCTAACTTCTACATTCTTGACAGGTTTACCTCTATAAGGTCTGCTTCACTCATATATACAAATTTCCCCCCAGGAACCCAAGATTCAAAGAGTTTGTGCCTAAGCAATAAATTACATGAAAGGGCAGGTGTAGTGGCGCATGGCTGTAATCCTAGCACTCAGGATGCTGAAGCAAGCAGATTACTGTGAGTTTGAGGCCAGCCTGGAGTACATAGTGAGTTTAAGGCCAGCTTGAATTACATAGTGAGACCCTGTCACAAAACAAAACAACTTAAGTTATATAAATAATTCTATGGTGCTTCTATTACACTATCATGAGATATTTACATAGCAAATGTACATTGTTCAAAAGAAGCATATACAAATAACTCAAAGGATACAGAAGCACATCTGGGCAATCAAGGGAATAAAGAAAAGAGCTCACTTAACAGTGAGGTCACTCCAGGCTGTGGCCCCTCCAGGGGGAGAACCACCAACCAGTGTCTCCTGAGATCCACACCACGTTGGAACTTAGGGTGCTGGGAAACCAAGCAAGCAGCTCCCCTGGCTGGTAAGCAGCTGTGGTGCGGCAGGCTGCGGCCCCTCCAGGGGGAGAACCACCAGCCATCTCCTGAGATCCGCACCATGTTGGAACTTAGGACGCTGGCAAACCAAGCAACCAGCCTGCCTCCCTGCTAAGCAACAGTGAACCTACTGGTGCATGGGCTGAGAGTCAATCTTCCCACTTCCCCTACCCCACTTCCCCTGCACCCCTCCACAGTTAGCAAATGGGAACCAGACATCTGAGCATCTCTTGGGACCATGGCAAATAAGGGGGATTTCCTTCTACCATCTCTTTGAAGGCAAATATTTTTATGACTGTTTTGCTTTATTCTGATTTATGGTACTGCTCTATTCAATATTCTGTTTTGACGAGTTCTATAATGTTCTGTATTTCATTTTATTTTGATATACATGATCGAAAGAACAAATATTGAGAAGATAACAAGATATACTGTGATACCTATTACTGCTATCCCGGTAACCTGCTGTGAACTTCTGTACCGATTTCACTACACTGTCTCAGTTGGCTTTATTCTGTCTTGTTCTGTTGTATTTTACTACCTTAAAAAACAAAACAAAACAAAAGTGAGGTCACTGGATCCCATCATTAACAAGTTTTAGGCAAATTAATTCCTCTGAGCCTCGATTTACTCATCTTGCACGTTGAGGGCTATTGGCATATCTACATAATAGTCAACTCAATAAATATTAACTACTAAGCATCAGTACAGTGAGTGCTGAGAATGCATACAGCAGTAAACAAATCGGACAAGAATCTTTATCTTAATGGAGTTTGCATTCCACTAGAATTGCACCATAAGCGAGAAAGTATAAGGAACCCAATCAATAAATGAAAGTACCAATCATTGATTGAAAACCCAATCAATAAATGAAGTACCAAGCTGGGCATGGTGGTGCACTCCAGTAATCCCAGCACTTAGGAGGCTGTGGCAGGAGAATCGTTTGCAAGTTCGAGACCCGCGTGGACTACTATGTGAGCCCGCAGCCAGCCTGAACTACTTAGCAAGACCCTGTCTCAAAAAGACAACAATAATAATAATAAATGAAGTACCAATATTACCAGATGGAATGTGCGTCCAACTGCTATGCTAATGAATGTATTCAAATTCAACCCAACCCCGGTATGAAAATGTGCAAACTTAATAGCCAATGAAGAAAGAAAGTTTCCAACAGTAACTTGCTTTGCCAGGCATCAAATGCTCAACAATTACTGTGCAGTGGCAGTAGCAGAAATGTGAGAGGAGATTAACGCAGAGTCCATTCTCTGAACTAGCGGGCAGCAGAACCCAATCTTCTGAAGGAATCCCTTACTCTTCTTAGCCAGAACCCCAGTGTTCCCCGGAAACCCCCATTCTTCTAGTTTTGCTCCCTCTGCCTTTCCATCTGGTCAAGTCCTCTCAACTCTGTTCCACCCCAACTCCTCACCTCAGGGCTGTCTCCCCACCCCGCACCCTCCCGCCCCCGCCCTTTTCCTCCCAGCAATTTCATTCCGGCCTCCGCTCTACAGCCCCGACCACTTTCCTCAGTCGCTTTCCCGCCCGACTCTCTGGCCCAGGAATTTCCCCGGCCCTCAGACCCGGACCCCGTCGCTGAGATCGTAGGATACTTTCCCTGGCCGCAGCCACTACTCACCTCACAAACTTCAGCCCCTGAGACGGAGCTCGAACGTTACACCGGAACCGGAAACCTTCGGCCTGCCCTACGGCCCGCCGTCGCTACAGACACAGCCGCCGCCACGCTGCGGGCCTTTGACACGTGACTGGGGAGCCGGCGGCCGACTGCGCAGCCGCAGTCGGCACTTACTGTGGCAGCGCGCAGGCCTGGTGGGAGGCCCAAAGCTTCCGGGTGCAAGTCGTGGGCCTTCCCCAGCTAAAGCTGGTAACTAGCTAACTCAGTGGTCATTGGCCCCTACAGCAGGAGTTGGGCCACTTTGAAGTTTTTCTCGTGGGAAAAGTAAGTGTGGCCAGCTGGTGTTAACGTTTTGCTGGAACTGAACTGTGTGTATACGCGCGCAGGGGCGTGCGTATTTGACCTTTCTGGTAACATACTCCTAGTTGTGTTCACTAACACAAACCAAGAGCTGGGGATTTAGCTCAGTGGCATAAGCGCCTGCCTTGCAAGTGTGCGGTCCGGAGTTTGATCCCTGGTACAAAAACAAAAAGCAACCCAACAAAACTATCCTGGAAATCACCCAGGAAAAAGACAAGAGGAGGACTCTTAGGAAAGCAGCCCTCTATGTATTTTGTCCATTCATTCATTCAGGAACAGATACTTACCCACTACCTACTACTTCGTACCAGGCACATGAGACATGATATTGCTTAGCTATTAGGTAAAATTGCTGGCTTTAAATTGAACTGCCTAGATTTGTATTCGTCTCCTACTTATTAGTTATATGATAGGCAAGTTGCCTCAACTCTGTTACCTCACCTTTAAGGATACATGGAACAAACAAATCCACTGGCACAATGGAATATGCCTGTAACCCCAGCCATTCAAGAGGCTGAGCCAGGTTGGCCATGGCAACATAATGAGAGCAAAAGAAAAATATCAGCAAGGTTGGGGATGAGACCACACTCTTTGCATTCAATCCTCAGTACAGCATCTCTTCCCCCCCCCCCAAAATCCACCTCATATGGCTGCTGTGAGTACAAGAGGGAGTAAAGTGGCTGTGAGCATAGCCCAGTGTAGAGCACTTGCAGAATGCAAAACTGGCTACAAAATATGGCATAAACTATTCAGTTCCCTATGTAAGTGTATAATATGTATCTCAAACTTAACATCCCCTAATTCCCATGCCTTGTCTCCTCTCAATTAATGATGAATCCATTTATCCACTTATTTCAGAGCAATGACCTTGATTCATCCTGGACTCTGTTTCTCTCCAGTCTACCAACAAGCTTCATCGACTCAACTCAGTACTCACCTGCCTCCTTCACTACTTCATTATTAGTTTGTGTTATTTTAGTAGCCTTAGTAGTTTTTCTTGTTTCCACCTTGACCCCTTTTGTCTAGGCTCATCAGAGCAGTCAATGATTTTGTCACTTCATCAGAAATATCACTTCCCTATTCAAAACTAGCCCCTGGAGGCCTGGGGGGACTAAGGCCCTTGGGTCCATCCAGGCACTTCCAAGAAAACACACACACAGCTAGTAGGATTTCCATCTGCTAGGTTAAGTTTCCTACAAGATCTACCCTACTCCAGAATTTGTTTGTGGCCTTGGCTGTTGTCTCTGATGCCAGTAATGCTACTTGTTTTCACAGAGTTGTGTCCAAAGAAGAAGAGGTGTAGCAAGGAGGTTCCTATCCACCATGGCTCCTACATAGCCAACTGCACTCCAATCCACCAGTGATAAAGCACCCAGGAAACAACTAGTTACAAAAGCTGCTCTTAAGAGCACACCCTCTATTGGAGGGGTGAAGAAACATCACTGTCACAACCCTGAGACTGTGGCTCTCAGTGAAATTAAATAAAGTTCAATGAACTTCTGATTCTCAAACTCCTTTTCCAGCATCTGGTGGGAGAAATCAGGACTTCAAACAGATATGCGCTTCCAGAGCACAGCTGTTGGTGCTTTGCAGGAGACAAATAAGGCTTTTCTGATTAGCCTGGTTGAACATACCAACCTGTGTGCTCTCCATGCCAAATGTGTAACAGTGATGCCAAATTACCCGATAGAACACTGCAGAGGTGGAGAACCTGCTTAAGAATCCAGTATGATGGGAAAAATTTCATCCCCCAAATTTTTCTTCTCCCACTTCTTTCTCTTCCTCTTTTTCTTCTTCCACTGCCACTTCCTCTTTTTCTTCCACTTCTCCTTTCTCCTCCTTTTCCTCTCCTTCTTCTTCTTCCTCTTCTTCCTATTGTTAGTAGTTCTGAATTTTTCCTCACATGGGGTCAAAAGGTACTTAAGTACTACATGATTATGAGTGGAAAATAGAGGACAGAAATCAGATACTGCTAGTTTTTCCATTTTGATTTTTGTGTGAATTTTTAATATTAATACAGGGATGTAAAGCATTAATGCAAGTCAAAATATTTCAGTGAACAAATTTCAGCAGTTCTACTTTATAACAATGATAAATCTGTTAATTTTTCTGGACAATGATGACATTGGTATTTTTTTAAAAAATAAGCAAATTTCTTATTGATGAAAAAAATACCCTACTCCCTGACCTCTGAAGATCCTGGTTATTACTCCTGCTTTCTTTCATTAGGCTTTGGAACCCTGACCCTTCCCACATGCCCAGAACCTCACCTTTGGCTTATCTTTGTTGCCTGCGTTGCTTTTCACCCAGACATCTACCAGGTTTACAAGCTCCCTCCCCTTCACATTTTTATTCAAAAATAGCTTCAGAGAAACCTTTCCTGACCACTCTATTTAATTCTGTGTCCTACTTGGTTCTTTGATTCTTCTGTTGTTTTTCTTTTCCTTTTCTTATAGTACTTAAAGTAACATCTGCCAAGTTAGTGCTAGGTAATTAGTACGTTGTTGTAGACTGCAGTTATTCTTCTAGAATACCAGGATTAATTCTTCTTACCTAAGACTATTTTGGTGCCATGTATCTAACTTCTTTCCATTGTCTGCCTTTCCTTTCCCAGCGTAATTTCCATTCTTTAGTCAAAAGCCAGACTTCAGGTCAACGTACTTTAATATAACTAGAAAAGTCAGGATGGCCGGGGATATAGCTCAGTGGCATAGCATCTGCCCGGCAAGTAGCAAGGTCATGAGTTCAATTCCCAGTACCAAAAACAAAACAATTATGGTGCTGGAGATCAAACCCAGAGCCTTGTGATTGCAAGCTAAGAACTCTACCACTGAGCTACATTCCCAGCCCCTTTATGCAACATCTTAATTCACAACATTGCAAAAAAAATTTTTATAACTTTTGTGCAAGGACACTATTAACAGTAAAATGGCAACCCAAAGAATGGGAGACAAAATTCACAAGTCATCTATCAGACAAGAGACTAAAAAGAGAATATGAAGAATTTCTTTAGCATAACAATGAAATATTAAAATATGTGTGAAGGATTTGAGTTCAAATACCTTCAAACTGGCAGGGAGGGGGGCGGGTAACAGCATGCCTGTAATTCCAACATGGGGAGGATCAGGCAGGGAGATCACCATGGGTTGGTCTGGACTACAAAATGAATTAAAAACCAGCCTGAACTACACAATGGGACACTGTCTCCAAAAAAACAAAAACAAGAACAAATTCCTTGGGTTGAGGATATAGCTCAGTGGTATAAGTGCATGCCTAGCAAGTGCAGCATTGAGTTCAATTCCCAGTACAAAAAAAAAAAAAAAAAAATTAAAAATTAAATTTAAAAAAATTGCTAAAAAGGGATTTACCCTTCAATAAGGGATGAAAAACAAGCACATGAAAAGATGTTCAACAGTTTTAATCATTAGGAAAAAGCAAAGCAAAACCATAAGGAGAGATTGCCTCACATCAATTAGAAAGCTCCAAACACCTCCATAGCCAGACATGGCAGTGTATGCCTGTAACCCCAGCACTCTGGAGGCTGAGGCAAAAGGATTGCTGCAAATCTGAGCCCAGAATGAGTTACATAGTGAGCTCAAAATCAGCCTGAACTGCTAATGAGACCCTTCTCAGAAAAATAAAGAAACATGACAACAATAGTAACAAAAATGCCCCAAAATTCAAGTAAAATAAGAAAAAAATCAGAAATAACAAGTGTTGAGGGCGACAATGTAGAGAAACTGAAATTCTATTGGTACAGGAGTATAAAATGGTGTGGCTACTATGGAAAATACTACAGCAAGTCATCAAATAATTAAAAACTTCATGTGATCCAGGATTTTTCCTTTTTGGGTGTACATCTAAAAGAATTGAAAGCAAAGTCTCAGAAGATTGTGTACATCTTTTTTCATACTTGCATTATTCACATTAGCCAAATGCAAATATCATCCCAAGTGTCCATCAACGTGAGTGGATAAAATGAGAAACACACATAAAATGTAATATGCAGCTATAAAGGGGGTGAAATATTGATACATACTACAACATGGAATAACCCTGAAATATTTATGCTAAGTGAAATGAAGCAGACAACAAGAGCAAATATTGTATGATTCCACTAACATAAGATACCTAGAATAGATGAAGACAGAAAATAGAGATTAACAGGAGTTGGTTTGGATTTTGTCTTGAAGACAATGGGACCAATTACCAGTTAAAGCAAAATTGAAATCAGAGTTAGATCTTTAAAAGATCATGTCTCTTTATTTGAGACATAGTCTTGCTATATAGCCCAGGCTGGCCTTGAACTCACAGCAATCCTGCCTCAGCCTTCCAAGTCTGAAATGACAGGCATGTGTCACCACGCCAGCCTATCCAGAAGTTATGATGGTGGCTGGGGCTACCATCCACTACCATTTTTGTGCTTAGTAATACAACAGTCAGAAGGCTTTATTATTTTTTTTTTTTAGTTTTTTTTATTTTTAAAGAGATAAAGACAAAAGAGGCCATAACAAAGCAGATCAGAGCAGAACAATGCAAGTAACACAGCATTTTACAAGACACCCCATAATTAATAGTAACTACCATAGTGTCTCTTTCTTTGAAATAGTTGAGCATAGCTTCATATACAGCCTCTCCAGCACTTGTTGGTGGTGGTTTTCTTGATCTTGGCCATTCTTTCAGAAGCAAGATGGAATCTCAGTGTGGTTTTAAGTCAGAAGGCTTTAAAGGGATGCATTCCTGGTTGAGCTAAGAAGAATGAATGAGATTTCTGCCTGTCACAATTGGGAGATTATTATTAATCGCTAATCTTTGAGTTCTATCTACCAGATACTAAGTATGTGGCACACTGATCTTTGTCACAACCTATAGATACCATTATCTCGTATGATTGGGGGAACAAAGGTTAAATGGCTTGCCAAAATCATGACTAAGTCCTAATTTTCTCCCATACAAATAGGTGTCGAAGCCAGGGCTTTGCTCATGCCAACCAAGTGCTCTATTCTGAGCCACTTCTCCAATCCTTTTAAATTTTTTATATTCTTATTTTTGCAGTACTAGGGATTGAATCCAGGGTTTTGTGCCTGCTAGGCAAATGCTATAGGGCTGAGTTAGGACCCAACATTGTTTATTGCTCTTGTAGAAAATGGATAATGGCTAGGACTAGAGATGAGGACAAGCCAAGTATTTTCAGAGACTAAGTCAATTTCAGATCTCACCTATATTGTTTTGTTTTTTTGATACAAGGTCCCATTTCAGGTTGGTCTTGAACTCACAATGTAGCCCAGACTGGCCTCAAACTTGTGGTTAATTCTGCCTCTGCCTCTGCCTCCTCAGTGCTTGGATTTCAGACATGAGTGACTATATGCTATATTCTTAGTATTTTTGTCTTTTTTCTTTTTTTAACTTTTTATTGGTACTGGGGATCAAACTCACGACCGCCTGCTTGCAAGGCAGGTGCTTATGCCGCTGAGCTAAGTCCCCAGCCCTCTTTCTCTTCTTTCTTTTCCCCCTTCCCATTTGAACATTTTATTCCTATTTCATAATACCTAATTGATTATTTTTGGCACTCAATCTGAGGTGGCGCAGAGAAAATGAGAGAGAAGGCGAAGATTAGGGAGGCCTTTAATGCAGGGAGGGAAGAGTTATAAAGAAATATAAATGCTCTCAGAGAGGACAAGGAAGTCAAGTTACTTTAATCTGGTCTGGCTGGAACAGGAGTCTGGGAGGTGGGCAAAATGACATATTAACAGCGGATTTGAAGGAGCATCTACCTGTGCAAAACAGGACCCAGAAAGATTTACTGGGGGTAAGGGTGGAGTGCTTGGGTGCTTGTTAAATTTTGGGATTAGAGAGGGCTCAGCGGCATATGCACTAAAAGGGAATGGGAGTTTTATCTCTAAAATAAGGAGAACATAGAAGTTACTCTTGGAGAGGTAAACTGTTTCTCTGGGTCCAATACCAAGTTGGGTGGATGTCATGTTACGGATAGCTAAGCCCCAAGCTAGCAAAATCTACCATTAATATACATTTTGGTCTTTTATTTTCACTTTTAGTTTCTCACAAAAGAGAATGAAGTATTTACATGTGTGTCCAATTTATTTCACTTAACATATGGTCTGAAGGTACATACATCTACCTAGGAATGTCTCAAGCTTATCCTTCTTTATGGCAGAGTAGTACTTCATTGTAGAAAAAGCCCACATCGTCTTTATCTATTCTTTGGTTGATAGGCATTTGGGCTGCTTCCAAGATTTGGCTATTATAAATTGTGCTGCTATAAACATGGAAGTGCTGAGCATGTTTTTTTTAATTTGCACTGAACTACATCCTTGCCCGTTTTTTATTTTATGATAGGGTCTTGCTAAATCATTAAATTAAAAAAAAAATCGGGGCTGAGGATTTAGCTCAGCAGCATAAGCGCCTGCCTGGCAAGCACGAGGTCCTGAGTTCAATCCCCCACCCGCTTCCGCAAAAAAAAAAAAAATAAATGCCAGAAACACGAAGCCACTGTATTTACCACAAGGGGGCAATAAACAATGTTTGAACGTGAGCAAAGGTCCGCAGCTTGGCAGACTGCTACTTATTTATCACCGTGCCCAGATGGTGGCAGCCTGGATGAGGCAGGCCAGTCACTTCTGCCTGCTCTCTGCTTCTCCTGCAGGGGTTGGCCCTGACTCTTCTGAATCCTGGCAACATAGCTGTCAGGGGGCCAAGAGCAGAGGAAGCAGGCAGCAGCTGGTCTTCCCTAAGATCAAAGTAAATAGCCAGGAGGGCCTGCTGGGGAGGGGTGTGGGATGTGGGAGTTAATCTGGAAGATCTAAGCACCTACCTACAGGACATCCCTGAATCACCTCAGCCTTGTTAAAGGGATTGATGAGCTTCTGCCCCAACTCTGAATTTGGAAGACTTAAAGTGGGTCCCATAGTTTGCTTTTTACAAACAAGTTCTCATGTGATGCTGATGCTGCAGACTAAAGTCACTGTGAGAACAATTGCTATAAGGTATTTTTGGGTCTGTGCCCTCCTTTTTCTCAGCGTGCCCCTATTTTGTCTTTCCTATCACTTATCTACTGTTTCTCTACCATCTCTCCCTTAGCCTCTATTAGAAAAGCAAAAGGAAAAAAACAAAAACTTGCTCAAGTTTGTTTTGGGGACAAGGTCTTACTTACTATATAGTCCAGGCTGGCCTCAGCTGGATCTTTCTGCTTAGCCTTCTAAATACCACTAAGTTGGTCCCACCACACCTGGTTTATCGTCTTCAAGGATTCTCATGGGGAAAAATTTCAGCACTCTAGTTTGGAGCTTAGGTATTTTATTTTATTGAGACAGGGTCTTACTATGCAATTCAGGATGGCCTTGAACTCATGGCAATTCTCTTACCTCAATGTCCCCAGGACTGGGATGAGCATGAGCTCAGAAGCAGAATTTACCCCAAATATACACATACTTACTTTCCTCTTATTCACACACTGGCAAGGAGACTAGCTCTGTAAAAAGTAACACGCTTAGCAGGGTATAGTGACATACATCTAAAATCCCAGCACTGTGAATAACTAAGACAAAAGGAAAATAAACTGATCAATTTTGCCTAAGCAATTTATCAATTTATCAACTTTTTTTCCCCCCCAAGTTTGTGATACCCAAGCAATTTATCAACTGAGATATCTCAAAATAAAAAATAAAAGGGCTGGCCATGTATCTCAGTGCAAAGGCCCTTAGCAAATTTTCAGTATCCCCTTGCACACATACCAAAATAGAATAATGTTCTTTTCCAATGAAATTTTGCTTTGAAGCTGTGTGTGGTGGTATACACCTAAAATCCCATTATTTGAGTGTCTGAGGCAAGAGGATCACCATGCCTTCCTTCCAGGTCAGCTTGGATTACTGCACTACATTTTGCAAATTTTCCTCACTTTCCCCATGTTTCAAAAACATTTTTATTATACTCTAAATCAGTGGTGGTGAACCTATGGTATTTGTGCTGCAGTAGATTGCTTGTTATCATTGAAAGCTCTAAAAGATTTGTGATCACTACTCTGAACTTAACATTTTAACTAAGTGGTGTTAAGTACATTCACTTTTTTCTGCAACCACTGTTACCATCTACCTTCAGAACTTTTCATCTCAGCAAAGTGGAACTCTGACCTGGACTGCCACTCCCCCAGGGCAGGGCAATCACTTTACTCCTTACTGCTTTTGACTCAGTTTCTCTTTGATGAAAGAAGGGGTTTGCTGCTCACTAGGGGGATAATTCTATAGATGCAAACCTTCTGCATATATGTGACCCAGTTTATTACAGAGAACAATAACAAAATGAGTTTTAAGAAAGAGGCGGAAACATAAACGAGATGTGGGCTTCCTACCCACAGGCATCAGCAGCCCTGCCATGGATCCGTCCGATTTTTTCGCATCAAGAAGTTGATTTTTCTTGCCATTTCCATGTTGTAGATCCGCCGGCAGGTTTCATAGCTTTCCCGCTGACGGCGGCGGCAAGGCTTCTCATAGTATCTTCGTCGCTTAATATCCTCAATGAGCCCATCCATGGTAAGGATTCTATATAAACACAGGCAATCAGGTTAGAAGCATGGGCTCATTACTATTTTTCCAGTTTCAAAAATGATCAGAAATCAACTAACCAAAACAACTGTTGTTTATAAAAATTACAGTGGGGAATGGTGACAATATAAACTATCTACAGAGGCCCGAATAAGAATTTGCAGGCAAATTAAAAAGCAATTACTAGGTTCTTTGTTTCTGCCATAGCATACTTGAGGAGTATGATGCATCTCATGTGAACACTAGTTCCTTGTGGCAGTTATTTCCAATCAGGGGGCATTGCAGAAACCCTAAATGAGGCAAGCCAAGTGTAATTTCAAAAATCATTCAGGGTGATTCCTACTTGGTCATTAGTGGAAAATACAGTTCCATTCTTATTATGTTGAAGAATACTTGAATTCCTGGAGAAGTATCAGGGCAAGAGGTGGCCCTTATATACTAATGAAACAGCATTAAAAAGTAACAGGCTCACCCATTAGTTTTCCATGTACCAGACGCTCTGATCACATTGATTTGCTGACCACTCCCTAGACACATACTAGGATTCAGGCTGTCTTTTCACCCCCTACTGCCAACATTCTGATGGAAATTTTCTCAGTTTTGATGCCAAACACAGATGCTGTCTCTCCATGAAGTTTTCCCTTTTCATTCTCTCTCCTCTCTCTTCTTTATGTATGCAATGAACCAAGAATCTCCTATATGTTAAGCACGTGTCTATTTGCCTTTCATCTTCCTAAAGAAAGTAATTTAAACAAGCACAAGGTCCTGAGTTCAATTCCCATAACAAACAAACAAGAAAATAATTTAAGAAATCTATTGTCCCTTTTTCTTTTTCTTTTGGTACCAGAGATTGAACTCATGACCTCACACTTGCCAGGCAGTGCTATGCTGCTGAGCTATACCCTCAGCTTAAAAAAAAAAAGTCTGTATTACTGTATACCTATTTGACAATTATTTCATCCAGCCATTCTGTAAGTTTTATACAGACATATCCTCGTGCTTGCCAGGCAGGTTCTGTGCTGCTGAGCCATATCCCCATCCCATAGGTACCCATTAAATTGATTTCAGCTTCTTTCCTGCTCATCCAATTCCTTGTAACAGCTATTCAAAATTCTCCTAATTCAAATTTATCTCTTCATTCTCACTGAGCCAAGAGAACATTGGGATCAATTAACCCCTAAGCTCCTGAAAGTTCTGGCTCAATCTACAAGTTGTCTTTCCCTCTTATCACCTCATCAATTGGTCCTAGGACTAGGGACACCTTCCACTGCTGACCTCCAGTTTCTGGCTCTGTTTACATAGCCCCATTCCTGCTCAACCTGTTCTGTTATTACACATACAAAGTAAGTCACAAACACAATTGGAGATAAGAGGATTGAGTCATAGCTATCATAACTGCTAGAAGAGAACAAAGAAAATAAAAATAAGAAAAAACTGCCAGTGTCTTTTGCCTGGTAGGAAACCCATTTATTGCTGCTATGCTGCTCCACAAAGTCTAAGATAACAACAGACTGAATATGAACTTGAAAAGAACTTGGTTTTAGGTAAATTACAATGTGAATAGACATTAGAACTATTGTGCAGGGTCCTGCTGTTAAATATTGGGAATGAGAGGCCAGGATGCAGTAGCATACAGTTGTAACCCCAGCTACTCAGGAGGCTGACTGAGGCAGGAGGATCTTAAGTTTGAGGCCAGCCTAAACAACTGTGCAAGACACTGACTCAAAAAATAAAAAGGGCCGGGCATGATGGCACATGCCTATAAGCCCAGTACTCTGGAGGGGAGGGAGGCTGAGACAGAATGATCACCACTGCAAGTTCAAGGTTGGCCTGGGCAACAGAGTTCAAGGCAACCTGAACTGCATAGTAAAACCCTGTCTTGAAGAAGACAAAGACAAAGACGAAGAAGATGAAGATGAAGATGAGGAGGATGAAAAGGAAGAAGAAAGAGGAAGGAAAAGAAAAAAGAAGGTGTGTGTGTGGAATGTAGCTTGATGGTATAACATTTGCCTAGCATGCGCGAGGCCTGGGTTCAATGGCGAGTATGCAAAACAAAAACAAAAACAAAGAATAAGTTTAATTATATTGTGCTTACCTAACATAAACAAAGTCCTCATACTGGGAAAAAACAAAAAAGAGTATTTCTCTGACTACAACAGTTAACTGGAAAGCTTGTTCAAAGACTACTGTGCTGGGTAGCTCACTTGGACCCTTACTGTCTCTCAATGGCTATTCCTATTCCCCATTCCCCCTTCCTACTCTTTAATAAAACTTCTATTTTACTTTACTTTAGATTTTTGGAGATAGTGTCTCACTATGTAGCCCAAACTGGCCTTGAACTTGCAGTGATCCTCCTGCCTCAGTCTCTCAAGTGCTAGGATTACAGGTACGTGTCATTATGCCTGGCTAATTTTTCCTACTCTTAAAAAAAAAAAAAAGACTGCTGTACCACCTCTAGTTTGTGATTTTGTAGGGCTCAAGAACTGGGTTTTGGGCCAGGAGTTTAGCTCAGCAGCATAAGTGCCAGCTTGGCAAGAGTGAGGTTATAAATTCGAGCCCTGGTACCAAAAAAAAAAAAAAAAAAAAGATTTTTTTTTCTTTTGGGGTTGAGAACTGAACCCAGAGCACCCATCATGCTAAGCAGACATTGCCACTGAATATACCCCCAGTGTATTTATATGAGTTCCTAGGTCATGCTATAGCATGAACCAATGCCTCAGTACACTCTTCATGCCTCTTTGGATATGTAAAAAACAAGTCTAGATGATGGACAAATACTCACTATAAAGGGATTAAGTAATCTTAAAATACAGAGTTCTTGGGAACATTAGTGCACAAATCTTCAGTAATATTATCTTTACTAAAATGGCACATTAACACCCATGATTCTAATTACAATGTTATAAAATTGATTAGGTATTATCATCTTCTTACAGATCAGGAAATCTGAAAGTCAGAGAGGCTAACCTGCCCATAATCACAAAATGTAACTAGAAGTAAAATTCTGTTCTGGTTTTTCTTTTCTTTTCTTTCTTTCTTTTTTTTTTTGAGACAGGTTGGCCTTAAACTCACAATGATCCTCCAGCTTTAGCCTCCCGAGGGCTGGGAAGAATTCTGGTCTTTAGTTGAGTGCTCTGCAGTAATATTTCTCTAACAGAAGCCATCACACTTCAGAAGAGAAATCACTGCAGTGTTCTAACAGCCAAGGAGACAGTAAGATGGAAGAGCTATGAGATCCCTCAACTAGAGGAAAGAGGAATGGAAGCCAAGAAGATATAGCACATTGAAGGAATGGAATGGTCAAAACCTAAGCATTTGTTTCTACTCAGATCTGTTTACTACTACTTAATGAAGGCCATTTTTGGTCTACAGACAAGCAGTGTAATATATTATGGAAAAGACAAGAAAAAAGTATCTAAAAAAAAAGCCAAGACTGGATATACAATGTAAAAAGGACAAGTAGTTTGGATTTAAGAGACAGTAAGGAGGACAAAGAGTCTAGAAATAGTATCACCTAGGAAGGGGAACCTGTTGGAATGATAAGGACAGTTTATTTATTTTTGTTTTTGTTTTGGTACTGGGGATCGAACTCACGACCTAGCGCTTGCCAGCCAGGTGCTTAGATAAGGACAGTTTAAAAGGATGAAAGGAAAACCAAGAGGAAAGCGTTCAGACACATACTTGGGGTTCCCTTTTGGAGTTTCCAAAAACAGTTCTGATTTTTTGGGGGGAGACAGATTGGCCTCAAACTCAGTGATGTGCCTGGAAAGTGCTAAGTTGTGAGTTCAATCCCTGGTACCAAAAAAAGGAAAAAAGAAAAGGGTTTTGAGGGCTGGGGATTTTGCTCAGCAGTATAGGAACCTGCATGGAGAGCAGGAGATCATGAGATTGATCCCCAGTACCGGGGAGATTGGGGGGGTGGTTTTCGAATCACCGACAATCATCTCACCAAGTAAATGCTTATGCTGTGAAACAAAAAGGCCAAAACAACAACAAACAAATGAATGAGTGAATGGGTATAGGTAGGGAAAAGCTGGCGGGAAAAAGGAGGGTTGGAAAATACTGTTTCTGGGGCTGGGGATTTAGCTCAGCGGCATAAGCGCCTGCCTTGCAAGTGTGTGGTCATGAGTTCGATCCCTGGTACCAATAAAAAAGAAAAAGCCAAAAAATAAAAAGAAAATACTGTTTCCTAGATGGCTCTAATTACTTCCAAAACATAGGCCAATTAATGATACATTACAAATTAGCTAGCACTTTCCCAGACAGCAAACTCCAAGATGCTAGGTGAGGATTCCCTCTTTTTATCTTGCACTTACTAGTCATCCTAAAAAGCACACATTAACTTCAAATGCTCCAGAGTCCCTAGAGTAGACTTCATCCCTAACAGACAAGCAGAAAGAGCTTTGTAGAACCTGAGAGTAAGTAGGAAGGTGTTACTATGTTTCTGCTTCCAAAGATAGTTCAAGAGCTAGCAGAGCAGGGCTTCAAAGTAAATAGATCAGCTTGGAGTTCAGGTGCCTGGTGACCTAACATGAAGGAGAAATGAGCTGCCAGGTTTAATGAAATTCAACTGATTATATAAAAGGAACTGAGCTGCCTGGAGGGAGGAGCTGGGGATGGCAGATCACATGTCAGTAGCCAGTCAGGGCCAAGGTGTACAGGCCCACCAGGAGTAAAAGGGGTCAACAGGCATACTTCCAGCATGTTTGCCTTTCCTTGTTTGGCTAACAGCCAATCACACAGGACTTCCTAATAACCCTCACTCTCCATCTCCTCATCCTAGGGTGGCAACAAGGGCCCCTGGTTATGTAACAGGCATTTTGTAGCAGCCTCACTGGGCAGACACACGGCTGGTTTTCTTTGTTAAGACGCTTTCTGTGCTCCAAACATGGTAAAGCTTTAATCACCTTCCTCTCCTCTAATTTGCTCTCTTACCTTTTGTAATTACAGCACAGAACAAGCAACTTATTTTTTTTCTTTTTTTTTAATTCCTTTTCTGTTCCATCTTCCCACAAAATTACCCAGAAAAGCTCAGTAAATAAAAGAGATTTCAAAGAGCCAACACAAACCAATCTAAGAGAAGTAGACTTCCTCTCACTGGGCCCAACATCTGGGTGCTAGAATCTTCACTCAGAGCCTGATAGTAAAAGCTGGTACAGAATAAGGTGGTTCCAGAAGCTAGCAGCAACCAAGCCCAGTGGGGCTTTCTGCAATGGGGTGCTCCTAACAGGGCCAGACTGAGAAAGAAGTGTGTTTTTTGGCCTTGTCAAAGGACTCCTTCCCATAGCATGTGGAAACTAAGGGCTGTGAGGCCTATAGGTGACCGCGCCCATGGCCTTAGTTCCAGACAAGGCGCCAAAATGACCTCGGGCCATGGTGCTATCAGATCACCTGTGGGACAAACATGCCAAGCAACTTACTACCAACTACTAGAAAGCTGAGAGAGGGTTAAGGAGAACTCTGGGATTTGAGCAAGGTATACAGAAAAGATAGCTTAAGCGGGGACATTAGAGAAAACAAGGAAAAACAGAGGTACATCAGTCAGAAAACACTGTATTTAGCAGGTAGAAATGTAGAAGACTATGACTTTCCAGAGCTGGCCCACTCACATGTGCAAGCTTCATGCCAGGCAAATGCTGTACCATTGAGCCACATGTCCAACCATTATGTACAAGTCCTTGCTTAGAAATTTTTTTTTTTTGCGCCTTGAGTCAGGATCTTTGTAGTTCAGGCTGGCCTCAAGCTCCTGGCAATCCTCTTGCCTCAGGCTCTGGAGTGCTGGGATTACAGGTATGTCTAGATAGAAAATTATTCTAAGGGAAAAATATTTGTTCATTTTTTTCTCCTGAAGCTAAATATAATTTATGGGACACATCCCTCTATGATAAAAAAGAAATGGAAATGCAGCTTTCTAGATGAGTAAATCTAAACTGACCAAGTAAATATCCTTTAGCAGGGGATGGTAGCACATGCCTATATTTTCAGCACTCAGGAGGCTGAGGCAGGAGGATTGCTGTAAGTTCAAGATCAATTTAGATTACAAAGAGAAACCTTGACTCAAAAAAAAAATTATATACATTCTTCCCAAAGATTATACAAATTATTACTAAAATATTTTCCCCCAGCAACTTCCTTCCAATCAAAAAAAGAAAAAGTATGACTATATATAAACAGTAAAATTACATCACAGGTCCCCCTATTACCAGAAAAACTAGTAAATAATTCAAAATATAGAGTACAGAAACTGCAAAAAGATGAGCATTTTATATTTCTCTATACCAGTGGTGGTGAACCTGCGGCATATGTGTTGCAGCATGGTCTGTACTATTAAAAACTCTAAAAGGCTCACCATCACTGCTGTATACCATTTAATAATTGCAGATGTGAGATATTTTATCTAATATTTGTAGGCTTCTCATACTTGTATTTTTAAAATATAAAGTTTAGTTTTCATTTCATTTTATTTTTGCAAAGCTGGAGACTGAACCCAGGGCCTTGTGCATGTTAACAAGCACTGCACCACCGAGCCACACCCCTAACCCCCTTTACCTGTAAACCAAATGTTAAAGCCTTAAAGTGGAGGGCAAGCCCATATAATGTCAAGATCTCTCTCCTGTAATTCTGTGATAATACTTGTTTCTCAAACTCTGCTTTGTATTAAGAGAAAATGATGAGTGAGGCATTCTAGAAAGCCAAACTCCTTACAACTACTGAAAAGAGCCAAAAAAACTTGCTTGACAAGGAAAATTACTTGAAAATGAACTCTGAAAAACTAATGTCTACCAGGCACACAGTTAATTATGAGAAGCACCTGAGGGAATTAGTTTTCTATTGCTGGATAACAAATTACCATAAATTGATAGTTTAAAAACAGGCTGGGTGTGGTAGCATGCGCTGTAATACCAGTACTTGGGACACTAAGGCTGGAGGATCACTAAGAGTTTGAGGCCAGCACGGGCTATAGAGTGAATTCAAAACCAGTGTGAACTGCTGAGTGAAACCTTGTCTCAAAAATTAAAAATAAATAAACAGCACCTGTTTATTACCCAAGTGCTGCAAGAAATAAGTCTGCATGCTCTGTGTCCCACAGGCAGATCAGAAAGCCTGCAGGCAGCATCACATCTAAGGTTTCATATCCTCCAAGACATAGTTGCTAGACTGAAGTGCCTGTTGTCTTGCTAACTACTGTTAAGAGGCTAATCTTAACGTTTGCTAAGTAGGCCTTTCTTATAGTTCCAGTTTTTCTAATTAGGAAACACCTAAATCCTTTTTCAAGTCTCATCTAATTAGATAAGAGCAGGTCAGATAATCTCCCTTCTCATGAAAATAGCCTCTCATATTCCTAGGTTCTGCCCACACACAAGGGTAAAAGATTCCATAGCATGTGGCTCACCAGGAGTCAGGAATTCAAGGGGTATCTCAAAATTCGGCCTTGCAGAGTACTGTGTATTACATTTTGATGAGTTTCAAGAGTAAACCATGGGAGTAATGGGACGCCTTGACTCAGTGAAATATTTCTTATAACATTAAAAAAAGAAATTGTTGCTTGCGAAATTAAACTAGTTACACATTGTTAGAGCTTTTCTGTATTTCACAACCTAGCATTCAAAAACCTTTCAGTCTGGGGATGAAACTCAGTAGTATAATGCTTGCCTACCATGCACCAAACCCTAGGTTAAACTCCACCACTGCAAAAATAAAACAAAACAAAACAACATCCACAAACCCAAACCTTTCATTATAACCCTTCCACTCCATTAGTTTACTTCTATACATATATTTTCCTTAACCTTCCTCAAACCTTGTAATGCTGGCTGGGAGTGGTAGCCCACCCACTCTTGTAATCCCAGCACTCAGCAGACTGAAGTTTAGGCTGGAGAACTGCTGCAAATTAGAGGCCAGCCTGGACTACCTAGTCCGTTCAAGGCCAACCTAAACTACATTGCCAGACCCTGCATCAAAAAGCCAAAAACATTTGTAATGCTGTCTTGTTTTTCCAAGATCTCAATCTAAATTCACCTTTTCCACTAGCCTTTTCCCCCAAGGATCACTCTCAGTTATTTACCACATACCATGTTCCTGCTTTCTAGCAACTAACTTCACACTTTAATTTGTCCTTTGGACTCTTTAAATCTCGGACAGAAGTTAGGTTCATCATCAAGGAAATGATGATTGTGTGTTGAATAAACTTTCTTTTTTTTTTAAAACCCATTTTATTTCAAGAAAAGAAAAAAAAAAAACAACAAAATTTCAAAACGTCAACCAGAAGGCAACAATGGTACATACATTTGCTAAATAAACTTCATATAGTTAGGTTTCAAGAATTATTTTGGAAAGGACTGCCTCTTTTAAATTCAGAGATAGATGCATAGAGTCACTAAATTGGCCAGGCTAGGCATGAACTTTTCAATCCTATCTCAGCCTCTCAGAGTTCTCACATTATAGGCAGTCGCCATCACGCCTTGCAAGAACTTCATTTATAAGACAATAAAGTGAAGGACTAAAAAGTTTCATACACTAAACGCCTAGGCTGGCACCAGTTTGAAATTTACGATGGGACAGGAAGCGAAGGATCATTGCATTTCCCAAAAAGTTGACCTAAGTATGATTCTGATTCTTCAACAGTCACCTGTTTAGTGTCCTGTATGCACCTTCCACATTCCCGTCTTGTACCATCACAGTCCTGGCAATAAACTTCAGATGTCTTGCCATGATCTCACATTTAAGTCTTCACTCTGCAGGACTACACAAAGATCAGGTAAGAAAATGCGCGTTTTAGTTAACTCTGAAAATGGGAAGTGCTCAGAGACCCGCGATACAAGGCCCGTGGAGCTCTTCAGGACTTAGAAAGTACGCGCGGACGATTCTCGAGACTCCCTTGCTCTCTTAAACTAGCACAAGCCCGAGCTTATGAAAGAAGAGTCGCTGGGCTTCACCACGAGACTTGCTCTGCCGACCCAGGACGGCAGAAGCAGGAACGCGCAGCAGGAGCTCAACTACTGCTCACTGTGCGTGAAGGGGCTAGGCTGCAAGTTGAAAAACGTGTCTTTGTAGATCTTTAAGAAAGAGAAATAGCGCGCAAACATCCCCTCTCACTCCCCCCCCCCTTTCTTCTCCCAACCCGGCTCCAGCTCCTCACTCACCGCCCTCAGGCTTCAGCGGACCCCAGCAGCCAGAAATCGGAAGCGGAAACTACGGAAGCCCCAGCGCCGGGCTGACGCCGAACTGAAGGAAGGGCATTCCCGGCTTAAAAATCGGGGCGACGTTTAGTCTGACCTGGATCGTCTCCTCTCTTTGCTCGGGGTCCTGGACTTTACATCTGATAAAGTAAAATAGTCGTTGATGCAAACCCTGTCAAAAAGAGTCTTCCCACGAAATTGCAGTCTTTCAGGCTCTGAGTCGATTCTATATCCTTAATCCTATTAAGCCCCTAATAGATACTTAAGCGATTTCGTTCTCTGAATGGAAACTAAGAGAATAGGTAAAGCTTCCAGAGCATGCTTCCTGTTTTTCTTTGGAAGGGTACAGATCTGTTCCTGGGCGAGTCAGCATCACATTCCTCATCTGCCTACCAATTAAACAAAGGGATGAACTTAACATGCTGTCACTTCTCCTCCTCCCCCTCACATACCCCTCTTCTTCCTCTTTTGTTCTTTCTTCGCTCTCTTTTAGGTCTTTTTTGAGACAGGGTTTCGCTCTGCAGTTCAGGCTCGTCTTGAGCTTACTTTATAACCCAGGCTCACCTTGAACTCGCAGCAATCCTCCTGCTTCAGCCTCCCGAATAATGTGATTACAGGCTTGCCCAACCATGCCCGGCAACCATGTTATAACATCAACTTTCTAGTCATTTCACTAAATAAATTGAGATCACCAAAGACATGGGAAATGCCTACAGATTTTAGAATCAAAGATTTTTAGGTCAGTTTTGCCTTTTACTTCCTAGTAAGACCTGGTAGAAATAACTGCCTTTTAAAATTTCTTTCATACTGTGAATACAGCCTTCTTTTTATTTCTATTTGGATGCTACTTCTACATAATCATGTATGGTTAATCACATTAAGTTCCGATCTAATAACTATGGGAAAATGTGGCTGCCCTGCTAAGCACACAGGTACATCTTTATCAGTTATGCTAAGAGGAACTCACACTAAATTTAAACCAGGTCCAAATTCCCAAGCTACAGACAGACTGGGACATTATTAGGCTTATGAAATTTTTATTTAGTTTTACTCTGTGCTAGGTACTATTGATAGCATTCCAGTGCCTCTTGCACCATGAGAAGATAGTATGCTGGCATAAAAGATAAGTTGTAAAAACAACGTAGCATATAATAAATGCCAAGAAAGTTATATAGACAACAGTGTGATGTGGTGGAGGGGCCCTGGATTGGAAGCTGGAAGGTCTGGATTCTATACCTTTTATTATTATTTTATTTTGTTTTGTGTTTGTTTTTTGTCTTTTTGTGACAGGATCTTGCAATACAGTTCAGGCTGGCCTTGAGCTCACTTTGTAGCCCAGGCTGGTCTCAAACTTACAGTCATCCTCCTGCCTCAGCCTCCTGAATGCTAGGATTACAAACACGTGCCACCATGCCTGGCTGGATTTTTGATTTGTTTTTGTTTAGAAAGGGTCTTGTTGTGTGATGCAGGCTGATCTTGAACTCACTATGTAGCCCAGACTGGCCTCTACCTTGCTGCAACACTTCTGTCTCAGTCTCCCAAGACTTGGGATTATAGGCCACCACACTTGGTTTTATACCAGTTCTGTTTGTTCATTAGACCTATGGCCTTGAACCAGTAGTCTGAAAACTACTGCCTGCTAGTTAATCTTTTTTTTTTTTTTTAATAAAAGAAGACAATTTACTTGAAGACAGGCAAGAAGGAAGAGAGAAGTGACAGACAGCTACTCTGGAGAGTAGGGAGAATTCATAAGCGAATTGCTCCAGGTTCACCCTTGTTTTTCTAAAGTATCAGAACTTAGTCATGCTCATTTGCTTATTAAGATGTCTCTACTTTGCGCAACAGTGGCAGAGGTGGGTAGAGGGAACAGAGATATATGTCCAACAAAGCCTAAAAACTTATCTGGCTCTTGCCAAACTTAAAAGTCTCAATCTATTTCCTCAAAAATGGCACTAATATTTGTCTATTTAACTAAATTTTGTCTACAAAATTTGTTGCAGGAATCAAATGTGACAAAACAGAAAGCTACTTTCAAATAAAGGGATTGAGAATGTGATTTTGTTTTTGGGTACTGGGGATTGAACTCACGACCCTGTGCCTGCCATGCAGCACTGTGCCACTGAGCCCTGGGCCCTGGGAATGTAACATTTTTGAGAACTTACACTAGGTATTTTATATACATGATTCCATTAGATGGCATTAAGTGCCAAAGACTAAGCCCATACAGCATATTTAACAGAAAGAATGAGAGACTTGAGTTAGTGATTGAATGGAGGCCATGGTTTTACTTAACAAACAAAAAACGATAAGCAAAGTAAATAGCATGAACAGGTTGTGAGGCAAAAAAGCTTATATAGTATTTGGGGATTAATTTAAAAAACTAGAAGTTGAACATAAATAAATAGAGAAATAAACCTAAAACTGTCCATCAGATATTTCTATGGCCAATGGACCTTCTTGGGGAACAGGTCAGGACTGGAGATGAAGATATAGCGGTCATCTAAGCACATACTTATAATCCTAGCACTCTGGGAACTGAGGCAGGAAGACTAGGAGTTTTGAGCTCAGCTTGGTGACTTAGGATATCAGAGAGAGACCCTGTCTCAGAAGAAAAGTGTGGGGAGCAGCATGTGGAAGTAGCCCAGTGAAAAGGCTTTGGGTCCAACCCCTAGTACTGTCAAACAGAACACAAAAACTAGAATAAACAGGGGCTGGGGATTTAGCTCAGTGGCATAAGCACCTGCCTTGCAAGCAGGCAGTCGTGAGTTCGATCCCTGGTACCGATAAAAATGAAAAAGACAAAAAAAAAAAAAAAAAAAAAACTAGAATAAACTGAGCACTGTGGTTTATGCCTCTAATCTCATCCAGAGTAGGCAGGATTGCAAGTTTGAGGTCAGCCTGCAGAGTGAGACTCTGTCTTGAAAATAAAATAAACTAATAAATACTATACTAGAAGGATCATACAGAGGGAAAGAGAAAAAATTAGAGACCTCAGTGAAATATTTTGGACTTCCTTCCCTAACGCCAGAGAGCCACTGAGCAATTCAGATAGGAAAATTAATCTGTTTATCAGGGAGAAGGAATTAGAGGTAAGAGTCTGTAGCAAATATCCAGACCAAAGTGGTGGCAAGGTAAGTAGAAAGAAATGGATTTTAAGAAACATATCAAAAAAAGAATAAAAAAATTTAGTATCTGAGTAGCACTAAGTTTTAAGCCTACTTACCTGGAAAATATTGGTACCATACGAAGCAAAAAGAGAAGAAACTGTAAGAAGGGGGAGCAGGACATGTTTAAAGGCTTTTATTCCTGATCATGGAAAAAAGCACTGGACTGGCAATCTGTATCACAGTGTTGGCCTGGACAAATCACCTGTTTTCTTGCCTATGAAATGAAGGGAGCAGGTTAAATACAAAGAAATGAGCTGGGTATATAGCGCGTGTCTGTCATCCCCGCACTTGGGAGGAAAAGGCAGGAAGGTGGCCATGAGTTTGAGGTCAGACTGGACTACAAGGGACTTCAAGTTCAGCTTGAGAAATACAGCAAGACCCTGTCTAAAACAGAAAAAAGAAAAAATATAAAAGTATGTCTTGACTCTAAAATGCTGAAATGTCAATAATTTTTGTCAGAAAAATAGAATTAAAATCATCCAGCAAATATTTTTCTATGCAGTATGCACTTTCAGGGAAAAAGTTGGGAATAGAGATAAAGATTCAGCAGACTTCTAAGTTAAGGCAATACTTCAAAGCATGAAAGAAAACAAAATCTTCCTGTGACAGAATATAGTCAAAGAAAAAACACAAGGCTAGAGCCTGAGGGGAACCCTTTGCTCCAGAGTAGGGGGAAATGGGGCCACTGAGAGACCTAGAAGCTGCCAACAGTTAGCTCAGAGAATTAGGATAGTGTGCTGTCATTTGAGCCGAGGGAGATGGCATAGGCACTCTCAGTGTCAGATGATACAGAGAACATAAAATGCAGAGCCTTTGTAAATGTCCCTGGTTTTCCTGTTGAATAGGCGGAAGCTACATTATAACATTGATTCTGTAGGATTATTTGTGACTTTGGAAATTCATCAAGTGAGGGCAGTAGAAGCTAGACTGCAATGGATTAAGGGTTTCATAGTGAAAGAAATCAGAAAGTTCTGTCAGAAATTATGAGGGGCACTGGGACAGGGTGGTTCAGGGAGAAGGCGCCACTAGTCTAGCATCCTGGAGATCCTTATCCATGCCCAGTACTAAGAGGCAGAAAAAATTAGAGAAAAGAAGACAAAGGGTAATCAGTCTCCAGAGGTGTTTTAAGGCCTGATCACACCTGTAGAGAAAATAATTCTTATGAGGAACAGGTAGAAATTAGAAGATACAGAAGGGATACATGACACAGCAAGTTTCAGAAGTGAAAGATAATCGGAAGCACAAATGGAGAAGCTTTCTATAGAAAGGAGGTCATATTCTCTGACATAAAGGGAGATGGCAATTATTCACTGAGAACAGTGGGGGAAAGATGTCTGATGAGCTGTGAACAAGATGCTAGGAGCCAGTGAACACTGACTAATAAATATGACAGAATAATAATACACTACAAAGGTTTAGAATGGGAGAAGAAATGGTTTTGGTGGAAACTAAGACAAAAAAATATTCGTGGAGTTAACTTTTGCTTTCTGGTATCACTGGGTAGCCTTCTGTAATCGAGCACACATCTAGCACCCACAGCTTTTTGAATAAGGATGAGATCCTATGTTTTGAGTCTCTCTGCAGTGGGCCCCAACTTTAGTAATTCTGTAGTACCCCTCCCTCTTAAAAATGGGCAACCACAGTGGCCATTTTGGCTCTTTGCCTCTTTTGGCAGCAGGTTATATATATATTCATCTACAAGAATCAACAGCCCCCATCAAACAGTTGTCCCAGAGCAGAAGAACCTGCTGGTCTGGGCCAGCTGGAAGATTATATGAGGGAGAGACACAAAGGGAAAAGTACTAGTTTCTGCCCAAAGAAAAAAGTAAACTCAAAAAGTAAACTCAAGTCTGAACACTGTAACTGTCCCAACCATGTTCCCCAGAAAAACAGCCACAAGAGTCCTTTTACTTCTTTCACAGGATTTCTATGATCCTATCCAGACTTTTAACTCGATGAAAATATTCCTGTCTTTCCTGGAGCTCAGACATCCAAGATTAGTATCTAAGGCAGGAAGTTTTCAATTTACTCCAAAGAGCAAAACGTTTAGGTAAAAAATTTCTTTAATCAGAAAGGATTTTATCTTCCCAATATTAATATACACATTGAAAGTAAAAATATACATACATCTATTTACACAAATTGAAAATCACAGTGGCAGTCACATGGTCTGGGTCAGGGCCTTAGGAGATGGCCAGCTGGAGTGACTGGAGGACAGCATTTCATTTGCTGCTCCAGGTGTCCCATGCTCATTTCTCTGGCCATGGCAGGTGGATCAGTGGAGGACAGCTTACAGCTCCAGTCTGATGGCAGAGCTACAGGCAAACTGTGGCAGCGAGGCCCCTCTCCAGACAGTTTCTTAGGATCACCAAGGATAGCAGAAGATGCTGTAGTAGGTGGGACTGGAGTGGTTGGGGCAGAGTGGGTAAATGGCTGCTTTCCATGCTGGAGGAAAAGGATGAGGCCAATGCTGGTTCTGGCGCCTAAAGGACCCTGGCTAAAGGAGATGGTACCTGGGGAACCAAGAGGGGGGTTGCAAATTGGAACAGTGTGGATCCAGGTAAGATTCATGGCTTGCCACTCTGTGAGGTGCCAAGGCTGCTTTGGTTTCAAAGCTAAATGTCCTAGGTGTGTCTGGTCCATCTTTCCCATAGGAGGTGAAGCAGCTGAATCACTGTGGTGGTTTTGAAAATGCTAGAGAGGGGGAGAAATTTTAAAAAAATCTGAGACGAAAGATGTCAGATTAGTGCCTCCTGTTTGTTTATCCTTTTGCTTTCCCTGGAGACTCAATTTGCAATGCAAACTTATCTTGTTTTGTCCAACAGATTATTTATTTATTTATTTTTAATTTTGTTTTAAAGAGAACAAGAGAGGACAGAACAAAGCAGATCAGAACAGAACATGTAAGCAACACAGCACTTCACAAGACAACTGGATATTAACAGTAGCTACCATCATGTCTCTTTCTTTGAACTAGTTGAACATACCTTCATATACAACAATATCAAACATAACAAAATAGTATAAAACCATTCAAGAGAATGAAAGTTTTACAGGACATTCAGAACCAAATAACAGAAAATGAACAATGGCTACTATAATATCTCATTTTCTATAAAAAAATCTGTTTATACTATCACACGTATTAAAATCCAATAAGACAGAACCAATGGAAATAGAAGAACAAAAGCATGGTAGGACTTCAAAGCAAGATGATATTAAGACAGCAATGGCTGTCATAATGCCTTGTTTTCGGGGCTGGGGATTTAGCTCAGCGGCATAAGCACCTGCCTTGCAAGCAGGCGGTCATGAGTTCAATCCCTGGGACCGATAAAAATGAAAAAGACAAAAAAAAAAGCCTTATTTTCTTCAAAATAGGTATTCATACCATCACACACAGTAAAATCTAACAAAACAATAAAACTATTCCAATTAATGTATGAAAACGTTATAAGGCTTCAAAGCAGTGTAATGGGGCATCATGATTACATTAAAATCTTATATACTGGTATCATTTCTTACACTAGGGAGACTATGTTGTATTTATACATGTGTTTGATTTATTTCCCTTATGAGTAAGGTCTCAAGTTACATCCATTTATTATAAATATCTCAATGTGAATATTCTTTTTTTTTTTTTTTGTCTTTTTCGTTTTTATCAGTACCAGGGATCGAACTCATGACTGCCTGCTTACAAGGCAGGTGCTTATGCTGCTGAGCTAAATCTCCAGCCCCCGTGAATATTCTTTATAGCTGAGTAGTACTCCATTGTATAAAAATACCACAACTTTTTTATCCATTTGTCAGTTGATGGACACTTAGGTTGTTTCCAAGATCTGGCTATTACAAATTGTGCTGCTATAAACATGGGTGCACATGTATCCCAGAAGTGGAATAGCTGGGTCAAATGGGACTTCCAATCCCAGCTTTTTGAGGAATCTCTAGACTGACTTCCACAATGGGTACACCAGTCTATATATTTTTTTTGTAACAGATAATTTCTTGTCAGGTCATGGTTAAGTAGAAGTTTTAGTAATCCAGTTAAACTTTCACTTATTCAACAAATAGTTGAGGACCTGCTATGTCCTATAAACTTTATTAGATACTAGATATTCAGAAATGAACAGAATAAAACAATTCTATAGGTTCTCACTATTTATAAAACACTTCCTTTTATAATATCTTTAAAGTATAGTTTTCATTGGAATTATCACTTCCACAGCTTTTTATTTCATTAACAAACTTTGATGCAGGGTTTCATCATGTAGTTCAGGATAGCCTTGAATTCGCTATGCAGCCCAGTCTGTCCTGGTACTTGGAATCCTCCTGCCTTAGTCTCTTGTGTGCTAGGATTACAGGGGTGTGCCATCATGTCCAGTTTAAGTTTTATAGTTTTTACATTTTATTTTTATTTTTTTTGAGACAGGCTCTTAGTATGTAATCCAGGCTGGCCTTGAACTCACCACCATCCTCCTGCCTCAGCTTTCCAAGTGCTGGGATTACAGATTAATTTCTGTATTTTAAATTCTAACTTCCCATAATGAGTTCTTTTTTTTTTTTTTTTTTGTCTTTTTCGTTTTTTTATCGGTACCAGGGATTGAACTCACGACTGCCTGCTTACAAGGCAGGCACTTATGCCGCTGAGCTAAATCCCCAGCCCCCCATAATGAGTTCTTTATGAAGTATAAATTAATGTGCAGACAAGATCCTGGTTTTTGGGGGGGGCAGGGATTTATTTCAGCAGCGTAAGTGCCTGCCTGGCAAGTGCCAGGTCATGAGTTCAATCCCTAGTACCAAAAAAAAAAAAAAAAAAACAAAACAGATCTTGGTTTTTGTTTTTTGTTTTAAGGTTTTAGGAATTGAACCCTGGGCCTGCACACCAAGCTACATCCCCAGGCCATTTTTAAAAAGGAATTTTTTTTTAAACCCTAAATTGCCCAGACTGGGCTTGAATTTCCAGTCCTCCTGCCTCACCCTCCCAGAATGCTGAGATTACAGGCATGTGGCACTATGTCCACCTCTGCTGCTTCATTTTTAATGTTATTTCCACAACATTAGTAGCTGTGGACCTTTGAAAACAGGATGAAGACTCCTCCAACTCATCTCACTACTTGAATAACTTTTGAAATAACTTTTTTTTTGGTAGCAGGGATCAAACTCACAACTTTGTGCTTGCCAGGCAGGCACTTACGCCACTGAGCTAAAGCCCCAAAACCATATTATTTGAAGGAACAGAAAGGAGATCACTTCTATACCAGGTTTAAGAATCTATCAAAAGTCCTCCTTGTAGATGCCCTCTGTGTGCCTTCTCCCCAACTCCCAGTGAAGTATCACTCATAACTAGTCCTTGAAATGAAAAAAAAAAAAAAAGAAAGGATTTACAGAGAGAACATGAGGCATCATTCTGCATGAATCATTTGGCCAAGTAAAAAGCTTTATGTATCAATACAGAGACCAGATAAGCTTAACATAGGGATATGATTTAACTTTCATGGAGTTCTGCCCAGTGATCCAAACAAAATAGAATAAGTACATCTAGGAATCAAAACAGTGGTGGAAGTTTAGGGATTCTGTTCCCTGAAAGGAAACTTGAGTAGAAGATCCAGAAGAAAATAGAAGGGGGAGGATGGCGTTTTTGCATGCAAAATACATTTCTTTGGTTATTTTGCCACCTAGACCTCAAGTTTTTAAGTTCTTACCTTGGTCACCTGACGCCTATTACCACCCAGTGATGACTTTTGAGCAGCTATATGAGGAAACCAAGTCTTTAACATCCCTTCCACTTGCAGCAGAGTCCCTAGATAACGCTCCCTGTGAAAAGGACATCAAAAAACCCAGTAAGTGTGAAAAAAGAATCAAACAGGAAAGAGCTCCTTGTTTATGAGTTACTGAGGAAAGAACTAGGGGACTTACCCCATCTCTGGCTTCTGCAAAACACCTACAATACGCTGGATCCTGTCCATTGCCACACTCTGCTGGAAACTACTCAATCCTGGGGGTGGGGCCGGGAATAGAGAGAGGGATACTGAGAATTTAGAGTCCAATATATAGTCAGGTAAAAGGATGACAAGAAAGGAGTTAAAATTGATTTACTTAAAGTCACAAAAGCAAAAAAAAAAAAAAAAAAAAAGGATTAGTACAGACTCCTGAAAAAGACTTAACACACACACACACACACACACACACACTTGAAAGAGACACAGAAAAGAGCCTGGCTCTAAATTGCAACAAATCACATAATTACCTCTCTCAAAGCGACCAATCTTAAGCCCATTCAGTAGGTCTGTGAGGGGCCGAATGAATCCTTGGAGCTCTTTACACTACAGGAAAGCAGGACAAAGGCTATGAGAAGACCTAGAATTGCCCTAATCTGTAGCAATTCCTCTACCTCCAAATCTGGGAACCGATGCTGTCCTTTTAGGGTCCTTACCAAACATCTGGGCATATAGCCACTGGAGAAGAATGTTTTGTCTCTTGTTTTCTCTTACCTTCTGAGCAAAGAGCAGATCTCCCTCTGTGGTACAATCCTGGATGTTTAGATTGGTCTCCAAATCACAATCTCTTGATCTTTCCATCCCAGATCCTGCCACTGGAAAAACCAACCCTGGCTGTTCCAGGTGAGATGCTGTATGTTGGTTCCTGAAAACTCTGGGTCGACGCCTGCAGCGGATGGGACCTGGGCTGGCTTGAGAACCTTTCCTCTGCCCAACAGTGTCTGGCCTGGGCCCATAGCTCCTCTTTTCTTCCTTTTCACTATCAGAGGGGAAGCCATAGTCACTGTTCTCTGGGAAGGTGGAAAATGAGGGAGAAAGAGAATAGGAGGAATACGAATAAATACTAGGTGGAGAATCCATAGGTCCAGAAGCAGGGCCTACAGAACAGCTACTGAGGTGCCCAAAGACAGGAACCTGCAATTGAAGAGCAAAGAGAGAGAATTTAAAATCAGAGGTTAAAGGTTTGAAAACAGACAGATGAATTGCAACGATTAACGACTCTTTCCTTTCCCCAATAAAGACAATAGAAAAAGTCATTTTCCGCATACCCGCTTATTAAAAAGTGGAACGGCTTCTCTGGCCTCTGCAGAGCTGCTCTTGAGCCGTCACAGCCTATATTCTTTTTTTCTTCCCTCGGTTTAGAGTAAATATCTGACTTGACAGCTTCCCCTCTGGCAGTTGTTCACCTGGGCTGTTCCCCAGCCCGATCCCACAGTAAGCGTCTCTAGCCAAGGATATGCCACCAGTGAGCGATGTATCTGCGTACAAGAACTCACTAGTGTCCCCATGGGACCCGTCCTGCCCCTTCCCAGTCTCTTAGGATCACGGTCCCAGCGCTACCGCTTCCACAGGCGCTGCAGCCCGTGATGTAATTCCTCCAAATAGCAAAATCTGCACGCCGGCCCCCAAACCCACGCCCCCTAGGTCCGGTTATCCCCAGCAGTTCCATGGGCGTTCCTTTGTCTCCTTACCTGTGTTGATCCGCTCAGCCTAAACTCTGCAGCGCTTCAGTCTATCTGGGTTCCGGCGGCCCACCTCCGCCTCTCAGCAGGACCCGCCCCTTCCCCCTCCCAGACACGTGCGGCTCGGCACGTGCCTCCCGCTGCGTACACAGCTCTCATGCTCTCATTGGTTGTCCAGCCGGCAACACGTGATTCTCGTTACAGAAATTCACAGCCTATTTGCTATAGCACACAGAAGATCGGCCAATACAAGAGCAGCAACGTGATGATTGGCTGAAGGGAAGCATTCCGTGCTCCGCCCCTACATGCGGCTCAGGGAGAGGACCAGGTGGTGAGAAACGGAGGAGGATGGAAAAAGTGTGAAAAAGGAAGGGGAGGAAGAGGGCAGAACCTGTTTCCTTAAATAGGATGATGATTTGCTGGAGGGTTCAGAAAATGGCTGTATGACTGGAGGCGCCGGGGACCTCAGATTCTGCCGCCTCTTTGAGCGCCTCACGAGCGCAGCACGTGGAAACCGCCAGCGATTTAAGTCTGCAACGTGTGTGGAGCATGAGAGGTGACACTGCGTCCGCCCCTGTCTCGGCGGCCCAGCCCTCGTGACTCCCTGCCCTCTGTTTCACCCTCCCCTCCCTTCTCTCTCACTCCTCCAAATTGGGTGCCTCCTGCCCTGCTGGGTGAGGGTGGGGATTGCAGCCGAGAACACCGTGTTCCTTCCCGGCCTCCCGGTGGGGCGGCTCCGCCAGCCCTTTCCTTACATAACCTGCCGCGCACGTTACCCGCTCGGATGCCGGCCCGCCGAAGCGCTAGAGGTCAGCGCCGAACTCAGGTGTTCTGACTTCTCTCCTGGGATCTCTGGGCTGTGCGTCCTGAATTTTCAGAATTTGAGTACAGAGAACGGTGGGGTATGTTTCTCATCTCCTGGGTTATGGTTTTGTGTATCTCCACTTTCTTGAACCCATGGAGAAGATTGGAAAGACTTTGAAGGAGGGAAGAAAAGTTCAGAATTTTTAGCGTCTCAGAAGTTACAGAGGTTATTATTCGTTTCCTATTGCAGTATTTATTATATTTAAAGAGAACAATGAAGTAGAGAGCAGGTTTTCAGGGATTGTGGGCTAATTTAGACTGCTACACCAGGAGAGCCGCAAGAGGGCAGTCTAGTTCTGATTAGTTTTTTCCTTCTGTTTTAATTCTGCCATAATTACCAAATGCAAAGGGTATAGGTGGAAGTTGGGAGATGTGATTATGTTAAATATATGCTAATGCAGTACTTTTTTTTTGCACTTTTAAAGTTTCTAATATTTTCTGAAACAAAATCTCAACACAGTAATGAAATAAAACAGCAGAATTAGCATTGCATAGAAGATGTGAATAATCCTGTCATATCTAGGTGTTTTCTGTTCTACCTTAAATTCCACATGTATTCTCACTCTACAGTTCCTTCTAGTCTGTTGTCACCTAACTTGTTTTCTAATCTAACCCTTCTGTCCCTAAATCCTGGTGTCATTTAGAGTCCTGACTTTTGGACAGAACTCTCATGAAGAAATAGACCATAAGGCACGTATTTAATTAGTTAATTTATTTATTTTTGGTTTTTTGAGACAGGGTCTCACTGTGTAGTTCAGGCCAGTCTTGAACTCACTATACAACCCAAGGAGGTGTCAAAACTATGGAGTTCCTCCTGACTCAGCTTCCTGAGTGCTGAGATGAGAGGTCTGTGTCACCACATTCAGCATATTTCTTTTCTTTTTTATTTTATCCTCCAATTTCCTCTCATGAAATCCCCATTTACAGAGTTGAAGTGGCTTGCTCTCACCTGAAAAAACAAAGAAAAAAACCAGAATGAGGGTTAGGGAACCTGGCATACTCCTTCAGGCCTCTCACCTTTTCTAATGTTTTGAACTGGACTTCCGGGTACCTCTTGGGGAAGACCTGTCCTTCTGGCTCACTCCTCCTGCTAAATCTCTTTCTAGTGACTTAGAACCCCAATTTAAAATGCCTACTTTACAACACAGTGTTTCCCCCCCCCCCCCCCAGTCTTCCCAATACCTCAGGGAACCACCACCTGCTTCCTCAGAAGTTGGCCTCTGGACTTGACCAACTTGGAAGACCCACCCATTTTGCCCTCTGGCATCCACCCTGTCTTGACATTGCTAGAACAGAGCCAGCTCTGATTGTCCAGGCACCCAGAAGGCCTGAAGCAGCTTTTTCTCTATTTCACCTGTCAGCTGCTCTAGAAAGGCTTCCTCTGTGTTCAGAAAAATTAGTGACTTGTATCATGAAAGTCTGTGTCACACCTCTCAAACTTCTTTAGCATTAAATAATGAGATTTTTCTAAATGTGCCCCCTCTTTCATCTCTGAGCAGCTGAGAATTGCCTAGGCTGGAAACGCTAGCCAGACATAACAGAATTTCCTCACAGCCCCTAGCCAGTGGCAATATACTCACCTCCTAGGGGACAAACATCCCGCCCTGGACAAGGGCCCACAACAGGAGGAGGGGGACAGGACTTGGCAGGTTGGACACAGTGGCCGAATTCAGGTCTGGACTCTGCTAAAAGATAGACACCGCCTCACAGTGGACTGCCTCAGCCTTCGGGCTACTGCTTCCTCTCCCTGCCCAGAAGGGTAACATCATTTTCCACCAACCTCTTTGTTCCTTTCCTCTGGTCTCAGAGAAAGACCAACCCCCAGCCCCATCACTACCTTTCAGGGTTCTTTCAGCCATCCTTGACCACTTAGGGAGGCCCAAACTCAAAGGCTCCTACTTTTCCCCATATTGGGGACTGAACCCAGGGCCTTTATATTGAGTTACATCCCCTCTCCTTTTTTATTCTGAGACCAAATGTCACTAAATTGCTAAATTTCCTGGGCTGGGCTTATTCTCTTGTCTCAGCCTACCAGAAGTGCTAAGATTAAAGGTATGTTCCACCATGCCCAGCTCAGTGACTATGACTTATCTGTTACGTACATGACACTGTGTTTGCCACTGTGCTAGGTACTGTAGGAGGGATATAAATAAGAATAACATTATATTCCTGTCTTCAAGGCACTTACAATCTAAAGGGGACCCTACTATCTATTTAAAACAGTTGGTCTCGAGCCAGGCGTGGTGGTGCATGCCTGTAATCCCAGCCCTTGGGAGACTGAGGCAAGAAGATCCTTGAAAACTTGAGACCAGTCTGGGCTACAAAGTGAGCTCAAGGCCAGCTTGAACTGCATAGTGAGACCCTGTCTCAAAAAACAACAAAAAACAAAACAGTTGTTCTAAACTTGTCTCCATTTCCTCAAAATGTGTTCTCCAACTCCACAAAATCTATCTTTCTCCAGCCACTCAGTTAAAACTATCAGCTGGGCACATGATACCCACCTCTAATCCCAGTTCTCCATAGGCTAAGTCCAGAGGATTACTACAAATTTGAGGCCAGCCTGGGCTCCATAGTGAGTTCAAGACCAGTCTGATCTACAGAATGAGACCCTGTCTCAAAAAAACAAAAAACAAACAAAAAAAACCCCACCAACACCACCACCAGCAAAAACCACAAACAAACCCTAAAACTACCCCCAAAAGAAGAAAACCTTGCTATCATCCTATTATTGTGAGTTATAAATGATCTTCTCTTTGGCCTCTTGGTAGCTTTTTGGTTTTGATTTTTTTGTTGCTGTTTTGTGTTTTGTTTTGAGACCGGGTCTTACTATGTAGTTCAGGTTGGGTTTAAACTCATTACACAGCACAGGCTGGCCTGGAACTTGCAGGGGATCCTTGCAAGTCTGGCTAATGCTAAGATCATAGGTGTTCACCACCACACCCAGCTGTTTTTGTTTTTTAGTCAAAGTCACGCTATGTAGTTCAGGCTGGCCTTCAGGTAGCTATGGATCTTCCTGCCTCAGACTCCTGAGTGCTGGGATTTACAGGCATATGCTGAAATGCCTTCCTTGTCTTGGTAGCTTTTGGTTGATTATATTAGCTCTCTCTTCTAGACTCCTTAAGACAGATTTAGATATCTGTCTGCCTCACACCAATCACTATCTCTATTTTCTTGGTTGATTTCCCTTTCTGATTCTACCAACTACAGGCAGTGTCCTTGGTTTTTTGATCTTCTATACCACTGACTCCGTTGAGCTCATCTGCTTTTTTTTTTTTTTTTTGGTGGTCCTGGTGGTAGTACTAGAGATTGAACCCACGCTGTTCACACTGAGCTTTAAAAAGCCCTTTAAAAATTATTTATTCAGTTAAAGACAGGATCTTGCTAAGTCTTTATTTATTTTGTATTTTTGAGATAAGGTTTCAATATTCAGTTCAGGTTAGCCATGAATTTATTTTTAGTCCAGGCTGATCTGAACTCAGAGATTTTCCTGTTTCAACCTTCTGAGTGCTGGAATTACAGGTGTGCACTACCACACCTGGCCTTGCTAAATCTTTAAATTGTCTAGATTGGGTTTGAATTTGTGATCATCCTGCCTTAGCCTTTCTGACTGTTGGAATTGCAGACATGTGTTACAACACTAGATTGATTGATTGATTTTTGTTGACCTTCACAGTAGCTACATCCCTAGCCTTTTTAATTTTTTTGCCTTTTTGAGACAGGGTCTCTATGCAGTTCAAACAGGCTTTGAGCTCACTTTGTAGCCCAGACTAATCTCAAACTTGCAGAGATCTTCCTGCCTCAGCCTCCCACATGCTGGGATTACAGGTGTGTGCCACCATGCCCAGCTAAAATTTTTTATTTTAAAACAGAATCTCAATAAATTATTAAATTTTCCAGGCTGGGCTCAAATTTAGGCTCCCCCTGCCTCTGCTTCTGCCTCTGCATCCCAGAATACTGGATTACAGGTACATGCCATCACACCTGGCCCTCATTTACTCCCACCCCTCCCCCCCTACCAAGGATCGAACTCCCCACCTTGTCCTTGCCAGGAAGGCACTGTGCTGCTGAGCTGTATCCCAGCCCTCATTGACCCTTTTAACTGGTTCTGCACTTGCAGCTCTAGACTTGGGCTGGAGATGAGCTTGGCAGGGCAGTGCCTGCCCAGGAAGCATGAAGCAGGTTTGATTCCTGGTACCAAAAAGAAAAATAAAACTCTAGTCCTGACCTAGTTCAGCTTTTTTTACGATAGTCCTCTTATAAGGAAATCAGCATAAATTCGGCTTGGTCAATACCAAATTTATAACTTCCCTCTTTAACCACTCTGTTTCCCATAGTTCCCATTTTGGTTAACCATTTTCACAAACATATTTAAAACCTGTAAGTTATTTTAGCTCCTGATTTATTCTTTATATGAAATTATTATCAAAACAAAGCATTTGTTTCAAAATACTTATTTTTCTTTTTTGTCTTTTTCAGTTTTTATCGGTACCAGGGATCGAACTCACAACCGCCTGCTTGTAAGGCAGGCACTTGCTTATGCCACTGAGCTAAATCCCCAGCTCTTTTTTTTTTAATTGGTACTGGGGATTGAACTCACGACCACCTGCTTGCAAGGCAGGTGCTTATGCCGCTGAGCTAAATCCCCAGCCCAAAATGCTTACTTTTCTCCTCTCAATTCGTAATACTACTTTCTTAGTCCAGACCTTTACTAGATTGTGGGAACAATACAAATCTCTTGACTCCATTAAACTGCAACTTGCCTACAACCAGGTGCCAGCTGCATCATGTGCTTGCCATAGTGAAGGACCCCCTCTTGCTTATAAATCCAAATTTATAAGCTTATAAACTGGCATTTCAGACTATATATAGTTTAGCTTTTTTTTGTTTGAGACAAAGTCTCACAATGTAATTCAGGCTGTCTTTGAACTCATTATGTAGGCTAGGCTTGTCTCAAACTCATTATGATCCTGCTGCCTGAACCTCCTAAGTGCAGAGATTACAGGCATGATATGCCACCAGCCCAGGCTATTTGCTCTCTTTTTGTTTTGTTCTTTGAGCCCTATCTTGCCATATTTGAAATTTCTATGCAAATACTTGATGCCTTGTGCTTGTTTTTTCTGCCATTCTCTGTGGACTCTTCCTTCAATCATACCCCCTCTACTAAACCATGCTATACTTACTCTATTTCTCACACATGTGTAGCTCTTACATTCATATAATAACTATTTTTCCTCCTGATTGGGTTTAACCTCTTATAATTTCATGCTAATCAAAATCTCACCAGATTGGGCATGGTGGCACATGACTGTAATCCTAGCACTTGAGACGCCCAGACAGGAGGATCACTGTGTTTGAGGCCATCCTAGGCTACATGGTGAAACCTGTCTTGAAAAACCAAAATGAAGAAAAAAGCTCACCTATTCAAATTATATACAAAGCACAATCAAGACATGTACAACATGTCTTGCAGACCTGTAATCCCAACAGGCAGGGGGATGGCAAGCATTAGCCCAACCTTAGCATGATCTTATCTCAAAAAATTTTTAAAAAGGTGGTAGTGTGGGTGCCGTGTGCTGCAGCTCAGTGAGAAGGCCCTGGGTTTGCTCCTAGTATAGGGTGAGGGTGGAGGAACACAATCACTTCCTAAAACCTTCCAGACCACCCTTCCCTATATAGATTTCTCTCACTGTGCTGACTAGAACACTTGTTTATGTCATGCTCTCAAAATTACAGTGTACATAACTTAACATTGTAACATGCCTTTCATTTTGTGAGTCTTATAAATTCCTTGAGGGCAATAACAACATCTAAGATCTCTTTCTCATCAGCATCCTCATAAGTTTTAGGCAGAGATTACATAAGCATTAAGTACTATTCGACTGAAATTCAGCAGCACCAAGTTTTTCCAGTAGTTTTTGTTTTTTGAGACAGGGTCTCACTATGTAGCTCAGGCTGGCCTCGAATTCACTATGTAGCTCAGGCTGGCCTCGAATTCACTATGTAGCCCAGGTTGGCCTCGATCTTGAAATACTCCCACCTCATTGTCCCAAGTGTTGGGATTACAGCCATGCCCCACAAGCCAATTCCAGGTGTTTTGCATACAGGATTGTATTACCTCAGTGAAAGATACGATGGCCAATTTGAGATGAACACCTGGACTGCAGCACTAGTTATTTTCCCCACCTCAACCTGGTATTCAGGCCTCCATTATACTGCATTACCAGCACTGAGATCTTTCTGGGTTACAGAGGTCTTATCCCCCTCTTCACTGGTCCCCATTCAACTCACTGTTGCCATCGTCATTGGTTTTGTGGTTACAGGATTCTCATTGTCCTCAGGTTGGGTTTGAAGACTGATGGTGGTCTCTACTGCTTTCGTTGTTACCTCTTTGAACGAATTGTTCTGCATTCACCAGGATTGGGAAACACTGAATTACTATCTTCCCCCTTCAACATCCTCATAGATTCTCTATTTCAAGTGCTTCCCCCCTTCACCAGCTCTCTACCCTGCAGCTACCATCACCCCTGTCTGGGAATCACTTCCTAATTTCTCTCCCCCCACCTCGTTTTCACTCTTGCTAATCAGTTACATTTCAACATGATCCAGTTTCTTTTAAACTGTTATTTATCTTGATCCTCTGTACAGGTCACTTACCAACTTGTCCTCTGACTCAAACATGGAGTAATCAATGGTGAAATTTACATTAAAATCATCTGGGAAGGAGAAAATAAATAATGATATCTGGGTGTGGTAGTGCATGCCTGTGACCCCAGCACTTGGGAGGCTGAGGCATAAGGATTGCTGTGAGTTTGAGGCCAGCCTGGGCTACATAGTGAGCTCAAGTCGAGCCTGAACTACACAGTGAGACCCTGTCTCAAAAAACAAAAACAAAATTAGTAAAAAAAGAAGAAAGGGAACTCTAGATTCAGGAATGGAAAGCAATTGCTCAGAATGATCTTCTTGATCAACTTCAACTTGATCAAGTTGTAAAATTTATTGGTATAATCCACTCCTAATTAACTTTAATGTTAAACTACTTGAATGAATGTGCGTGTATGTTTATATTTACCATCTGGTTTCAAAATAATTTACCAACAATAAAACTTCCAAATTGTTTCAGCAGTTTTCTTGAGTTAAAGATCACTAGCTTGAGCCGGGTATGGTGGCTCACACCTGTAATCCCAGCCCTTGAGGCTGAGGTGGGAGGCTCATTGTGAGTTCGAGACCAGCCTGGGCTACAAAGTGAGCTCAAGGCCAGCCTGAACTGCATAATGAGACCTTGTCTCAAAAAAGAAAAAAAAAAAAAAAAAAAAAAGATCACTAGCTTGAGAAACAGCATTAAGAGTCTTGATAGTTTTTGTTCATAGCCAAATTTCTGACTCATTTGCTGTGTGTGAAGGGCAGTCTTAGAGCTAAATAGTCCCACAGCCTCTCTCCACTCAACTAAGGGTTAGAGCATACTCACCATAAGTTGGGGTGACTGTGTAATAATAAATCACTTGATAATAATCATCCTGTACCAGTTCTTCATCCTCATATTCTTGACCTATGACAACAAGGATTATAGGTGAGGAGGCCTCTGGACCACCTTGGAACAGAACCTGATCCAACTCTGCTAGTTCTGTCTGCCTACCTTCCAAGCGGCATATTATCCCCTGCCTTTGCACCTTGAATCCTCCATAGTCTTCTGGGCTTCATATTTGTAATGAGGCCTGCTAATCTGTGCTTGGCCTCCCTTCCTTTTATTGGTACGTACTGAGGAATGAACCCACATCCTTCACACTGAGCTACATCCCCAGACCTCCTTTACATTTTATTTTGAGACAGGATCCTGGTAAATTGCTAAATTTCCCAGTTTGGACTTGAACTTGAAATCCTCTTGCCTCAGTCTCCTGGAGTGCTGAGATTACAAACCTCTGCCATCAGGCCTGGCTACTCTGCTTGTTCAGTCCAGGAACTCCTAGGGTGGAAAGCACATACTATAAAGCCAAAGAGAAAAATCAAAAAAAAAAAAAAAAAAAAAGAAGGAGGCAGAGACTAGAAATGAAAAATATAAAGACTGTGCCCTAGAATTTATTGTATTCGAGAGATGGCTTCTTTTAGCAGTGTCTCTTAGATTTGGATTTTGGTTCTAGCTTCACTGCTAACTAGCAGAATAATTTTTTTTTGTTTCAGTTGTCCTTTGTTGCAAGATCATAGAACTAATTACAAATTTAACCTATAATTTGATAATCTTTAGTGAGGTAATAAGATTTAGTAAAAATAAAATTTAAAAGTGATCATAGAACAACTCAAAATGCAGAGTAAGGAAAAAAAATGCAGAGTAACGATGAGAACCATCTGCTGGGCCAATAGGTTTAGTTCTCACTAAACGAAACCCCAAGCTTTTCCTTTTTAGGAAAAGTAAACTGTAATTCCAGTAGACAGCAATATGGGAAGTTTTGTTATATACACTAGTTTCCATTTAGTTAACTGTTTCTGGCTGCCTCAACTGGGCTATCCAATTTTGCACAGTGGTCTGTGCTTGAGCCTTCTTTGCAAACAGCTTTAGATCTATAATATACTTGGCAATCATCTTTTCCTGTTGTGGAGAGATGCTGTGCACCACTTGCTTCTCTACCTAGCTTATCATGTGCTCTTATTCCTTTCGATGCATCATATTCTGCCCAGAGACATGATAGTCCAGGTAGTTGCGCTGAACAAGTGCCTGCTAGGACTTCCTCAGTTCAGTTGTATCCTGGATTTGTTTCATGGAACCTTGTTTTGCCTCTTCTAGTTGGGTAATTTTTTGCTTATTGAGCTTATCAATAAATTATCCAAAAGAGACATTGTATTTTTTAAATTCTGTAAATAAGTATCCCTTCCACAGATATGGTGGAGAAGATCTCTGGGGTAATCACATGTATTTCTTTGGACAGAAAATGCAAGATAAGCTCAGTTCCAAGCATATAGGGTCCTGTTCCACGAGTTTTAGGATAAAGCAACTGGAAGAATTCCTTAGGAGTCAGCCCAAAATAAACTTTTCCACCAAGTTCTGGAAGAAGTGGGAAAGGAACAAATCCTGTCTACTCTGTGTGAAGGATCCTTGTTGCCTGCAATATCCCTGGTCCTAGGAGGGCTGCATTGTTCAGACTGGGTGCCACTGTGGTGGTGGCAGAAAGTACCACCCAGGACAGCATGATCAACAAAGGTCCAGGAAATGGTTTTAGCTTCCCGTAACCCCGAACAGAGCCGGCAGAGTAATCTTGAACAAGCTACTTAATATCTGCTTAATGATTCAACCAGATTAAATGCCCCATCTCTTAGTTTTCTGTTTTGTTTTGTTTTTATTTATTTACTTATTTTGAGGCAGGGTCTTGCTATGTAGCCCAGGTTGGCCTCCAACTTGAGACGATCTTCCTGCTTCAGCCTGCTGAGTGGTGGGATCACAGGTGTGCACCCCTACAAGTGGCTCTATTTTCAGTTCTTTCCAAAACTAAAAATATACAGCTTTCATGGTTGAATCAATTACTCTACACTTCCAGCTAAGCACTTCACTGAACTCCTTGCCAGCTTTCTCTCCAACACCAAACTAATGACACAAGAATCTGGTGGTGGTGGTGGGGTGTCAGGAAACAATGAGACACACCTGGCAAGCTAGGAAACAAAGGAAGGGAAGGAGCCAAGCTACTCTTGGGACCCTGTCCCTGAAAGCAGCCAATTTTCCACTATCCTAAAGGCCAACGCATAGCTCTGTCTTTACTAAGAGAAAGTTTTCTTTCTATTCTCTGGGAAAGGAGATAACTTGGCTTCTTTCACTAGTTGCAGACTGCCCATCTTCCAAGGGTCCATTCATCTTTTCCCTACTCTTACATTAGTCCTTCTTGTTATTCAGTGTTGTGGTGGTGGAAGCTTAAGTTTGCCCTTACTAAAAGATCCCCTCTCTCTGGGACTCTGTTGTCTATATGACATGTCATTACCTTGAGTCTGCCTTCCAGATCTTCCCTGCTCCCTACTCTGGACCCCGGCACAGATGAGAAATACCTTACTTCCCACTGAAATGCACCATGCACCTTTTCATTCGTTCCCTTTTGCCCTGTCCTTATAGAGGGCCTGGTACAAAAGCTGGGAGCAGGAAAGAAAGTGGACTTACCCAAGATAAGTGGCACAACAAGGATGGCTGTGAAGAGGACATCCATTCTGGATTTTTCACAGTCGCTGTGGAAGTAAAAAGGAAGTTACACTGTTTCCCACCAAACTTTCCCCGCCTCCCCCACGGGCCAAGGCTGGAAGGAAGCTGTAGGGGCTCCTCTCCCTGCAGCAGGATTCCCCGCCTCCTTGCTGGCCACATCTTCAGTTACTACCGGTTGGTCCTCAGCTTGAGCTGCCCAGATTCTGAGAAGCAGCAGTGAGTTTTGGAGTAGCAGTGGGTTTTTGTGCATCAAGCTCCTCCAGCCTTAGGCCCATGTAGGACACCCATTGCCAAAGAAAAGCCAACCAATAAGCTCATCTTCTGCCTTTCCTTTCTCCCTCCCAGTCCTCTAGAAAACCCCACCCTCCCTCTCGCTGTCCCTAGCTCACCAGGGCCATTCAGAGTTGCCTTTCTTTTAGCGGCTTAATCATAATCTCTCTTTTACACTGAAAAAATGTTCAGCGGAAAAAGTAAACATTTTTTTCTAGACTGAAAATAGACCTTCTTTGCCTGTCTTGGCTGTGGAGGATGGGAGCAGTATTTACCCGTCATTGTTCAACTCGCAAAGCACCTGCTGTGTTGTTTCTGATTGAAAGCTCCCCCCCAAAATGTGTAATAGTCATTGTACAAAAGAGAGGAAAAGAAAGTGCTCTAAACTATATAACTGCATGTATATTTAAGTGTATAAGATAGAATATGATATCACAGAGTTTTATTGGATCATTGTACAGAACTGTTTGCAGTATCATTGATGGAATGTCCACTTTACAAGCTTTAATTTTGTGACTTGAACAATTATTTCTAAGATGACAATATGTAATCCATTAACTAGTAATTTACTACTGTTCATTTTTTTTCTGCAAATCTGTATAACTTGTACCCTTTCTCTGCTTTTTTTTTTCTTTTCTCCTTAAATAAAATTTAAAAAAAAAAAAAAAAAAGAAAGCTCTCAGCCGAGGAGAATTATTTCCTCTCTGTTCAGTGCTGACCTGACCTCACCTTGTTCTCAATGTCCTGGACACAGAAGAGAAGGGAGGAAGTAGGTCTGAGTCTTTTCCCTCTGTTGTGTGCTGTGCCCTCCTACTCACGTCCTACTTCATTCAGGATTTCAGAAGTAGAGTTCTCATCTTTCTGTCTGTGTCTTTATTTCCTAGTTTCAGTCTATTCAATTCAGAAACACTGGCTAGGCACTGTGAGCTAGGTCTAGTCTGTAATTCAGAACTCGTGGGCAAGAGGATAAGAAAATAGTTTTTTGTTTTGTTTTGAAATGGAATTGATGAATATTTGCTCTACATCTACAAGCACAATACAATCTATATGGAACCACCTATGAACAAGATGGGTAGAAAATGCTCTCAGCCATCAGGAGATGCAGTACCCACAGCTAACAGGAGAGGTGAGAAAAGTTGTCTTGTTCCTATTTCTTCACTGCTGGACTCAGAAGCAGGGCATGTTGAAGTCTTGAGTGCTGCCCATGATGTTGCTGCCCAGTCAACCTTATGGGGGGAAGATATGCTTGGTGAATCAATTCCTCAGAGCCTTTTCAAAATGTCCTGAAGAACATGTAAAATATCTAGGTGAACATAAATATATTCATTAAATCATGGATCATCTCCAAGAAGCCTAGTTCTTTTCCATTTCTGTAGTTTTCTGGTACTTCGATGCTCACTTTCCCATCCTAAGACTTCTTTGCTTAAACATTCTCCCTAAGGACCAACCCCTTCGCTCTTTTTCTTTTGGTCTTCATTTTTCAGAAAACATATAGAGGAAGTATGACATAAACAGAAAACGGAACTGACTAGCAGGGGGTGGTGTGGTGGGGAAGCGTGTCATTTTCCTTCAGCCTCAACGCTCTAATTACTTTTTAAACTTCTGAATTCCTTCTAAACGCCTTCCTAACATTTCTCCCCAGGCTCCTTTGACGTTTCTCTTATTCTGTCATTGAAGATCAGAGATGAAGGGTTTACTAGCGAAATACAGTATTCTACATCTCCTGTACTAGCCTGTCCGAAGAGCTCCTACTTTGAAATCTTTTTATCCCTTAGGCAGCAGCGCTAGCCCATTTCCTTTCATTCAAGTAAGAACAATACCTGTCCCTATCTCCCTGCACCCTCTATCCTGTGCTCTTTGTATTTGTTTCTTAGATTCAAACAGGACTTTTCCTCTCTGCAGCCCTTCAAGATGAGATAGGGTAGCTCAGCATGGTGGCCCACTCCTGTAATCCCAGCACTTTGGGAGGTTGAGGCAGGAGTATCCCAAGTTCTAGTCCATCTTGGACAGTTTAGCGACTTAGCGAGATCTTGTCAAAAAAAGAAAAAGAAAATAAAAAGATTGTCATCGTTCTTCCCCCACAAACCGCGGCCAAGGTGTTAACAGAACCCATGAAGCCGTGCCTTCATCGGGATCAGGCTCAGCTCTTTAAACAGTTCGAAGGGCCGGGGATTTAAATAAGTGGCATAAGCGCCTGACTTGCAAGCGCGAAGTTAAATTCGATTTCCGGTACCTCTCAAAAACTAAAATAAAGTATATAAAATAAACAGTTCGAGCCACTCCCAGGACGAGGTCCAAGACTCAGGTGACTGGAGACTACAACTCCCAGTAGGTTGTTCAGCCAAGCTCCTGCCGTTGAAGCTCCGCCTCCGCTAATTCCTCATTGGCTTTCCAGGGATGGGGATTAGATGGGAGGCGGTCCTGGGGCTGCTGTCCGGGTTTGTCCGCTTCCGGCTTCCGTAGACCAAGCCGGACGAACCGTGTGGGGTTGCGGTGCCCCCTACCCTTCCCTGGGGTTCAGGGGTGACATTGCAGCGCGCCCCTTGAGGGGGTCGCGCCGCCACCCCCACACAAGCTCCTCAGCTGGCGCGCTCTTCTTGTTTGCCTCCCTTGGCGAAGGTGCCAACCCTTTCCCCAGCTGCCCCGCCATGGGGGCGGCAGTGTTTTTCGGATGCACTTTCGTCGCGTTCGGCCCAGCCTTCGCGCTGTTCTTGATCACAGTGGCCGGGGACCCCCTTCGCGTTATCATCTTGGTGGCAGGGTGAGTAGATTGTAGAGAGGCGGGATAGCATGGAAAGACAGACGCGGAAGGGGTTGGAGGAAGTGGGGCGATCCTGGAAGGCTGAGTTGGTGGAAATAAGTCGATACCAGGACAGGGTCGGATGGGTGATCTGGGTGATTTACGTTTTCCCGCAGATGGTTTCCGCCTTCCAGGGACGCACAGATTCCTCCTACACGCCTCCCGGCTACGTCAGAGGAGGCCGAAGGCCGAGGCTTGGGAGGGGGCTGGGTTGACCTGGGCCGCCCCAGACAGGAGGGAGGATCCAAGAATGGATACCTTCCCTTCCGTGCCCTCATACTCTGTCATTCCTAATCAGATTTCTACCCCTTCTTCTGCGTCCAGATTCTTACAAATGAGTAGCTACTGTATGTGATCCCAGTCTCCATCACCGTTTGGAAATCTAACTACAACTTTTCTTGGATGGTTCTCCTTTTCTCCTCCCCCTCCCCGATTTCTCTGGGTGCTTCTTACACTTGCTTGTCTCATTGCTTTCATCTTTTCTCTCAGGGCATTTTTCTGGCTGGTTTCCCTGCTTCTGGCCTCTGTAGTGTGGTTCATCTTGGTCCATGTGACAGATCGGTCAGATGCCCGGCTCCAGTATGGCCTCCTGATTTTTGGTGCTGCTGTCTCTGTCCTTCTACAGGAAGTGTTCCGCTTTGCCTACTACAAGCTGCTTAAGTAAGAAGATGGGTAGATCTGGAGGGGAGAGGGGCAGAGAATTGTACAGTGGGGAGTGGGGCAGCTCTGGGTGGTGGTTTGGAGGGAGAGACACTAAGGGAGGACATTAGAGGGAAAGGACCATCCCAGCCCTCCCTCATTTTCCCCTACCCCACCCCACCCCAGGAAGGCAGATGAGGGGTTAGCATCGCTGAGTGAGGACGGAAGATCACCCATTTCCATCCGACAGATGGCCTATGGTGAGCCAAGGGAGAGGGACTGGAGGAGGGAATTGGACAGCCCCCTCCCTAGGGAAATCTCTAAATAATCCACGTGTTCTAAGTCTTGTCTTGTTTTCCTTCATACCTGACTTCCAAGGAAAGGTGGTCTGGAGGGAGAGTAGGTGTGGAAGAATGGTTACAGAGAATGGGAGGGATTGCTGGTGGTGAGGCAATAGTGAGCTGTGACATTGACAGGACCCTCCCTCCCCCCAGTTTCTGGTCTCTCCTTCGGTATCATCAGTGGTGTCTTCTCTGTTATCAATATTTTGGCCGATGCACTTGGGCCAGGTGTGGTTGGGATCCATGGAGACTCACCCTATTACTTTCTGACTTCAGGTAAGGCTCACTTCTAATGTTGCCTTCATGCCCCATTCATCCCTGGCCCTGATTTCATTTATTGGCCTTCCCTGGGAGACTTCTTTGGCTCAACATCTCAGGAGGCTGGGAGAAAATCAGGGATGTATTTCATCCCCATCTCCCTCCCTCCAGCCTTTCTGACAGCAGCCATTATCCTGCTCCATACCTTTTGGGGAGTTGTGTTCTTTGATGCCTGTGAGAGGAGACGGTACTGGGCTTTGGGCCTGGTGGTTGGGAGTCACCTACTGACATCAGGACTGGTGAGTTGGAGATAAAGGTCTGAGTTAGGGAGAAAAAAGCCTTTAATGGTGAATGGGATGGGTGGGTATTTTTACTTCTTAACATTTATCTTGGGTGGAGGCAGAAAGATGAGCCTTCAGGGGTGTGCCATGTCAGTATCAGTTATATGAGCTGCTCTGGGGGTACTTGGGGGGGCATTTGAATGAATTAGTTAAGCTGGAATGCAGAGGATGTGCAGAGAGCAAGAGTGGCAGCAGCCTTTGAGGGACTTGAAAATCAGAAAATATGTGGCCATAGGTACTGGTCTTCTGGAGGAAAGACTGGGGAATTTGATGATATGCCTGGACAAGTTTTGAGTCAGAGGCACAAAGAAATGTGGGGACTAGGTAGAGAGAGAATTTAACTTCTTTTCTGTGTTTCCTCTCATTCCCAGACATTCTTGAACCCATGGTATGAAGCCAGCTTGTTGCCCATCTATGCAGTCACTGTTTCCATGGGGCTTTGGGCTTTCATCACAGCAGGAGGGTCCCTCCGAAGTATCCAACGCAGCATCTCGTGTAAGGACTGACTACCTGGACTGATCGCCTGACAGATCCCACCTGTGTGCCCACTGCCCATGACTGAACCTAGCCCCAGCCCGGTCCGTTTCCCATGTGCTCCGTCTCCTCTTTAGTCTGTCCTACCACCTTCAGGGTTTTGCTTTGTCCATTTGTGACCTTTGGTATCTTAGTGTTACCAGTCAGTGACTGGTGGGTTTGAATCCTCACTTATCCCCACCACCTGGGGACCCCTTGTTGTCCAGGACTCCCTGTGTGTCAGTGCTCTGCTCTCACCCAGCCCATGACTCACCCCGCTTCCCCTCTGCAGGCCGACGGCAGGAGGACAGTCGGGTGATGGTGTATTCTGCCCTGCGCATCCCACCCGAGGACTGAGGGAACCTGGGGGGGACCCCTGGGCCTGGGGTGCCCTCCTCCTCGCCCTGTATTTCTCCATCTCCAGCTCGGGACAGTGCAGGTTGCCAAGAAAAGGGACCTAGTTTAGCCATTGCCCTGGAGATGAAATGAATGGGAGCTCAAGTGTAGATGAGCTCTGAGTTTTCCAGTTCCCTCTCCCCAGACTGGATGTCCTAGTCTTTCTCAGGTCTGAAGGGAACCATTTTTGATGTGATAAAGACCTCAACTGCCTTGGTTTTTTTTAGGGAGGGGAGAGGAAGGAGGTACACTGAAACTCTGCTAACCTCCGTGGGCTATATTTTCCCTCTTTAAATTGCTCCTCATGGCTGGCTTATTTCTGACCCCTTTCCTCTTGTCCCAGGCCCTGGAAGAAAGGAAGGAAGTGCATGTGTGGGAACTGGTATTACTGGAACTATTGGTTGTAACCTCCTTGACCACCAGCGTCCCTCCTCTCCCCAGGGTGAAGCGAAGGGTGCTGAGGGAGCTGGCCCACTCTAGAGCCCTGTTGCCCTCAGAGGGGTCAGACTACTATGGCATCACAGGGAAGGAGGGCAGATTTTTTTTCTAGTTTTTAATTGGGGTGGGGTAGGGTACTGGGGAGGTTTTCTATAAACTGTATCATATTCTGCGAGGGTGGAGTGTCCCATCCTTTTAATCAAGGTGATTGTGATTTTGACTAATAAAAAGGACTTTATAATTGTGGGGGGACTTGGTTTTAAGGAAAGGGTTAACATATTAATTGAGGTTTCTGCTCTGTTACATCTCTTATTCTACCTTCTTCCTAACCTGGTAACTACTGATCTCCAAGCATAGCTTTGGTACCAGGACAGATATTGGGGTTGATAATTTAATGTCAGACACTGTAAGTATTGCCCAGAAGTGGATCTCCCTTTTCAGGAATGGGATAAAAGGAGTTAATCCCAATGCTGCTTTTTCTGTCTGCTTTGGCCATGCTAGCACCTGAGGGATTAAGGAACTCTCTTACCTTCAAATGATAGGCCAGAGTGAAGGTCAGAAACTTTAATTTCCAAATATATTGAACAGAATAATAATAATAATCCCAGCAGCAGCCCTTTTTCCTAAGGGGAGATACTGCAGCATACCTAGGGGAAGAGATATAAAGGTGAAGACTAGGGGACTTTGTGGTACCTACCCAACTTCAACAACTAAACAAAAATAGTTTGCCCTCTGCATTAATACACACAGGTCCCTGATCTACATATTTTGAGAAACTGAAAGCTCTGCTGTTCTTCCTCAAAGAAGAACTAGTTGTCTTACCTGTCTGTGGGAGACTGTCTAGAAGAGGGAGGGGAATCTACCTACTACTCCTAACCGTATTTTCTGACCAGTCTCTGACCCTACTTTGGAGACTCCCTGACAGGTATGAGAGGAAGAGGTCCATGATGTCTGAGGGGGAGTTTATGCCTCTGTGGTGGCTCGGACTGAGGTGAAGACCACACTCTTCCCATTTCCTAGCCTCTTCTTCCTGGAAAAGGAATTAATATGGGAGTGACTGGAGTTCTAAAGTGAAGCAGGGGGCTGGGGATTTAGCTCAGCGGCATAAGTGCCTGCCTTGCAAGCAGGCAGTCGTGAGTTCGATCCCTGGTACCGGTAAAAACCAAAAAGACAAAAAAAAAAAAAAAAAAAAGTGAAGCAGGTTGGAGGGACTAGGAGAACATTCTGGAATAGAAAAGGACTGCAGGACTGTAAGGTAGAGCCTCACCGAATCCTTTTAGCGATGAAGTAAGCAGCCACCAGGAGGCAGAGACAGCCCAGCACGATTCCCACAGCTAGACTCAGCATTTCACCTGGGGAGACAATGATGAAAAGTGTCAGCTTCAGACTAACCTAGGCCTGGGACCTCCCCAGTTTGCTGACAGACCCCACCCCTTGTCTTACCTGTGGTATACACAGGTCCTACTGTAGGGGAAGAAAACATGGATTAATGGGGCTGCAAGTTCCATCCCAGCTGACATCAGCATGCTGTTTCTCTGATGGGACAATCACCCGGGCATACAGGGCTGGGACTGGGTCCCAGTCCAGGTTAGGAACTGGAAATCTCTTTTCTCCCAAGAGGTCACTAGTTCCTGCCATTGAGTCCTTGGGTTTCCCATCATTACTGAGCCTTTCATAGTCACCTTGGATGAAAGAAGCAAAGACAGCTCGCTGGTTGAGAGGCTGAGGAGCTCGGTAGTTCTGGACCAGGGCCTCTGAGGGCTCTTCTTCTGTAGAGAACAGTGTCTGCTGAAGCCTTTCCAGCTGAGTAGAAGAGTGAGAAGTTGCTTTAGGGGCGTGGGAAGTAGTCTGATGTCAACCATGTCTTCACCACCACCACACTCACCTGTCCCACTGAAATCTGGGCCCTTCTGTTGAAGACTGTCCAGAGCACACTCTGATAGCAGGGAGGAGTGGTGAGCGAGCCATTGTAGCGGAAGAACTGCTCCAGCTCTGAAGGGAGCAGCTCTCTCACGCTGAAGGGAGGCACTGAGGTCTTCTGATCTAGGGATGACATACCAGGACTGATCTCTCCCTCTGAGCTGTAGCTGCTTACCTAGACCTGGTTTTCCAAAGCAAAACCCATGGGCCTTGGTTTATTGCTTTCTTCCAGAGCTTAATAGATCAGGGTGTTTTTGTTGTTTTAATGGGAGTACTGAGACTCAGACCAAAGACTTGCTAAACAACAACCTCAGCCTTTTTAAAAAAACTTTATTTTGAGATAGTCTTGCTAAATCTCCCAGGTTGGACTTGAGCTTGGGGATCCCCTTGCCTCAGCTCCCCAGAGTGCTAGGGTGACAGGCATGTGCCACTATTCCTGACTTTAGGTCACTTTTAATTTTGTCACAGAGTCTCAGTATATAGTTCAGGCTGGTCTTGAACTCATGTAGCCCAGGCTGGCCTCAAACTTATGGTGATCCTCCTGCCTCAGCTTCCTGAGTGCTGACATTACAGATGTTTGCCATCATGCCTGGCAAGGTCAGTTTTTGAGTTTCCCTAAAGTCTAATTTTGCTTGCTCTTACTATAGACTTTTAGGGTTCACCTTTATGGCTTATTTCATGCAGATGACTCAGAATGTGTTCATAGGCTGGATTCTCAGTGTCGCCCACCTGGAAAAGGATGAAAGAAATAGGGGTTCACTTATAAATGGTCAGGGTGGGTTGCTGTCTGTTTGGGAAAGGAGGCAGGCAACCAAATAGCCCTAGGAGATGCAGAGGAAGTTGAGAGGACTGGGAGCAACTGGAGGCCACTGACCTCAATTAGGATGCCCAGGACAGCCAGCCCCTGAGGCCTCTGGGCAGCTTCACTCAAGCTGCCATAGGAATCAGAATCATAATGAACAATATGGAGCTGAGGGAAAGGAGAGGAAACTGAGTCATTTAGTGTTTCCCCACCCTTCCAAGGCCTTAATTCAGCTACTGCCATGACCTCAGCATGCTCTAACCTTGTTCCCAAAGCTGGGTCTTAACCCCCCAGGATGACCTTTTCTGGTGTCCATATCTTTCTTGGCCCTGGACCAACCATTCCTGGGTTGTTTTATATCATAATCTAAGCTCTTTATTCCCTGGTACCTCTGCAGCTGTGGCTTCATTGTTGATCTGGTGCTCTGACCCCCCTGGGGATCCTTTTTGACCCCAGTGCAGGTGGAGCTGGGCAGCTACATATTTTCGGGGCAGTCCGCCCAGGTACAGGGTAGGGGGCAAAGAGAGTTGCACTGTGAGGAAAAGAGCAAGCTAGAGTTGGTTGAATGCAGGTCATTCCCACCCCATAGCTGCCACCTCTTCACTCATCTTCCTTCCCCAGTGACACCCAGTGCCTCCCGTGATTCTGTGCTTTTCTAATGTAGCTCCCTCTCTTCAGTGATGGTTAAGTCAGTATTAGGACATTAGCTGTCCATTGAACTTGATCATAGACATTCAGTTCCCACCTTGGCTATGGGAGCTTGATGCCCATTCTCATGTCTCCAAATGGATGGAGCTTTCCAAGAATCCACAAGTTTTGAGAATATCCTGACTCAAAGATTTGAACTATAGCCTATAACCCCTTGGAGCCTGGGCAGTTTTTTGGCTTTTTTTTTTTTTTTTTTTACCTGTGTGGCCATTATTATGCAGGTCCAAAGGCTCAGTGCCAGGCTGGTCATATCCATGGGGCTGTAGAGCAGGCAGCTCGGGGTCGAATGTCACACTGTCTGTCTGGATATCGATGGGGGACTGGGCATCGCTTCCACACTCAGGGTAAGAGGCTGGCCAATGGTCCTGACCATGTGGGCCTGGTGAGGGTTACCATGGACATTTGTCCTGCCCCTTAAGCCTCAGTCACACTTCGACATCCCCACCAAGTAACCTGCCTGTTTGGAGGTAAAATGCACTTCTGTCCACCCAGCTAGGCAGGGCTGGGTGAAGTTAGACCCACCGGATCTCATGCTGCAGATCCCTGGCCTACCCACAGACAGGGATGGCTCCCACCGGTCCTAAAAAATAGCCAGTGGTGGTCCTTTTACTTACGTGGAGTTTGAGGACAAGAAAGCTGAATGAGGGGAAGAGCAGATGGATAGAAAGCTTGAATATCCAGAGAGGTAGGATTAGAGAGTAGGAGTAATAAAATGAGAAGAAATCAATGATTCTAGAGAGAGAGGGTCTCTTTAAGGCTCCCTGTCAACCGGTGCACTGCAGTTCAGGTGCCCTGACTTTCTGTCATTCACTTATTGCTGTCATACTGGACCTTGTATTGACTCTGGGGTTCAGTTTAGTCATTCATCAGAAGCTCAAATGGATTGAGTTCTACCTCCCCCAAGGTCACAAACTATCCCACCTGAGTCTTCCTCACCCCTGGCCTCAAACCCAGTCCCAAAGCCAGAGGTGGATCAGGGGATCAGCATGATTAGGATAGAGGAAGAGAGAAAAAGGCAGTGAAGGCCAGAGTTTACCTCCCCAACCAGTGTTCTTTCCATGCCAACTCCCTCACTCCCACGTGGATTTACTGGGGACTCAATTGGCTTTTATGCTGAATCAGGAGGTGTGGGATTTAGTGATTTGAACAGGGTCTAGGAGTCACATATGCAGAACTCAGGCCCAGGGAGTGAAGGGAAGAGGCAGGGCTCTGAGCTGAAGGAAACCTTCCCACCCACATGGTAAGCCAGGCAGGAGCTGTAGAGATGGATGTCTGCAGGATGGAGCTCTGCTCTCACCTTCATATGTCCAGTGGTGACCTGCAAGGCAGAGTAGTTTGGGTTACAGCCAGGCAGCTGAGGCCGGCCCTACCTCCACTGCACCCTCCTCTCAAGCTCTGCCTGCCTCCTCCTGCTCTCTTTCCTCCACTTCAGCACTTCCCAAAGGAAGCACTGAAACTGGACACCTTGGTGGAAAGGTTGGGGGGCCTATTTAAAATCCGCAGCCAGGCTGTGCTTGGGCTTGCCGAGTCAAAGGGGAGGAGGAATGGAGAGATAAAGCCTGGAGACTAAAATTAACCTGGACCCAAGTGTACATTTTGCCAACTCTTAACCTTTCTCTAGCCTGGGCCAAGTCACTCTAGCATTTAGAAGATCGGGGCGGGGTGGGGTGAGGTGTGGGCAGAGGGTTTGAAAGAAAGGAACCAGAGAAAAAGGGACAGAAGTTCAGAGCCTGTGAATGGAGGACTGCTACTGAGGGACTAAAGAGAATTATTCCTGTGGGAGCACTGCTTGAGTATAAATTAATATTTAAATTCTTCCTTTTTGGTCCCACGGCTCTAGAGGAAACTCCCCACCTCAGCAACCTCTGCTGCCCAGGTTCCCAGATAGCTCTGGGAAGGACTGAGTCAGGGCAGAGTCTCTGCTAGGTTGAGGGCAGTGGGTGGGCACAGGCAGCAGGCTGGCAGGGACAGGATGAAAGTGGAGCATTGTGTATAGGAAGGAGAGCTGCCAGCTGGGTCACACGCCAGGCTCTTGTGCCTCCTGTCTCTGGCTGAAATGCTGAGGGTCTGCTGGTCTGGCCCCCCACCTAGCCCCAAGCTGCTTCAGGGAGAAGAGAGAATCCTTGTCGTTTTTTCACTGCAATATTTAAATTGCCAGAAACTCTGCAAAGAAATCCTAAATTTCTTACCCTATTTCTAGAATTTCCTCAAATTTCTTTATGGTAAGATGGCTTGGATCTCATCTTTACTGTGTTCCTCAGTTCACACAGTTCTCAAAAGCAGCCCAAGGGAGGGCAGGCAGCAGCCTCATTTACCAGGCCTGTGGGGCCCCAGTAGCCCTAAGTCCCCTTGTTCTGGGAAGGTGCCCTTCTCATCAAATTCTTGACATGCTGAGTTTACAGCTTTTCCTCCTCTTTCCTTTCCTTTCTCCTCAGAAGAAATTTGTGACTCCATTTGGCTGTTCCCAGCATCCTCTTACATTCTGTCTGCTCTCTAGAACCTCTTGTTCTTCCAAGCAACTGTATGCTACCATAGATATTGCACTAGATGATTTTTGTTTCCCATGAGGTGTATAGGTGTATGGGCCTGCCTCTCAAGAATCTCTTGTACTCTTGTAAGTACTTTATAAACTGTAAATGGCCACAGAGAGGTTGGGTATTATTGCTATTGCTTTGAGGGGAAAATTGGGAAATGAGTCACTCCAGAGAGTTAAGGGCCACCTCTGCTGTGAGATGTTCAGCTAGAGACCAGGGTGGTGGTGGTATAGGATTGTGGGCCCCCCTTCCCCTGCCCATCTCTTCACTCCAGGTCTCTTTGGCTCCCTAATCACAGAGTTCATAAGTAAAGCAATCCAGGAGGGTCACCTGTGACTAGGGCTTTGAGGAGAGTTTTGGAATCTGTAACCTGCAAGGAGCTTCCTGCACTTGTGTGTGTACACACCTTGTGCTCAGCTCTCCAGTACAGCAAGCCTAGAAAGGTAAAAGGAAAAGAAGGGGAGCAGCACTTTCCCCTACCCCGGAGCCCATTATTCCAGCACCCAGATGTCCTTTTACCACCCCCCTCGCGCCATGCCCGGTGACATGTGGATATTAGCCCAGACAGACACACAGACATCCAGTTGTACCTACCCTCATCGGCAGCCAGGATCCAAGTCACCTCAAGCAAGAGGGCGAAGAACAACATGGTATCCCCAGCAAAGGACGCAGCGGGCCAGGAGTTTAGGGACTAGCGGTCTAGGGAAGAGAGAGTGCGGGAGAGAAAGAGAGGTTCCTGGCGTTAAGCATGTTCATTTCTTTTTCTCTGGCTAGCTATGTCTCTGCAGAATTTGATTTTCAATTGGGTACCGTCGGTTTCTGGGTCCCAGGATAAATCTTTTGCTGTCCCCCTCTGTCTACGCTCCCCACTTTCTGCCTTCTCTTTATCTACCTCTGCAGGCTCCACTCCTCTTGCTGGCCAGCGGCTTCACAATTGCCTCCCGCTTTTAAGGTGGTTCTGAACCGGTGGACGAGGGGAGGAGGGGGTGCCTGGGCCGGTGGCGGGCAGCTCCTTAAATAGCCGATTAGGCATGCAGGACGGCCGTGCTCCGAGCCAAGCTGCACGCTTCCCCCAAGCAAGCGCTGGTCCGGCACTTGAGCCCAAGTGGGGTGAGCTCTTCCTCAGCTATTCACGGACACTGCACAGATCAGGACCCCTTGGAGCACAAAGGACAGGGAAGGCGAACTTCGGGACCCAATCCAGCCCCACAAGGGGACACGGTGTTGTCCTTTGCCCACCGGGACGGTGTGTTGGGGTAACTGGTGGGGGTCCTGTTCCCAGTGCCCTGCAGATTCTGAGCTGCCCTGGAATAGGAAAGGTCTACAGTTTGCAGACGGAGCTAGGGCCTGGGTGCAAGTCGAGGGTGGAGAGTGAGGGTCTGAAACGTGGTTTGTGAAGAGTAGAGAAGCAGGACCAGCAGAGCTTGAGTGATGTCTTTCTCTCGCGCCTGTCACCACCCCTCCCCACGGTGAGGCCTGGGTCCACGTGCCCATGTGGCTGGGGGGGGGGCGGGTTTGTTTGCCGGATAAAGCCCATTTGTGTGCCCAGCGGGGGAGGGGCTGCCGAACACTACGGAGGGACAGCGGCTCCAACTGCCAGCCCCAGCCACCTCCCTCCCCGGGGAGCTCAGATGTAGGGCGGCTTTTGTCACTGAAGAGGACACTGACCCCTCCAGAGAGGCCTGTGCAAGAGGAGAGACGACGGGGAGGCCAGGGAACAATCGGACCGCCGCCGCCGTCAGAAAAAGGCGGATTCCAGAGCAAGAGAGTAGGATTCCAGAGAGAGACCATGTGATCCAGATGAAAGAGGGTGCAGGGTCTTCCTCCAGCCTAACAGAAGGTCAAGGCAGGATGGAAGAGCCCAGGCGAAACCTGCCAGCGGAGAGCGGAGGCTGCAACTTCAGGAATGTGGCTGTGCGCGCTCCCCCACGGGACTGGAAATCCCGCTCGGAATGTGCGTCCTAAATCCTCATTAGGGAATGTGAGGCCCACAGATGATTCTAAGTTAGTCACTGAAACCTCCTTCTCCTTCATAACCTTCACCGGGCCACGAGCTAGGGGGACGCAACCTTCCCAGCTCCTTCTGCCTTCCCTGCTCCTGCTGAGCAGCAATAAACCGCCCAAACAAAGGGAGCAGAAGCCAAACACAAGGGAGCAGGATAGAAGCCAAGGGAACAGAATAATGCATTCGCTGGGTCATCAGCTCCTGCCGACCGGAGCTGCCTCCCCTGCAATTGATCTGCAAGCGTATTTTGCAAATGTCATTTCCCTGTCCCTTACCACCCTTCAAATTGTTTTCCTCTTGGAAAAGTTTTCTGTTTTGGGGTTTCTCCCAAAGCCCCATCCATCCCACGTATAGAGAATAAAAGATGTAAAGTGTAAGTTAGAATTCTTTGGAAACAGAATGGTAACACAGAAAAAAAAAATGCACGCAAGCAGACAAGCGGAGACACCATGGAATGAAAAAGGAGGTCTGGACCGAGTGACTCTGTCTGGACAGAGTTCCCTGGAGCTTTGGGGGCTGAGATTCTACTTCCCCAAAGGCAGGTAAGTGAGTTTTGCCAGGCGCCACCTCCTGGCTTGTCTGTGAATTTTAAATTTAACGTATCTTGTGTGCGATTTGTTCTCGGAAGTGTACAACTTAACACTGTTGCACAAGGATGCTTCGGCCCCAAACCAGCAGCCCCTTTGGCTCCTGAGCGCTCCTGCCAGGCGCTCGTGCTCCTGAGCCGACAAAGGCTCTGGTTTCCAGGAGAGCGGGAGAAAGGGGGCAAAGCATCGTCCTCCCCAGACTTGACTTCATTTTGATTTTCGGTTTTCCCGTGGATATTTTCGTCGTTGCTTTCTGGCCATGCTGATTTGGACTAGGTGTCAAGAGGCTCTCAGGGTGATGCATCTTTGTTTTTACTCAAATTCTAGCAACTCTGTGTTCTGAATTCTCCCTCTCAAACCCTTTACTCACCCTGGAGCTGGCTAAAAAATAAATAAATAAATAAATTCTCTGTAAACTGAAGCCATTCCACTACCTTTTGGCGCCATCTCCCGTCCTTGTAGATGCAATAAAATGTGAGTATCAGAATCAAAAGCATTCAAGTGTGGGGACTTTTTTTGCCTACCTTTTCTAACAAGAGCCTAACCTAAGTATTTATTTATTTAGTTTTGGATTTGTTAGACAGGTCTTGATGTGTAGCCCAGGCTGGACTTGAACTCACAGGAATTTCCTTCTGCTGAGCTTTACAGGTATGTGCCACCAAGCCTGGCTTATCCTAAACATTTAAACTTACTTGTTGAAACATTACAGGGACTCAAGTAGGACTCCAGGTTTGTGTGGCAAGATAAAGGGTTTCAATAAAAGAGGGAGGCAGATTTTTTAAAAACCTGAAGCCAAGAAAGGTCATAGGAATTTATTCAATTTTATTCAGGCGGGCCCTGTACTAACTAATTACTGAGGAAAAGCATCAACGAGGAGACAGATGCAATTACATTTTCTGGAAAAGCAAATAGCATTCTGTTTGTGAGGCAATGTTGGCCCAGAAAAATTTTAATTTGATAGATAATCACATCTAGCATTGTATACATTAATACATTAATACTGAAGCCCTTTAAACAAACAAAAATATTGAAAGACTTTAAGTCAAAAATTAGGGGGAGAAAGGTGCTCAGGATTCTTTGGATTTTTTTTATTTTGTGACAGGATCTCACTATGTAGCCTAGTACATCTGTGCAAATTGAGTCTGTGCATGTAACAGTGCTTGGCCTGTGATTTTGTTGTGTGCGTGTGGTACTGGAGATTGAATTCAGGGCTTTGTGCCATCCTAGGCAAGCACTCATCCACTGAGCTACATCCCTAGCCCAATATTTGTTGAATGAATGAATTAATGAAATTATTGGGATATTTATTTTCCTTCTTTCTGTCTTGGGCAATTTATAGAATTTAGGCCAAAAGACCCTTTAGGTATTATTTCAATTCCTTGTTATGACCTGAAGAAAATAACTTTGTTTGTTTTGTTTTTTTGAGACAGAGCCTTGCTCTGTAATTCAGGCTGGCCTTAAACTCACTATGTACCCCAGGCTGGCCTCAAACCCACTACAGTCTTTTTTTTTTTTTTTTTTGATGTGATACCAGGGGTCAAACTCACAACGTTGTGCTTACCAGGTAGGTGCTTACGTGGCTGAGCCCCCACTGTAGTCTTCCTGCAGCGGTCTCCTCAGCACTGGGATTACAGGTGTGCATCACCAAACCCAGATAGTGAGTTTTAAGGGAGTTGGGAATTCATCTGTGGTTGGTCATTTACCTGCTGACTGAACCAGAACAAGGGCACAGGTAGGTATCAGTGAGTTCTTCCTTACATTACTGGTTCTTAACATGTAGTGTACATCATAACTACCTGGAAATCCTGTAAAATGTAGATCTCTGGGCCTTAACCCCAGTTCCTGATTCTGTGGGTTGGGGGTGTATCCAGAGATTCCCACACCTAACAGGTGCTCTGGTGCTGCTGAATCCAGTGTATAGTACTGTGCTTCAGAACTCTACCCTATTCAGCGGGAGAAACAGAGGTAGTGAATTTGTCTTCAGGCATTCCAGCTATTGGGAACTACTCCTTGAAGTCACTATTTGATTTGAGGTTAGAAATAGTCATTAATTTACAAACATTTTTAAATATGTCTAGGTGCTAGGTACCATGTCACCAATCTAGAAATAAAACTGAAGGACTTGGGATTTAGCTCAGTGGCTTAAGTGCCTGCCTGGCAAGCGTGAGGTCATGAGTCTGATTTGCAGTACCAAAAAACAAACAAATAAAAAAAACTGAATAAGGCATAATATGTGCTCTCAACAATTTTCCAATCTGTTGGGGATACAGGTATCTCACCCAGTAACTAGAACACATGAGAAAGTTCTGGATTGGTTAGAAATAACCTATATTAACATTCTGATGTTAACTTTTTCTAATATGAGTGCATATGTTTAGGATATATACATATATATATATATATATATATATATATATATATATATGGCTTTTTTAAGACAGGATCTTGCTATGTAGTACAGGCTGGGCTTGAATTTACAGTGATCCACCTGCCTCAGCTTCCTAAATGCTGGGATTACAGGTGTGAGCCATCATGCCTGACTCCTAGATTATATATATATATATATATAACCAAAATGAGACAATACGGGATTTGTGAAAATTTTTTCTATGTCACTAAATCTACATTCATGTTATCAATTTAATGACTGCATAGTTTTTCTTTCTTTCTTTTTTTTTTGCTGCTGTGTATCAAACCCAGGGTCACATGCATGCTAAACATGCACTCTACCACTGAGCTACACTCCCAGATACAACCTAGTGTATTTAACTAATCCTCTGCATGTGGAATAAGTTATTTTCTGTTTTTACCTATCACAAACAATACTTCAATTAGAATGTTTTTATATGTATTTATATACTTGCCTGGTTGTTTCCTTAACAAATTACAAGTGGGTCTATAATTTTAAAACATTTTATGATTATATATTCAAACACTATAAAACTTTTTTATTAATTCATCAAAAATTTGAGACATGGTCTTGCTTAGTTCAGGTTGAACTCATTATGTAGTCCATACTGCCCTTGAAGTGACTATGAGCCTCCTGTCTCAATGTTCCGAGTGCTGAGACTATAGTTGTGTGCCCGTACACCTAGCAAACCCCCTCCTTTGTTTTCCCTTAGAGTCAGGTAGGCCTTACAACTGCTGAGCTAAATCCCTAGCCCTATTTTTTTTCTTTTGTATATAATTTCCTCTCCAAACACACACTTCTACTCCCACTTCTTAATATAATTATTATATCACAATGAGTAAATTTACATTTAAATTATCAAAAATATTCACTTAGATTTGATCCAAAGAGTATAGCATATTTCCCATCTTGTATAACTTTGAATTGATTTTCTAGTTGCTTATTCATCATCTCTAAATACACTGTTGAAAATGTAACCCTTAGCTGGTTGTGGTGGCACAGGCCTATAATCCCAGCTATTTGGGAGGCTGAGGCAGGGGGATTCCAGGGTTAAGACCAGCCTGGATAATTTAGTGAGACCCTGTCTCAAAATTAAAAAAATAAAAAGGGCCAGTAATATAGTCCAGCACTCCCAGAGCTCAATCCCCAGTACTACAGAAAGAAAGAAAGAAAGGAAGAAAGAAAGAAAGAAAGAAAAAAGAAAAGAAAAGAATGAGCCAGGTGCACTGTGAGCCTGTAATTCCAGCACTCAGGAGGCTGAGGCAGGAGGATTGTTGTGAGTTCGAGACCAGCCTAGGCTACAAAGTGAGTCCAAGGCCAGCCTGAACTGCATAGAGAGACCCTGTCTCAAAAAGACAAAAAAAAAAAAAAAAAAAAAAAAAAAAAGAGAGAGAGAGAGAAAGAAAAAAAGATAACTCTAATTCTATTCCAACCTATCAGGTAATCTGTGGTGGACTGACAACTGGTAGTCAA